CTGTTTTCATCGCGACTCCTTCAGGTCTGTCGCAGTTTCAGTGTACTCTGGAAGCTTTTCAAAAGTAGAAACATTTTCATTTTTGTGCTTTACAAGCCAGTTTGGAGCTGATTTCTGATTTATCTGGTAACAGATGCTTTGTGGCTGTACTTCACTAGTTTGAATGACTGTACATAGCACACTGTCTTGACTTTATTTTCTACCTGTAATTTCTGAAATTAGCTTGAGAAACCCATTGTGACCCCCTCTCCTGTTTCACAAACTGTAGGATGAGTAACATAAGCAAAGAGAAACTAGCCTATATTGGTAAGTCCAAGTCAATAAAAAATCAAAAGCATCACTAAATATTTCATATTTCATTTAAGTTTTCAATAAATCCAGGCATTTACATGTATTTACAAGTGAATTTCAGGCTTCAGAGGCTCAAGATAAGTAGACTTGCCATGTACAAATGAAAGATTAGATAGAAGAGCCGCAAGTGAGACAGCTTTCTTACATTTCCTGTGGACACTGGGACTTCAGTGGCAGTGGATCATATCTGGCAGCTGTGACAGAGCCAGGAGCATCTTATAGATATTGAGGTTAGAGGATATTTGTGGTTCTTAAAGTGTGTAACATTTAGGAGGATCTATTAGCAGAAATGGAAATATAATGTTCATAGGTATGTTTTGATCTGCAACTTCACCAATAGTTACCACAAAATCCTACACACTGGTCCTTTCAGGAACTAACTGGTAAAATAGTATTTTTCCATATTTACTCAAAACTGCATCAAGTCTATGTAAGTCTTGCAGAGGTAAAATTAAAGAAAACCAGTGAAGCTAATATATTATTTTGGGCTTATGTATGTATATTTCTGTTTAGGGGAACAAAATAACGGAAGAAAAAATTTACATACAAATAATGACTGAACCTGATTTATCACTGCCAGCTGACACCAAGAGACAAAACGGTAAAGAATACTACAGGAAACTAATATGACGTAACAGGAGCTCTTTTTACCATCACAAAACACCAGCCTCTGTTGCCTCCTGCTGAATTTCTAAATTTGAATTGGCTCACAGAAGGTCTAGTTTACCGCAACATGATTGAAGCCAATTAAATACATTATTATAGTTGTTTCTCTTTACAGCAGTAGTGTAGTCAAAGAGGTTTAACATTTTTAAGAACTACCTAAAATCTCCCACACTGATTTGTCATGACTGAGGAAACCATTTTAAAGGTTCAGTGTGTAACATTTAGAAGGATCTAATGTCAGAGTTGTAATTTTAATATCCATAGGTATTTAATAGGTTTTCATTAGGGTATAATCACCTGAAAATTGTTGTGTTTTCGTTACCTTAGAATGAGAACTATGTATCAATCTACAGACGCTGTGGGACACCTTCTGTTAAGGTTGCTATGTTGACAAACCAAACACTGGCTGTAGATAGGACCCCTGTCACGTTGTTCACGAGTTTCGAGGGCAGTATTCAGTTGGTTGCAATTTGCAACTACACCACTAGATGGCACTAAATCGGACACACTGGAACTTTAACTTTAACCACTCATCTTTATCTTGAGCTGACAACGTAAGAGAATTTAACTAATGTTTCCTCATTTTTAGTGGGCAGCGTTTCGAATGCACAATTGCAGGAACAGAGAATAATACATTTTGTCTTTCATACATTTTCGGAGATGTGCAAAAAGTGGAGCTCAATGCAAACCTGAATAACTACAACTGAGCTCATTTACAACAATATCTACTAAAATGTGATTTTGTGAAATGTTGCACTGCTGACAATGATCTGCAGTTGGTTTAGTAAATATCCCCTCTAGGTGGAGCTAAAACTCAAGAGTGTTGAGAGATAGAGGCAGATCGTGATAGCAAAGAGGAGTAGAGTGGGTGTGAGTGGAAACTCGTCCTCCCACTCCCTCCTACCTATCCAGCTTTAAGAGTCAGCCTCTCTGGGCACCAAACATTATGACTATCAAGGGCCACTAAATGAAATCAACAATAAGCCATCCTGCTTCTGTTTAATAAAGTAAATGAATAGTGTTGGTGCTCATGAGAGTCAACATCAGTGGTGGTGCCATCGACTGTGTCCGCCACTCTTCACCACAGAGCTTGGGTGTCATTTGCCACATTTTCAGTGTGATTTTACACTTTGAAATCTCAGCTTTGAAGCTGTAATTTGCTGCACAAAAATACTGATGCTTCCACATTTTTAAAAACGATTCTGCTTCTCTCCTGCACACTATTACTGAAAGGATCAGGAATAGTAAGCAATGTAAAACTAGTTAGTTACACCTACCTCTATTTAGTGGCCCTTAGAGAAGGTTTGACAGTCTCTTGAATAGTTTATTTCGCTCCGGTGTAAGCTGATTCAGAGTTCTTTACATAGTCACAACAATGATAGATGGTGAGTGGAGCTGGCAGCTGGCTGTCTGAGGACAGAGTGAGCTCTGCAGCAGAGGCAGCAGTAGGCAGCAGGACCTAATGGGACCTGATCAGGAGCTTAGGTCACTGCCATCTCAAATACAGCCATGGCACAGCAGACATCAGCGCTAACTCACCTTAGATTAGATGCTGGAAGCATGGCTGTAACACACTCTGACACCTCAAAGCAAAGCCTCAGCCATAGCATTTCAATTACCCACCGTCCCCAGCTCACATGGATCTTAGCAGCACGCTGCACTACCTGAGGACTCCAACCAGGCCAAAGTTTGCCCTGTTCATCCTGGACTGGATAGGTGGATTGCTTTTTGTTCTATTGCGTCATTCTGTATGGGGTCGATATCTGATAAAAATCACTGCACCGAGGATGGAACTGGTAGCAGCATAACAAATACACTGCCACATCAGTGGGAATGGGAATGTGCTAGACTTGGGTAGTATCTATTTCCTTCATAGCTGACATTTCACTGGGGTATATGACTGTAAAACACCAACAGAAAGAGGAGCGTCTGTATTTTTGACTGTATTGAAAATCATACCTTCTGAGACTCCTAAAAACCATGGTATACTGTAATACCTTGATACTGCCCAAGCCTATGCTAGACTTGGGTAGAAAATACCAAAGAATCTACACGTGTGAACTATTAAAGTCTTTGGTGTGCTTCGAACAAATTAGGTACTGTACGTCGCATTGTCTGTCTGTCATCGCATGTACGGGCTAAAGCGTTTTTACATACCTGTCCCCACTCAAAGTTAAGGCAGGGCCCTTCATAGAGAGGGAGACACGAGATGAATCGTACATGCAGTCATACATTGCCCAAGGCATTTATTCATTCAAGTTGAACCAATTCAGTCAGGCCTGTTGCTATAGCTAAAAGTTTCAATTTGCTAAATCTGCTGTGGCATCATGTCTCTAGCAGAGCTGAGCGCCTCTGCGTGTGTAACTTGTTACATTATGGGACATGTACGTAAAGAGGACGTATGGTCCTGTCATCCTGTTCACTCAGTGAGGCGTGTGGTGAGGGGACTTTAACCTGGGGGTCAGGAACACCGCTAGGGGTCGCCAAAGCTTCACAGGGGGTTGCAAGGCTGATAGAACAATGGCCAAGCATCATGGAGGAAAAAAACACAGAATTTGTCAAAAAATAAGCCTATTAAGTATAGTGTATGACTACTATGGCCCTCCTAATTAAAAATGCTAATAGAGACAGAATTCTCTCACAAGTTCCTAAAAATATCAGGAAAATAAAGGAAATAATCTGCTCAAAATTCATCCAAATCACCTGTTTTACATAAACTTTCTACTGTTATTGGGTTCACTGTTTGGGTTCACTGTACGGTTTATCAGTTGTTCTCTACTGTTATTGTTATGCAGTTAATATAATTTGAAATATTCATAAAATCTGTCACTTAGTCAGTGTACTCAATGGTAAAAAAGTGGTCTCTTAAGGAAAAAGGTTGGGAACCACTGGGCCATACTGTACATTAACAGCATGAGAGTGCAAAACCTGTGAAGAGAATACTCATTATTATACATGCTCTCATTTGCTTAACTCTTGTCAATGAAATAAAATATTAACCAGGTTGAGAATCACTAGCTTAGAGGTCTTTGATTTGGAAATTTAAGATGTCCTGTAAAATATAGTGTGTGCTACAAGACAGTTCAGAAAAGTGTTAGTAGGTATTATAGCAACTTGTTCGGTTGAAATTATTTATGAAACAATCTCATATTAAACTGGATGTTTTTTCACACCAGAGTATTGTTTCCACACTGGAAGCAAACCTCAGTCTCAGTCGTCCACCTATAATCCACAAGGTTTGCATACAAATCCAGACAGAGGGGGTGTGAGGCAGACAGCTGCTGGCTGTAATGGGCTTTCTAGAGGTGCTGGGTGCTGACCTCTATTTAGATGCCAAGAGAAAGAGATAAAGCCCTGTGATGAGGACTCCCCTCATGTCCGGCCAGGTCACAGCCCTACTGTCAGTCACTAACACACATCTCTCTGTGTGTGTGTGTGTGTGTGTGTGTGTGTGTGTGTGTGTGTGTGTGTGTGTGTGTGTGTGTGTGTGTGTGTGTGTGTGTGTGTGTGTGTGTGTGTGTGTGTGTGTGTGTGTGTGTGTGTGTTTGTGTGTTTGTGTCTGTGTGTGTGTGTGTGTGTGTGTGTGTGTGTGTGTGTGCAGTCTCTGAGCTGCAGATACTCTTTGGCTCTACAGTGACGCCTGTGCATTTAATGACAGTTCACCCTAATGCCCTGGTAATGGTAGTGTAAGACTTTGTCAGGGAGCTGCTGAGTCAGCGATACTTTCTGAGCCACTTGCACATTGTCATGTTCCTGTAACAGAGTGCATTTTATTCTGCGCTGTTCCTGTTATTGTCGCTTTGTCTGTTGGAAAAATAACAGCAACAATTATGACTCAATTTCTCTGAGTCCTCTTTTTTTCTCACAATCCAACGTGATATTGGATCTTAACAAAAAACAATGCTAGTTGCTTTTCCTCTCATACCCTGAAGCTATTTTCTTTCCTTCTTTTTTAAACTAACCTCTCTTGCCCCGTCTTTTAGATCCAACGCTCCAGAAACAAGCAGATGAAGGAGATGTTCCCAGAAGGCTTTGGGATCCACCACGCTGGCATGCTGCGGTCTGACCGCAGCCTGATGGAGAGCATGTTCTCCAAAGGCCACCTTAAGGTGCTGGTCTGTACTGCCACCCTGGCTTGGGGAGTGAACCTGCCAGCCCATGCAGTCATCATCAAGGTTCTACTATTTTACTTTTTTTCCTTCTGTTTTCTGTCTTCTTTCTTTCTTTGTTGCTTGTATTTCTTGTAAGCAAGGCCGGATTACCGGCCAGGCAAAGTAAGCAGCTGTCCTGGGGTCTGAGACCTTCGGGACCCAAAGGGCCCCAATTACTTGGTGGAGATTTCATTAGTTGCAAGTTTGTTTGGTAAAATAAATAGTAAATAGCTATAGGGCGCCCAGTAAATGGACCTTTTCTATAGCACTTATTGAAAGGATAATATGCCTTGTATTTTGGCTGTTTCTTAAGTGGACGAAGCAGGATTGGACCACTTTCCTTATGTTGAGCTCATGTGTTGGTCAAAGAAAACACTTTTCCAGACATTCTGTCCAGGCCTATGATGACACCTGCATACAGTTACATTAGTTAGAAGGTTAGAATGTCTCAGTTTCTAATATTTAGAAAGATATTTGTAAAATCAATGAACATTATTCCTCAAGATTGTCTATAGCAGGGTGTCCAGGGGGAGAAAAAAAAGTCTAAAATCCAAGCCTTAATATGTCTTAAATATGATTTTGATTATGATTATGATCTTAAAAATGTATTGAACTAATAAAGTTAAAGTTGCATTTTTCAGTCAGTGTTTTGGGGAAAAATCTGTAACAATCAAGCTGTAGAACACTACAAAACCAAACTAACATGAAACCAATACTGATTTTCCTTCATATGCTTTGTCAGTAGGAACATTCATAATGGACTTTAAAAGTCTTAAATTGAACCCGTTCAACATACACCAATCAGCCATAAGATTGTGAGCACTGACAGGTGAAGTGAATAACACTGATTATCTGGTTACCATGGCTCCTGCCAGTGGGATATATTAGGCAGCAAGAGAACCACGATGATTAAAACCTGCAGAAACCTTGTATAAATAATTTACAGTATTAAATATTTATTTTACCTCTTGTTGATGTTTGACTACACAGGAAATTCTATATAATTTTTTTTTCATTTTTAAATAAGCTGCTTTAACTAACCTAATGAGATGTTGAGAGATATAAATTGCACGTTTCCAGTCCTCTGAAGCCGCACCTGTCTCTTGTGTTTATAACAGGGTACTCAAATTTACGACGCCAAGCGCGGCACCCTGGTGGATCTGGGAATCCTGGACGTCATGCAGATTTTCGGGCGTGCAGGTCGTCCCCAGTTTGACAAGTACGGTGAGGGCACCATCATCACCACCCACGACAAGCTGAGCCACTACCTGACCCTGCTCACCCAGCAGAACCCCATCGAGAGTCAGTTCCTGGACAGCCTGGCCGACAACCTCAACGCTGAGGTTGGTCTCCTTCAGCCCTGTTTGGACTGATGTGAATGTTTTCTTCATTTTTTCAATTCTGAATTGGTTTCTTTCCTTTCTGAAAAGGCAGGCGGTGATTTAATGTATTTTTAGCTGAAACTAAGTTTTGCTGCATCAGGAAGGAATAAGAAAATCTGTAAAATCTTGACTGAATTACCTGGAGCAAGTTTCAGCTGGTGTCATCATCCTGTATGATGCTGGGGGGAATTTAAGTACATGAGGTCCCTGTGTAATATAGACCTCTGTGGGTGACAACATTCTGCATCAGCTCCAGAATGGTTACTGTTAATTTCCCAAGACAAATCAAGGTTAAAAAAAAGTGTCTCTCTTATGTTTTAGAAAATAATAGATCATTTTTGACTGTAATCTGTTATCAGACCATATAAGACATCATCAACAAGCCCTCTTTCTACAGAGCATGTCATGCAGATCAACTGGCAGGAAAACAAGGGACCCAAGGATGCTTTACACAAATGGAGGGAGACAAACAGAAAATAATAGTGGCAGTGTTAACAGCCAGATTAACAGTATTAGCTAAGACCACAAAATCATCAAAAACTGTATCTTTATGGATTATATTGATGCCAAATTGACAGTCAGACTATGGACATATGATGCACTTTCTATCCACTTACTTGTGTTGCTAGAGTTCTGTGTTCTTACAGACACGCAAGTAATTGTTAAAATGTTATAATTCTTAAAGGGAGTTGGGACAATATATTCCCAGAAGTACAGAACATATATTATATATATAACATATATATTATATTGTTATATCTAAAACTATAGCTTGGTAGTGAGCTTTATTGGTAATGATGACATATGGTAATGGTAAATGGACCTGTACTTGTATAGCGCCTTTCTAGTCTTCCGACCACTCAAAGCGCTTTTACACTACATGTCACATTTGCCCATTTGGGAGCAATTTGGGATTCAGTATCTCAGTTATTTTGTGGGATATATCAGGCAGCAAGTGAACATCTTGTCCTCAAAGTTGATGTGTTAGAAGCAGGAAAAATGGGCAGCGTGCGGATTTGAGCATTGACAAGGGCCACATTGTGATGACTAGACGACTGGGTCAGAGCATCTCCAAACCTGCAGCTCTTGTGGGGTGTTCCCGGTCTGCAAAAGTATCAAAAGTGCTCCAAGGAAGGAAAAGTGGTGGTGATTGGCGGCCAAGGCTCACTGATGCACGTGGGGAGTGAAGGCTGGCCCGTGCGGTCCGATCCAACAGACGAGCTACTGTAGCTCAAACTGCTGAAACAGTTAATGCTGGTTCTGATAGAAAGGGGTCAGAACACACAGTGCAGAGCAGTTTGTTGGTATGGGGCTGCAGAACATTATGACCCCCAGGGTGCCCAGGTGCTCACAATGTTATGGCTGATCGGTGTATATCATAGTTGTTCTGAACACTGTCATGCTCATCTGACAGAGATAATAAAATACAGCAGTAGTCTATAAGAAAATACAGATGATGCAGCTGTGCAGTTGTTGACTCTGAAGCAAGGACGTCTCATTTTGTTAAACGCCTGTTACCTCGACTCTTCTGTGTCTCCCCTCTGTGTCTCCCCTCTGTGTCTCCCCTCTGTGTCTCTCCTCTGTGTCTCTCCTCTGTGTCTCTCATCTGTGTCTCCCCTCTGTGTCTCCCCTCTGTGTCTCTCCTCTGTGTCTCTCCTCTGTGTCTCCCCTCTGTGTCTCCCCTCTGTGTCTCTCCTCTGTGTCTCCCCTCTGTGTCTCCCCTCTGTGTCTCTCCTCTGTGTCTCCCCTCTGTGTCTCTCCCTCTGTGTCTCCCCTCTGAGTCTCTCCTCTGGTCGCATCTCTGGTGGGAGGGACTAAGATGCGAGGAAAGGAGGCGAGGATATACAATTTGTTGAAACTGCAGTTTCCTGAAGTGTCCACTAGATGGTGACAGAGACCAGCATTGTTAGTGACTCTCTCTCTCCTCTCTCCTCTCTCCTGGTTTCAGGTGGCTCTGGGGTCAGTCACCAACGTGGAGGAGGCAGTGAAGTGGCTCAGTTATACTTACCTCTATGTCCGCATGAGGGCCAACCCACTGGCATACGGTATCAATCACAAGGCTTATCAGGTTGGTGAACCCACAGTGTAATCTCTTTTATTCTGATCATAGCAGAGCAGAGGTATCCTTAGGATGTTTTGACTGTGACGGAGGAAGCATGTATGTGAATATAAAACTAAAAACAGTAAATATAAAAAATTGGGAGTATCTAATTTCAATCTAACACAAGTTTAAAGTTGATTGGAGCTGATTGAGCTGTTTAATATTCCACACGTATACATATAGGAAAACTTTATCGTCCAAAATGTATAAATTTGTGTATGGTTTCACCATAACACATGTCATAAAAACAGTTGGTGGATTCAAAATAAAGCTTTTTTTATTTATTTTTTTAGATGGATCCCTCCTTGGAGCTATACAGGAAGGAGCTGGTGGTAGAGTCAGGCAGAAAGCTGGATAAGGCCAGGATGATCCGCTTCGAGGAGCGCACCGGATACTTTGCCTCCACTGACCTGGGCCGGACCGCCAGCCACTTCTACATCAGATACAACACCATAGAGGTAGATTCACTCCTTTACAGTTAAGATTTTCTTGCACTTTTCAGAGGATGATATTTTACCAATGCATCAGCAAGCAGCCAGTCTTATATTATTGGAACCTTGCAAATAAAAGAAAGAAACCTTGTGTGTTTGCTGCAGATATCTGATTGATCATTGATCAGTTACTATGCATTTTCAGCATACATCACTGCATCAAAAATAATGACTTGCCCTGATCGAAACTCCATTAACCGCTTGTATTCCTTTTCCCTCCAAGACGTTCAATGAGAATTTCAACTCTCAGCGAACAGAGGCCGACATCCTCAGCATTGTGTCTAAGGCCGAAGAGTTTGAACAGCTTAAGGTGAGAGCTCATCATGTATACACTATAACAAAGGCTGTCAGAGCTTCTCACCAACATATCTCCATCTATAGTCCAAATGTTGTTTCAAAATAAATGTTGTAATTACAAACCTGTAGTCTCCCACCAAGCACTATAGTTCTACCCACAGTATGACGTTGAAAGTTATCCACTATAAACTCCATTATAATATGAAATATGTATGTTGGCAGGTCCGTGATGAGGAGCTGGAGGAGCTGGATCAGATGTTGTGTAACTACTGCGAGCTGCCGGCTGCGGGCGGGGTGGAGAACAGCTACGGCAAGATCAACATTCTGCTTCAGACATACATCAGCCGGGGAGAGGTGGACAGCTTCTCCCTCATCTCAGACCTGTCGTATGTGGCACAGGTGGGGAGGAACACACACATTCACACACGCTACAAAATAAAGCAATATATCAATAGAGTAAACTCTCAAATGACAGAACTAGCTAGCTTTGGTAATAGACCCAGGGAACAGGGTGTAGGTCTTTGTATTAATTACAGTTTTATTTAGTTTTTTGTCTATACATTTTGGACGATAAAGTTTTCCTATATGTATCCGTAACTGTAGATACTTTGGCTGTTAAACATAACATTGTGTTTAGTGCTACAACTATTGATTATTTCTATTACTGATTAATATGGCAATTATTTGTTCAGTTAATCAAGTACACATTTGTTTTATAAAATAAAAAATAGTTAAAATAGTATAAATATAAGTAGAAAATAAAAAATAGTAAATATTCAATTTACTCAGTGCCTGAATTGGACCAAAAAAGGTGAAATACTTTCTTCATTCTTCCCCTCACTGCTTACTTCATCCGTTTTTTCCCAAATTTCCCACAGTAACTGACTCCATGTGGCTGAATACTTGGAATAGTTCATGCAGATGAACTATTCCTCTTTCCCTCTTTGGGATAATAAGACTGATGTATGTCTGCTGGCAACTATAGTGGAGCAATGAGGATTTAAAGTCAGGTCCAGAGTCCCGCTCTGTTACAACCACACAGTGACACACATTCTCATTGAGGCTCAGTGAGTAGCTGTGCAGCTGTAAAGGAAGCTCTTAACAGTTGACAGAATTATTTCCAAATTCAAAATGCATTTGGTTATGTAAGAAAAGTTGATTAAAGCTGCAGTAGGTAACATTTAGAAAGATATGTTTTGTCATATTTGCTGAAAATGTCACTATATCCTGACAGTAGTACATGAGACAGAGAATCTGTGAAAAAATCAGGTTCCTCTGACTCCTCCTTGTGCTACCAATGCCATTTGCAAGAATCCACTGGGCCTAAACAAAAATAACCAATCAGAGCAGAGAAAGAGATAAGAGTCTCAACTCAACTATCTTTCTCGGCATCCAAACCAAAGCATCTTTATATGTTTATCTGTTCCATATTATAGCTTTGTTGTCACCATTAAGAATTATGACCAAGTGGGACATTTGATGGTGTAAAAATCAACTTGTCAGTGCTCTCTGGTGGACAAACTATGTAACAGAGATACTGTTTTACCCAGGGTTCAACTTAACGTTACAGTTTTTCCAATACCAGTATCGGAAATTTCCTCCGATACTGCCTAAAATGCGATATTGGCCGGTATCTGTGCCGATCCAATAGCACGTAATTTATTAGGGGAGAGACAAAACGAGATCCTGCTACTTCCCAGCAGTGTCCCATTTGCCATTTTTTCCCATCCGAGTGTGACATAGAGATAAACCAGAGCCAGAGCGTGCAACGCTGATAGCAATTATACATGCTTAGAAGTATGTTTTACGTATTTTTTTTCAATGCACATGTATCAGATTGGTACTCTGTATTGGCCGATACACTAAATACAGGTATGGGGAAGGAAAAAAATTATCGAAACATCTCTAGTTAATGTTTTTTCACTTGTGTGGTCAGGCAAATCTACTTTGCCGAGTAATTTTTTTACTTGCCCCTATACAATAGTTTTTTTATTAGTGGTTTTCAAACAACAGCACAGAGAGCACATACAGCACGTAGCTGGAAGTGACATGCTGTCGGTTATGCCACTCCAGCAACGCTTTTCAGAAACTTGACCCTGTTTTCTAACTGGCAGCAAACTTTGCAATGCATTGTTGGAGTATCGCCCACATCCTCAATTGCCACCAGGATAACTGAAATGCTCACCTACATTTCAGCTCATAAACTTTGTCTTTACCTGCCTACATTTCGCCCGACTGGTATGTGTATATGCTGTCTCAACAGAGAGTTGATCGGGTAAGTGACTCACCAGATTTAGGGGCATTTTACTTTCCCAGGGCAAGCAGGCAATCTTTACTGTTTTACCTCAAACAACCTGTTATTTCTGTACCACCACCCGACTCTACCTAATGAGGAGCTGGAGGATGTCTGGATGAGCTGTGGAAGGAAAATGAATGAGAAAGTGAAGTTGGTTGTAGTTATTTTTGTATTGAAATTGGAAATGACAAAGTGGTATGTTTTACTATGAAGAACATAGCTGGTACATTGAATATGAAGTGTACTAAAGGTAATAGTGAAGGCTTTAGTTGATTTTACCGTGTTGAAAACACAGTACTATAAATAGTTTTGCTGTTGAAATCAGAGAAAATGGTGGTAGTCCAAAGCAGCTGGAACTTGATACGAGTGTTTGACAGATGGGCACCAGTAGTGCTTGGTAGTACAGTGCTAGTAGTCACTGGCACTGCAGTGGGAGGCAGTATTGTAATATAGAGCAGCAGAGTGTGAACAAGGATTCACAGGATCCTTTTTCAGTGCGTCCGTCCAGCCAGAGCTCTCAGTCTCACCCAGATATCAAACAGATTTTAATAATCTGGAGTGCATTCAGGCCTCACCAGACAATCCGATCACATTAACACCTGACCGAATCAATCACAGCCTGAGCAGACTTGAGCAGTCTATCAGTGAGAAACACTGCCACCTGACCTCTCCTCCAGATCTGACACGAGCAATCCGTCAGTGCACAGCTGTGGCCAACCTGGACTTCTGATCCCAGCCAGACCTCCTACTGATCACACGTGATTAATCACCAGTATACAGCATGACGCACCATACAGCTGCTGCAAGCGACTTCTGCTGCACTACAAATGTGTTTCATTTCTTTATATTGCAGCTTTAAAGTTAAGTGTTAAAACTGAAAAAGGAAAGTAATCTGTCTACAGATGCAGCAGTAATACGCGTTCTTCCGGGGTCCACATTTCAGGTTTTTCTTCTACCTCCCCTCCTGTTGTTGTCACTTCTCACAGAATGCTGCTCGGATCATCAGGGCTTTGTTCGAGATCGCTCTGAGGAAGCGATGGCCAGCCATGACCTACCGGCTGCTCACCCTCTGTAAGGTGATCGACAAGCGACTGTGGGGCTTTGCCCACCCTCTCCGCCAGTTCCCCAACCTGAGCCATGTTGTCCTGAACCGCCTGGAGGAGAAGAAGCTCACTGTGGACAAACTGAAGGAAATGAGGAAAGATGAGATTGGTAAAAACTACTGAATCTTAGTTTCATAGGTGTATATATATATATGCCGACTGTTTAAAGGATTCTAAACCACACTGAAATACAGACAGAAAGCACCCAAATGTCAGATGTAAATATGCCATAAGTTCTCAAATAGTGGGGGCTGGGGCCTTTGTTTACCACAACTGTAGGATGAATCGGGCCTTTATTTGAGGAAATATTAGGGCAGGGCAGGATGGCATTGCCCTGTTTTGAAATGGCTGAAGAGTGCCTTTAAAATAAAGGTTGTGGATTTCCTCATTTCAAACTGATGCAGCAAATAAATAAAGTCACATTTCCCAGTGTCGGTCATCACACTGGACATCAACAGTGATTTCTCCCACAAATATATTTGTAACCAGAGACGGTTCAAAAACCGTATAGTTACTTTACTTTAGTCTGCCATAAAGCGTTGCAGAATAATGGTTAACTCCTCCAGCAGACTGTGAAAAGCAAACGCTAGCTGGTTAGAAGCTATCAGTCAGGCTAAAGACAATTACATTTTAGAGCTATAGAGCTAGAAGTCACTGGTCAAACAGAAGAGAAAGAGACAATAGAGAAAACTGATTTATTTCCTCAACGGTGAAAGAAAATCACAAGAGAAAACGCAATGACTGTTAGCATTTAACTAGTTAACGCATCACAAGCTCACGCATACCCACAAACCCACCTTTCTTAAGGGGAAGGATCGGCTGGTAACACACAGGTGCAGTTAGGCTGTGGATGTAATAACCAGAGGTCCAGTAACTAAGTACAAGTACCAATACCAACCCCACTGTGACATACTTCACTACAAAGTTCTGCATTCTAAACTAAGATAAAAAGTATTTTAGCAAAATGTACTTAAAGAAGCCATTGTGCAGTAAAATGTTGTTAAAAAGTGAATCTCAGAGCAACAGAGTGGTAAGCAGGACACACAAAATGTATGTTGTGCTGAATTTAGCCGACACAGCTATTGAAAACTGGCTTTTATTTACATTGTTTCCAGGTCACATGCTGCACCACGTCAATGTCGGGTTAACAGTCAAACAGTGTGTCCACCAGATCCCTTCCATCACAATGGAGGCCAGCATCCAGCCAATCACACGCACCGTCCTCCGCGTTCGTCTCATCGTCACGCCCGACTTTCGCTGGAATGACCAGGTAAATGTGGACGACACAAACATGTGACATGTGACCGTACTTCTGCTGTCTGCTTCTCTTGATGTATTTACCTTATCTAACTCCCCCTGTGTGATGGATACCAGTCTGATATACATGTTAGATGTATACATACCTCCAATAATAGATTTTTTTTTAATGTCATTAATTTTTTTAATCAAAGGTCCTTTCTCCTCCACTGTATCGAGTGGTTGCAGATATCTCACGGACTGATATCTCAAAACCTGATGACCAGATTAAACCAAAGCCATCTGGGTACCTCGATACCACTAGTCTTTTGTGATTTGGGATAAGTAACCATTCCATCAGTAGTACTCATACCTTTTGTGTGAGAACAAAGCAAAAGGTTTAGAACTAAGGTACCCATCACACAGGGGGGTTAGATGAGGTGAAGAGGTTTTGAATATAGTCAAGTAGGTGCGGCCACAGTGGAGATCATTGGTTTTCCATGGCCTGATGGCATCCGAGGCGCTAAATAAAAACTCTACGAGCGCAGTGTAGTGACCCTGCATAAATAGGCCACAGTAATAGAATAAGCCTCAGTAACTAATTGTCTAATCCAAATAAAATACAGACAATAAATGTATAAATCCAAAGGTTCACAAGAACATAAAATATAGTTTAGAAAACAGCAACGTAATCTCTGCGATGTCATAGGTTTCTGAAGAGCTGTTATGAAGCTCAGTGTGGTTGGCCCCGGCCATCACTATCTTGGCAGCGTGTGACTCCGCCGGATACCAGTTAATCCAAAAATCAGCAAAGACATGGAGCTGACATGGCACTAATGGATCATCTACCCACCTGTCACTCACAGTGGCCACACTTTTAATTATGCATAACTTTAAGCCTTGATATAATTAATGAGTGAGTTATATAAAATTCACCCCCCTGTACAGTTTTTTTGTTGTTTTTTTTTTCAGGAAATTAGCTATAGAGACCAAAAGTGTTCTTTGTACCAGGCTGTAAACATGTTTATTTCTGCTGTAAAGTTGGGCATTTTAATATGGGGCCTTTTTTCTGAAGCCAGCCTCAAGTGGCCCTTAGAGGAACTGCAGTTTTTGGCATTTCTGTGTTGGCTTAATTTTTCAGCCACAGTGATTGAAACTTGGTCAAAATGATCAAAAACCCACTGAAAACTTAACAAACTACTCCTGCAGTATAACCCACTGCTTTAAACACAACATAGCCAGACACCACTTCAACTCACTACAGCCCCGACATACAAACCACAATTACTTACTGACTCACCCAGTGTGTAGTCATGGTCACATTTTCACAATGGAGGGAGGAAGAGCTGCTCCTCCTACCTTGTTATTCTTACAGCCATGGAATCTCCATCTGTCCTTGAGAGCCAGAATGCCTCCAGGCCTCGCCAGCATGTCCCACCTCAGTGGGCAGACAGGCCAGAGGGGATCATGGAAAGCTTAGTCCGGAGTTGTCATGGAATCTGAGCGGAATAGGAAGCTCATTGTAGCAGGGCTGAATATGAAGATGAATGTTTATGTCCGATTAGCGATGCATGCTCCAATCATGGGAGAGTGGTAATGGAAGACCGGCTGGCTTAGCCCTGATCCGGCTGCAGAGCCAGGACACATGTACCGACACATGAGCCGCCTCCACGATGGCACCCAGGAAGCAGACCACACTGACACATCATGATATGTACTGCCATAATATTCCACCATTAAACTGGCAGTGGCAAAATGAACTGATGGTGCAGTGGTTTTTGAAGGCTGATGTTTTGTTTATTGTATTGGAAATGCTCAGTTCTACTATTCTGTAGGAGTATTTGACATTTAAAGTCCCCAAATTCCAAATATTCCCCTCAGATTGTATTCTTAACAAGGTGGAAAGCAGCATGTAGACTGTAATTCTAAACTGCACACATACACCCTGACTCACAGAAAGCCAAAAACAGTAACCTGACTGCACCAGAACCATGTAGGAAGGCGTTGTTGGAAACCTTTTGGAAAAGTTCCTCTTAGGAGGCTGATTGATCTGAACCACTGTGGTTGGACACAATTGCAAGGTTGCCTTAACAAGACATGGTCTCAAGATTATGAAATAAATTCAAGATGCACAACACTTTGTTGTCTGTTTTTATTGTCTTCGCAATATTGCATAAAAAGTGACAATGAATCATATTTCAGTAATATTAGAGGGCCTTTGGGGCCACTGAGGGTCTGTGGCCTTAGGGCAGTTGCCCCCTTTCCACTGGTTGGTAATCCAGCCTTGAGCCAGACCATCATGAACCAGCATTTGTGCACTCATTTATTGTATACATTTATCATGATGTGGTTTTCATTTATCTGTGGCATTTTATTTTGGAGCCCTTCAGATAAAGGATAAAGCTCCATACTGTGAGGACAAATTAATATGAATGCCTAACAATGATTTTGACAATGATATACATATATATAGTAACTCATTATAAAAGTGTTGATTCAACTCTGTGGTTATTTTAGTGCGTGTTGTTGTACTGGATTACAATGTATTGTTAGGTAACCTTTAATCTGAAGGGCTCCAAAATAAAACTCCACAAAAAAATGTAAACCACATCATAGATCATAGATGTCAGCTGATAAATGTATATACTGTATACACATACATACATACACACACACATACTTACATACATAATATATATATATATATATATATACATATATATATATATATATATTCATATATCTGAAGTATTTTGTCGTTTTTGTTTTGTTTGTTTGTGAATGTCTGATTGAAATCTTCTTTCCCCCAATGATTCAGGTCCACGGGTCAGTGGGTGAGCCGTGGTGGTTGTGGGTGGAGGATCCCATCAATGATCACATCTATCACTCCGAGTACTTGCTCCTGCAGAAGAAACAGGTTCTTTTTGTTTGTTTTTTTATCTCAGACTTCCGTTGACATGAGGACAGTGTTCCTCTAAGAGTACATGATAATAACTGATGTTTGTTCTTGGTTCCTGTGCCTTTATGAGTGTGTGTGTGTTCCTCCCTCCAGGTGGTAACAGGAGAGCCTCAGCACATAGTGTTCACCATCCCTATCTTTGAGCCGTTGCCCTCCCAGTACTACATCAAGGCGGTGTCTGACCGCTGGCTCGGGGCCGAGGCCGTCTGCATCATTAACTTCCAGAACCTCATCTTACCCGAGAGACACCCCCCACACACTGGTACACACACTCAAACACACATTTATGATGTGACAACAGGGACTTGAATTTAAAATACTGATACTAAGTCTGTTAGTCTGTTATCATACCACCAGCACTGTTTGAATGTTTCCAGCTGTTAGATACCAGTTGTTGCAGTCCATTGTTAAGACCCAGACTGAGTAGTGCCTACTCTCGTCCAGTGGTGGAAGAACTAGTCAGACCCTTTAGTTAAGGAAAAGTAGCAGTATATCACACTGTAAAAATGCTCCATTACAGGTAAAGAGCCCTGCTTTTAAAATCATCCTACTTAAAAGTATAGAAATATATCTCAAAAGTGACTGTACTTGCAGTAAGATGTCTCCTGTGACTAATTTATTTATTTATCATTATATATGATATTATTAAGTTGTTAATACTGATGCATCAATGTGGAAACAGCATTTTAGTGTTGAAGCTGTTTGAGGTGGAGCTAGATTTAACTACTTTTATATAGTTAGCTAGTTTTGGCCAGTGGTTACCAAACCTAGGGGTCAGCCCCTCCAGAGGGTCACCAGATAAATCTGAGTGGTTGTGAGATGATTAATGGGAGATGAGAGAAGGAAAACAAAGTTCTGATATACAAATCTGTTTTCTTTTTGTGTAATATATTGAAAATATATTTTTTAGAGGAAGGTTCGAGGGAAATGCCAACAAGTTATAGTCATCTTTAAGGGTTTGTATGTAAAATTTTAATCAGGAAACTAACTAAACCTACCTACCTAAAATTACAACATTTCCCTCTGAAGTATAAAGTAACAAAAAATGTTTTATCTAATCTGAGTACTTTTGGATTTAAGTATTGCACTAAAAAAAAGGAGGCAGCTGCAAAAATCCCCAAATATTCTTTCTTTTGTTTAAACATCTCAAAACATTTTCAAAGCAAATAAAATTAATTTTGTATATTCAGCATTTACAGTTGGTCAAATCAATAAATCAATCAAACCATTGTTGTTAGCCGTCCACTGGCAATCCTATTATGTTTTGGGTTGACCAATGAGAGGCTGTGTTCCTGACTCCTGATTGGTATTAAGATTTAGCATTTCCTTATTTTAAAGACATTATCCAAAAAAAAGTAATCCTTGACAATGTAACTATAATTTAATAGTGTATGTAAATGCAATCTGGGTTGCTATAGTAATGTGCTGTTGCTGAACTGTCAATACAAACGGATGTGTGTTTGTTGCATGAGACATTTTTATTGTAGTATTAATTAGCCATAAATTGTTGGATTAAACTTGGGCAGTCACACGTTCCCATATACTGATGGCTGAAGCATTTTTGACATAGTGAAAGAAACCTAAACTTTTACTAAAATCTAATACTGGCATAATAAGAGAGAGGATACTTTCTCCAAATACTCCAACCATAACTTAAGTCAGCTTAAAACAGCAGCTCAGTCACCACCACAAAAGGGCATAGCTGTTTGGAAGCTTGCTCGGAGACCTCAAAATCCCATCTAGACTGGAGAACAAAAGCATGAAATCCTCCCATCCTCCACTCATTCACTCCTCCAGTCTATGAGAAAGGAACCAGCATATTATTTCTGACCACATTCCCCCTCAGTAAGAGCACACACAATTACAGCAGCTATCAGGGATAAACCCACAGCACAGAGGAGATCATATCACAGGCTGATGGAAGGGCCCTGTTTGACCAACATCTCCAGCCTTTCATTAACAAAACAGTCTCTTATATAAAAGTCTCAGACTGTCATGTTCTGTTATACATATGTAACAAAAATAAATCTGATGTTAAATGGAGACCATAAAGAACATGAGATCACAAGCCGTTGGTAGTCCTTCAAAAAAAAAAGATTTACACGATCAGCCATTACATTCTGACTACCTGGGCGGCCATGACCCTGTCTCCGGTTCACCACTTTTCCTTCCTTGGACCACTTTTGATAGGTACTGACCACTGCAGACCGGGAACACCCCACAAGAGCTGCAGTTCTGAAGATGCTCTGACCCAGTCGTCTAGCCATCACAATGTGGCCCTTGTCAAAGTCGCTCAAATCCCCGTGCTTATAATGTTACGGCTGATCGGTGTATGGCTGGTTATTGATAACAAGAGTCATCCAGCCACTGTCACTGTACAGTTAATAGAGGTTCCAATTTCCCATTTAATTTCTGTGGATGTTAAAAGAGAAAAACTAATCAATGTTTTCATATGGCCAACAGTAATGTGAATAGGTTACACTGTAAAAACAGCCCTTCGAGACACAAGGCATATATTGTTAAATATATTCAAATTTTCTTGTATTGAGTAAATAAAATCTGCCAATTGGGGAAAGACAGTTTTGCTTGGCTAGTATTCTTAAAACTAGTATAAAAATATACCCACTGAAAGACTGTAATGGGCCTTAAAATTAGAAAAAAAACTGATGTAAGCAAGTTGTGCTTATTACAATCAATGGAAAGAGTTATTTTAGATCAGTATTTTGGTCACTTTATTTAAAAATGTGTACCTTTAATCTAAGATTAATAATTAGAGTAAGTGACTTGGCACCAGAAGCATTCTTCTTTTTTTACATTTTTTTATTAAAACAATGGAAAACTAAACAGCTGCTTCACACTGGGACAAGACGAGAGAAAATAATCTTGTTCCTCTGCTAGGGTACTGCAACTTTAGCTGTAATATCAAGTATAATATATTTCCTTAAAACCAGAATACTTTTTCTAATACATACATGTTTGACAAGATTATTTTTCTTTGTAGACAAAAAGGAGACTAATTTCCCAGAAACAAGGCCTTTTTACCTTCTTGGGATTCATTTTTTTGCAGTATAGCTCCTAGTGACGGACCCACAGAAAATGATGCCTTGTTCATGTCATACTGGAGTTACAGTTTCTGCCTTATAGACAGGAGTCATGTCAACATGAATACCTCATGTCAGTCAAAGTCTGATATTAAATAGACCCAAATTAAATCCAAATTTGATTCTTAGTATATTTTTAATGCGCGGTTTTTAACCCTTACACGATCAACTGCAGACATACGACTATTGTCGACTATTGACTATTTTCTGTTGCTGCTGCATGTATAAATGGCAACATGTTCATCACAACTGCATTGTTTTTACAGTTTGTGCTGCTCCACTAAAAAGTGGCCCTGCAACAAAAATGATTATTTGAAGCAGTGTTTCTCAAACTTTTTATACAGCGTCCCACCTCAGAAAATATTAGGCTCTCCAAGTACCACCATTATCTCAGACGTTGAAATAAGATTATTTAGTGTTGGCTAACAGCGCTAACTTGGTGGAAAATGGGTCCTCCTGGTCCACACTTGTCATACCAATAGTTCCCATTTAGAGCCACAAACCATTATTTTTACCTCAGCGCACTATCTTGCTAAATAAGAAATAATGCCGGATGTAATAATTTTGTGTGTGAATGTGACTACGTACCACCAGTGGTACACATGCCATTGTTGGAGAACCACTGATTTAAAGGAAAGCATTATTCTGAGCAATAATTGTTCCGGTATCAAACAGTACATAGAGCACATCTGAATACAAACAGAGTGACATGTCCTTGTGTACTTTCATCCTGTAGCAACTTGTATGCAGCAATCAAAAACCACCTTTGAAAAGTTACATAGATTTCTTTCTTTACACGTAGATAGAAGTGTGTTCTTTGGGTTCAACTTGAAGAAGATCAAGGGCCGTTAAATAGTTTTAATGGTTCTGAGCTTTTATTTTCATTTCCTTTGCTTAGATCTGCACTGGCTGACACTTAAACAACTGGGCGTCATTCTTGTGCATATATATTCATCATTATAGTTTAATTGCAGTACACACAATTAATAATCATCAGTCACTAATTAATCTCGGCTGCATTGTAGTCAATATGTTTCCTATACATGTTTAACAACACTATGTCTCAGTGCTTGTTACTTAAACAATTATCTTTAATTAATGATATTTTGCATTTGTGGATCTAGATTAGCAATAACAGTAGGATTTTTCTAATAAAGAAAGATAGTTTACATCTGATTCCTGACCTTTAATACTGCTGAAATAGATTTTAAAAAATGTATTAATTAATTCATTTCCATAATTAATTTTTTCTTTTTTTTCCAGTGTACAGGAAGTGTCACCTTCAGTTAATGTTCTTGGCATACATACTTACATACTGTATACTTTATGTTGTATGTACCCCTCTTGTTGCGGCCATAAAGGTAATCTGATGAATCCAGTTTCATCTTCCTCCATTTATTCTTTCCCTCTCAGAGCTGCTGGACCTGCAGCCGTTGCCGGTGACAGCTCTGGGTAACCGGGAGTATGAGTGCCTGTACAAGTTCACTCACTTCAACCCCATCCAGACTCAGATCTTCCACACGTTGTATCACACCGACACCAACGTCCTGCTGGGGGCCCCAACAGGCTCTGGTAAAACCATTGCGGCGGAGATGGCCATGTTCCGGGTCTTCAACAAGTATCCAACCTCTAAGGTTTGTCCAGCTGCCTCCGTGTTACTGTTGAATTCAAAGGGATGTTTGTTTTTACGGACTGTACTGACTTGTTGCAGTCTTTTCTATTGGTTAACATTGGTACTGCGTGCTGTTTACATACAACACTGAGGACCAGTTTGCAAAGGTATCAGCTGATCATTGTTTCAGAAGCCTCATCAAAAGAGAGAAAAATGGATCAGGAGAACAGTCAAATGTAGTCAAATATCAGTGGCTTTTTGGCTATGGGAGACCTTAACTTTGGATTTACACTGGTACATGTTTGGTACTCTGATGGTTGAATTTCTTAACGTCACATAAAATCTACTGTGTAATTGCTGTTTGGAAGTAATTTATTTCATATGGCTAGCTCAGCAATTTTACACTGCAGTAAGGATAATCTGTTATGGGAAACTAAGTGGTTTAAGCTTTCTGCCTATGAAAACAACAACAATCTGCAAAAATAAAGTGTGTTCAGTTCATTCCTATTGGGCTTTAATAATGTCCAAATATGTAACAGTCAGGAGAGACAGAAAAACCAAACAAAATGAAATGTTCAGATTTCAAATTTACAGCCAACCCAGGGGAAACCTGGCTGCATTTCTTTTCATTAAATGTTTTTTATTTGTTGCTGTGTGTTCAGGTGGTGTACATCGCCCCCCTGAAAGCCCTGGTCAGAGAGAGAATAGAAGACTGGAAGATCAGGATTGAGGAGAAACTGGGGAAGAAGTAAGTTGAAACAGAGACACCAAGCAGATCCCACAGTGGCAAAATGATATTGATATTGTAAAATATTATTACAATTTTGAACACAACTTAAAAAAATGCTATGTAAGTTTAGAAACAAAACTGTGTGTTTCCTCGTTCTTATCTGTGTGTAGAGTGGTGGAACTGACAGGCGACGTGACTCCAGACATGAGAGCTATAGCGCAGGCTGACCTCATTGTCACCACGCCAGAGAAGTGGGATGGAGTGAGCAGAAGCTGGCAGAACCGAAGTTACGTGCAGAAAGTCGCCATTCTCATCATTGATGAGATCCACCTGCTGGGTAAGTCCCCAGAAAACCTGCACGGGTCTGTATGAACGGGTGACATTCTGTAGGTCGTACACTTGTGGTCAACAGTATTGTCACCCTTAGATCTACTATATCTCTGGAACTAAAAGTGTAAAAACAGCTTTGGTCTATAGAAACTCATGTTTGACACACAACATAAAAGGATAAAACAATAAAAAATGTACAAAGAAAATATGAAAACAGAATGCAATGTCACAAGGCAAACTCCCCTGTGATAAATTAGAATTTAGACTTAGTGCTCACATGAGATGCATTAACCAATGAATGATGGCTCTTAATCTTAAAAAAGACACTTTATTCCCTGTTCCTCGAAAAAAGTGTTGTCTGAGAGCATCAGAAGTATTATTATTACAATAATTCTAAAGGGTACAAAGCTGTTTCCGAAGACCTGTCTATCTAGTTATTTAGAAGTTTGCTACCTAGATGAGTGAAGTCATTGAAGGTTGGTGCTGTATAAAAAAAAAAAAACAATAAAACATCCAGAAAGATGAAGGCGGACCTGGACCATACACTGCGCACTAAACCAAGAAGGGCTTTATGGGCAAAGCATGTTGCCTCACTGGAAAGGTTCTGCTACACTAAATGGAAAAAAGATCATCATTTGTAACACCTGTGTTTACCCTACTATTTCATGTCAAAATGGCTGATGTTAAAACGGTGTATTTACAATCGCCATTGGGAAAAGGAATCCTGCAAACATTCAAGTGCTTGAACAAATTGCAATGGAATACTGGGAGAAACTACCAGCGGACCAGTTAAAGAAGCTTACTTTATGGCTATAAGAAAGGTTGGGAGGCTGTATTTGTCGCCGAAGGCGGAGCAACCGATTGTTAGGGAAGGGTGCCTTTAATCCATGATTAATCACGTAATACATAATTTAATTTATATTTCTTCTTGGAAACCACTTGATGTAAATTGAGAAGGCTGGACCACAGGAAAGTGTGGGGCCAGACCATTAAATGCCAAAGTCTGCGACTGAATTACTGGCCATTGGCCGTTGCTCTTTCAAAATGAATCGGAGCTAACAAGCCTGGCTGTTCATACTGTATAACCTCACCTCTGTTATTTACAAACATACAAATGGACAAGACACTGCAAGACGAGGCCTGTTCTCAGTAGAGTCCATCAGATAAAAGTGCATTCTCAGTTGGAATAAGCTGATTAAATTTTCATTTTTTTAAAGTGAGAGTAACAGTGGTTGTAACTAGCGTAGCAGCCCTGGATAGGCTTGGTCTGCAGATAAAGTAAGAACCTAATTAACAGTTGATCTACAGTAGAGGTTTCTTACTTTACCATCACAATTTGAGCATTTCTACAACATTCATTTCCTTACACAAAATATATCCAAAATACGTAAAATACAAAATGTTGTGCATGTTACTGTCTATCAGAGGCTAACATTAACGTATCTGAAAACCCATACTAGTGTGAAGGCACTTAAAAAAAACTGTTTGTTACATCAACATTCTGAGTGGACTGTGCCATTGTGTCTGTTTCCAGGTGAGGACAGGGGGCCGGTGTTGGAGGTCCTTGTGTCCAGGACCAACTTCATCTCCTCTCACACTTCTAAGAGCGTCAGAGTAGTCGGCCTGTCCACGGCTCTGGCCAACGCTCGAGACCTCGCTGACTGGCTGGGAATCGGACAGGTCAGACATCCGCCATGGCACCAAAACACGCAGCAGTACTCGTCTTTTAATAGAAATATCAGAACATGGCTTGAAAACGCTTTGTCAGTGTATTCCTGTTACCTTCTGACCCCTTGTTCCATGGTCAGATGGAGGGATCTTCTTCATAAGCTTACTTATTTTAGGAATTGGCTTTGTGTACGGAGAACTGCTGCAGTGAAGCCAGCCAGAAACCACACTCTTTGTCTAGCTGCATGTTTTTATATGGTTCATTTGTTGCCTGCCTCTTCATATCTGATTGAATGTATATAATAATAGCAATTTAAGATAAATAGATACTTTTGGCCTGTTGTAGTTTATCTCTATAATGGTCTGCAGTCTGTGCCTGGATGCCATGCTTAAGTTGTAATCATCGGGAATGACTGCAGGGATGCGGATGGATGAGCTGGCCTGTCAGCTTGACGCAGAGAGGAGCATTGGAACGAGACAAAGAAGCCTTATTGAGATGATTTGACCGATACGTTTTTATATTGAATGTCAGTACAGATAGTTTACACCGACTCCATAAAGGCCAGTGGGGTAAGCCTTTTAATGGTGTGCCAAGTCAGAGTGGGCTTACTGCCCCTTTATGGCCGATGGGGCTGTGTTTAGTGAGAAGAACAATAAGTTTGTGTCTCATGTTGGTTCAGTTCTCTTGTCGTACTCTGACAGTTATAAATATTTAGGATAAGAATTTTTTCAGACTCTGCTGGTCCGGCTCAGATGGCTGTTCTAAGTAAATGGACTTACTTTTCTTGTCTAACTACCACTCAGAGCGCTTTACAACACTTCACCCATTCACACATCCATTCGACTGGACTGCGGTTATTACACAACCTGCTCTACCACCTCAGCCACAGTCCCTCCAAGGTTATGCAACATAAAGATTTAGTTGTAATCAAACAAAAAAAAGTTATGGGCTTTTTTTGGGTTAGAATAAAATGGCCCCAAAACTGTCTGTACGTGGTGATACAGGATGGAATGTGTTTGTTAAAAGGGTAACATTCTGCAGGTTCATAAACTACTAAATATCCATGGGGAAGGGAATTTGCAGAGGTCCTTTATAAATTTGCTTTATAGTATATAATACTATATTATTAGGAAAACGTACAATCCCAAGCAATATATCACCATTAAAATTCCATTGTGTAACATTTAGGAAGATCTATTGTCAGAAATGGAATATAATATTCATAGGTATGTTTTTATTAGTGTTTAATCACCTAAATATGGGAATTGTTATGTTTTTGTTACCTTACAATGAGCTGTTTTTATCCACAGTCGCTATGGATTGCGTTCTGTAAGGTCCGCCACGTTGAACTGACATGTTTCTACAGTAGCCTAGACCGGACAAACCAAACACTGGCTCTAAATAGGTGTTTGTGTTTTTCGCGTGTTTCACAACCACCATAGTGTCGCACTTGGAATGGAAGGATGACGGACTTATGAATAAACTGCCATAGCAGCCAGTGTTTAGTCCTAGATAGGGCCTTTCCCAATTTTCGTGACATTCTGCCTTAAACTGTGGAAAGTAGAGATCAGTCCCAGAGGAGCACCGTCACCTCTGTGTGGTTTGGATGAAATTGAAAACAATCCATTTGGGATTTTACTGTCCTTTTTATCATGATCTCTCAGGTACATCTTTCTTGAAAATGTCTGTCGGACATCCCAGACTGTTTGACAGGTTAACATATGTGAATATCTTCTTTTGTCCTCTGACAGTAAACTGAATATCTTTGGGTTGTGGAAAAAACAAGACATTTGAGGACTTGTGCTTTGGGAAACAGTGATCAACATTTTTCACCGTTGTCTAACATTTTATGAACCAAACAGCTGGTGGATGAATAAGGACAAAGTGACAGTTTAATTAATAATGAAAATCATTGTTGGTTGCAACCCTACCATCAACACACAGTGTGAGAGTGTTGTATGTTTAATTTCTAACACTTAGATATGTGTTTATTCATCCTCACAGAAGGCTGCTACCATTGCAATATATTAGTTACCAAATTACAATGTTTCTTGTTTTCCATTGCTACTGGTCAATATACCATGAAATTCTGGTAATGCCTGTATATTTATTATTTTTTGTGCATCATCACAGACACAGTTCAGAATATTGTAGCTTGACTTTTGCTCTGCTGCCAGAGCCGTAGAGAGACAGTGTTAGCAAACCAGATTGGCTGTCTGCCACCCATAAATCTGAGTGGCTGGCTGCTGGTGTGACTGAGCCTCTAGATTTGTAGCTGCCCAATCCATTATCCAGGCTTTTAAGATGTCTGTAGACATGCAGCAGCCCTCAACACAATACATACCAAATAATGCGGCACGCTCTTTACGACATCCGACGACGCACTTTAAGTTCAATTCTACTCACACGCTGCACCGTATCACCTTATCACACAATAAACACAGAAGACACATCAAAGGTTAAACATAACACAGCAGAGTCCAGCAGTGACCTGCTGCTCTGTGCCTCAGTGACAGCGACAGACAGTTTACATTACAGCCAGATGGGGCTTCGTGTTGCCAGCTGCTCACATTAAATCTCTTCTCTTTTTCCTTTCTCTTCCTCTCCCCTCCCCCTCCCCTTCCCTCTGTGTAACAGGTGGGTTTGTTTAACTTCCGTCCGTCTGTTCGCCCTGTGCCGCTGGAAGTTCACATCCATGGTTTCCCGGGACAACACTACTGCCCCCGCATGGCCAGCATGAACAAGCCTACCTTCCAAGGTATAGCTCCACATCCGCTTGTACAAATAGTTTACACATGCTTTATGCACATTTATATGTACATTTTCAGGGTTCCAAAGAGTCCTGGAGAACCTGGAGATTTAGAGACTAGTTTTCCAGTCATGGAAACACATGGAAATTGATATGAATGAATTGAAATAATGTTGTCCTTGAAAATTTCTGTTTGATTTTAACCCCTCACTAAGCTGCATGGTTTGACACTTTAAAGCTGGTTGAACAGAGCTGGTTTACAAAATACGCTCTTTCCATTTCGGTTCCTATCTCAGTCAGTAGCAGTTCACACTAGATGCGGAGCAAAACAGCCTTTCATCTATCGTTTTGCCATGAAGTTGTTTCTTCTCTGAATTCTCAGAGGCTGGGTGAAAGTGGGCCTTTGGAAAATATCCTGGAAAAGGATTTCTTGAAAGGTGTGGGAACCCTAAATTTGATTTGTTAGGTGTTTTTCATGCAGCTGACTGTAGGTAAAGTTACTTTTGAATAGAGCACCACCAGTATATCAGTTGGTTGACAATGTATGAGGTAAATTATTTAACAAAATACAGAATATTTAAGGTAAATATACAGTATACAATATAAATATACAATATACAATATAAATAAAAACCTTAGAAGGCAATCTGTAATCAGTTGGTTGCATTCTGCAACTTCACCACTAGATGCCACTAAATTATTCACACTGGTCCTTTAAACTCAGTTGACATAATATGCATATTTTTGCTCTATTGGTTTTATTCACATAATTAAATAACATTTTTAGTTCAATACAGAGCAATTTCAAACCTTTTTTTGATACATTTTGTAAAAACTCACTTCAAGGTGAGTTGCAATCATGGGAAAGACAAAGGAGCTTCCACAAAAGCTGAGAGAGGAGATTATTTCATCACACCTGAAGGGCCTTGGCTATAAGAAGATTTCCAAAAAATGGAATATTCCAAGAGACACCATTGTCTGTGTTTAAAACTTATGGACCAGCTGCAAACACGCCTGGCCGTGGAAGAAAGCCCAGCATTTCATCATGTGCCCTTAGCAACTTCACGTCAGAACAACTTAGAGAAACCCCTGTGTGACTACAAGACACCTACAGGATGACCTAATGAAGGCTGGTACAAGTGCTTCAGTGGCAACTATAAGACGTGCACTGAATAAACAAGGACTTCATGGACACACTCCACTCTTGACCACAAGGAACATCAAAAGTAGACAGTTCTATGGACTGATAAAACCAAACTGGAACTGTTTGAACATATGGACCAGTGGTCTGGCGTGTGAAAGGCCAGGCTTATGACCAGAAGAATACCATCCCCACCCTCAAGCATGGAGGAGGATCATTGATGATGTGGGGCTGTTTTTCTGTGGCAGGAACTGGCAATCCTGATCGTGTACATGGCATCATGGATTCCCAGAAATACCAGGCCATTTTAAAGAGGAACGTGATGCATTCTGTTGACAAATAAACCTTTGTGATCATTGGCCTTTCCAGCAAGACAATGATCCCAAGCACACCTCCAAGTCAACCAAAGCTTGGTTGAGAAAAAGATCCTGGAACGTCCTGGAGTAGCCTTCTCAGTCACCAGATTAAAATCCGATTGAAAATCTTTGGTGGGAATTAAAGAAGGCAGTTACAGCACGGAAGCCATCAAACATTATTGAGCTAGAGGCTTTTGCACGTGAAGAATGGCCAAAGATTCCGGTTGAGGGTTGAAAGAAGCTTGTCAGCACTTACTGAAAACGTTTGTTAGAAGTTATCAGAGCTAAAGGATGCTCTACAAATCAAAATCACAATCAGATTTATTGCCAGGTAGGTTTTTACACATACGAGGAATTCGTCTTGGTGCAATGGTGCTTAAAATATACAATCACACAAAAATATACAAAGTACTGAAGCTGGGGGTTGAATAATACTGCACATGCACGTGTTAAAAGAGTTACATTTTTCATTTGAACTTCAAAGTTAAGTCAACTTCTGTTGTCAAAATAACTCAAATATGTATCAATAAATATTTTTTGTTGTTTAATGAGGTTTTTTCTCATTTATTGTCATTATCTTTCATCCACATCACTATAATGTCTTTTGAGGTGAGGGGGTTGAATATTTCTGATTGCAACTGTATATCTGCTATCAAGTACTGCATGTGTATGACAATATAGTACCTTCTTCCTCTGTGCCACATTACTCCCTTTTGTCCAAAATCTATTAAAAACTTATCAGTGAGCCACACTATTGCTCTGGGTAACATTTTCCTTTATCACCATGAAGTTTATTATGACTCAATCGCAGATACACTGTCCTGCTACCAGAAATACTCACTATAGCCCTAAATGTGTGTTAATCCGGTGCTTAAAATAGTCCACAACAAATTCGCCTTTTCCTGTTTGTGTAACATTTGTTTAAAACTACAGTGAGCAGCTGTTTTGGGAATTTGCTGATCCATTTGCTGATCCTTTTTAATGAAACTGTACAGTATATTTCTGAGGTGTTTTTAAAGGTTCCCATCACCAGTAGCAAAGACACAGGAAAAGGCAATATGAAACTTGCACTTGCATGATTGCACACAAAATAATTCTAAGCAGTTGGGTGACTTCTCCCAAAGCAATGACTGCACGTTATGTGAAACCTGTATATATTTTGAATCTCTCCAGCGATACGCAGCCACTCCCCAGCCAAGCCGGTGCTGATTTTTGTGTCATCACGACGGCAAACTCGACTGACTGCCCTGGACCTCATCGCCTACCTGGCCACAGAGGACAACCCCAAACAGTGGCTACACCAGGACGAGAGAGAGGTACACCAACACCACATGTAGTGTCTTAAACCTGCATTCCTTCTAATGGTCAGCAGGGGGAGCTCCATGGGCTGCAAAAGAGGCCTGATAGAACTGAGTCTTATAGAGGAATTGCCCCACTTCTTACTTGATTTATTAGCTCAATAAACAGTTTCCTAATGAGTTTATATTCTCAATTTCAAGTCTTCTTCCATATAGCATAATATTAATTTCCCGATCAAATATATATATTTTCTGTTTTTCGTTTCCTGTTATGGACGAGATGAAACCAACGACACCCCAATTTGTAGTGCGTCACCGCTAGCCCGTAGAATGTAGAACATACAATTCAGGGACTTTGCTATAGCCAGAGAGCTGATGCAGTTGGTGCACATATTATCAGATGTGTCCGTCACTCTCATGTATTTCCTTCACTTCTGCCCACTTCTCTTTTGCTCTCCCTCCTCCTCTTGCAGAATTGTGCTGATGCTCCATTTCTCTGTATAAGCGCTGGTTTAAGTGTAATTACAGATGGAATTCGACCCAAGTTGTGCAGGAAAAGTCTGTGTCATCCTCCATTATATTGTCTGTGCATACCTTAGGATCAGTTCAAGATGGGAGCAAATGACTCCTCTGGGATCACATTTGTGCTAATATTATTACAACAGCCGGCCTGATAGAGCATGGGGGGTGGCTATCAACTGGTTTTACTATAACAAAGTTGTGTAATTATTAAAGGGATTAAAAATTGAGCAGGATCATGTCTGTCAGATACATACATATTTCAACCACCTAGTCATTTGTAGAGTATAATCTGCATTAAATATTGTTATTCTTGTCTACCTTTACATCATTATTTTAGATTTGCCCAGTTAGCAGCAGTGCCTAACCTGCTGTTCACACATGCGCAATCAAAGCAACAGGATCCCTGTCAGTGTAAATTGACCCCAAATACATCTGCCAGGACCACTGGTGTGGTGCTTGAGAGTTACAAGACAAAGTTTATAATTTTCATGTCCTCTGATCTGTGGGGGTCATAACAAATAGTGCTTATTTTGAGCCAGCAAAATAGGATGCAGCCATGTCACATGACACTTGAACCAAGAGCTCATACATATAGGACTGTCGGATCAATGGTGCTGGTTTTATGTCATTGTTATAGTGTCATATGTGTTTCTTCGTCACTTGGAAGGGAAGGGGGGGGGAGTTGTGATCTGCAACTACATTGCTAGAGGCCACTGAATCATACACACTGGACCTTTTAGTCTGCAGTGACCCCAAGATGTTTTGTCTAACTCCAGCATGAGGCAAAGTTTACCACTAGTACCAAAGAGATATCCGAAGCTAATGCTCATTATGCCATGAAAATGTACTAAGCGCAATCATGCTCTCCATAGGATTAACTCTTTCAGTGTTGGACAGCCCATGATATCTTGTGCCATTCTCACGCCAAAATGTCAACTTGACACACCAAATATTGGACTTTTCTGTTGTACCACCTTTGGACATGCTTTAAGGTTCTATATATATGAGATTTAAAATATGAATATAGCAGCAAATCAACTATTCTACTATGATGAGATATAATAGAGTCATGGAGTCACACTCCCTCTGCCTGTGTTGCTATCACAGCCTCTGTGTGGTTTGTGTCCATAGCCGGTCTGCTCCAAGAAAGGCAACTGAAAGTGCTGTTTTTATCATCTACGTGGGTAAATTAAGGATTTATTTAAACAAAACCGGAGATGGTGATTGTTGGAACAGTGGAAAGACTAGCAAAGACAGTTTTGGTGAATTGTATTTTGTTTCTGTGCAGAGTGAAGTTAAGATGGTCTAAGAGGTAAAATTTCTATTTTTATCCGTGGAGTCTGGTGGAGAGTAATAGCAATATTACGGCTGTTTCTGGTTAAACAATAGGTCTGTCTCTGTAGGGATCTTTTCCATAATGTTGTCAAAATTTTAAAATAACAATCTGAGCCTGTCAGTGGCAAAAACAACAACTTTTAGTGGACTGACTTTGATGGCGATTACTGGCGTTTTCATTAATATTTCCACACCTAGCTCTGTGAATTATTTTGACCAAACAAGTATCGGTGATTGTTGGAAAGACTGACAAAAATAAGGTTTTGGTGAGTTTTATTTTGTTTCTGTCCCATTGTTTAGGTCTAAGATGCTGGTGCTCTGCTGCAACATCTAGTTGCAAGTGAATTTCACATATATATAACCGTTGAGATACAGCCTCAAAAACATTTAAATGTGCTACCTGGAGATTTAGAATGTATAATCAGTGTTTTTGAGACATAGGAACACTGCGGCTGCAATTTGCATAAACAAAATGTCTCAAATATCATGTCTGAGCTTTCAGCTGTGTGCCACTAAATCTTCTGTATTGCTCTGTGGCACAAAGGGCCATTGTTTTATAGCTCCATACAGCTTGAGAGCTAATCTTCTAGAGGAAATAATGCCAAATTTTTGCTGTAATTTGGCAAAAATAGAAAGAAGGCAAATGGAAAAAATCACTTCCTGACAATCACTTCAATCATCACCTTCTCTGTTTACTGTAAGTCTACCTGGAGCAGCATTATTAATTCAACCATGATATGTTCAAGTTTAAAATGATACATATGGAAGCGTTACACTGTCCTGAATTTGCTTTGCTGAACCCTGCAGATACCTCGTCTCAATGCAAATATGCACTGTCTTATAACATAGGCCTAGGTTCTATATGTGTGCGCACAGCGTCCCCGGCCTCTGTGTGTGTTCTGCTGATATATGCCGCTGCCTGCTGCTGCTCTGCGCTGGCCCATGTAGCAGCTCAGCTCCCCGCTGTTTGACTGACAGGCTTCTGGCGATAGCTGCTTAACTCTCACCGGGGGTCACCCACTGCCCCAAATCCCCTCTCTGACCTGACAGCTCTTTCTTCCCTTTGCTGCTGCCTGAAACCTCCGGCTCCTTCTCTCAGGGCTGGATTTTCACTCTCCCTCTTTCATTCTTGTACTTATTGTTACCTCGGATCCTATTTTTTAATTGATTTGTTAACATATTTGAAATCTAAACTGCTTGACTCTAATGAGATACATCCAATTTTGAGAGGTGGGGACTATTTTTTTTTTTTTTTATAATTTAATTAAATGAATTGAAAACACAGATTTTATTGATGATTTTGTGTCCTTTGTGTCCACTATTAGGTACATTTCTTGTTTTTACTGGTACATATGCTGTCCTGTCTTCCCATCTTTATGTTTTTTTCAAACTACAAAGAAGACAAATAATGAGGACAGAAGCTCTGTTTTCTCCAGCAGCTCTGCTCCACTGACTATCTCTGTTTACTCTGGCAAAGCACAGGTTACACTTTTTCTTCCTTCAACCCAGAAGCTGTTTGTGTTGGCTGGAAGACATTAGATCTGTATAGTGCAAGGCAAGATGCCCCCATCCTACTGGAACCAGAGGAGAGCCATGCAAATGAGCCACATGTCTGCAGCTGAATAACTGCCACTGTGGAGTTCTCTGTTGTTCATGATCTGTCTACAGGGTGTCAAAAAGCTCTTCAGACAGTAACGGCTTTAAAGGAAAGTTTGATGTTTGGGGAAATACACTTATTCACTTTCTTTCCCAGAGTTAGATGAGAATATTATCAAACTAGTTTTATATAGTGATCAGTTAACTGAGTGAGTGATCAAAGGGAAGTGAATGCCTTTTGCTTTGGCAGGACCCCATCTTATTATGCAGACAATAGCAGAGTACCTTAACTTCCAAATAAGGGTCAAAGGTCAACATGGAAGACGTTTTCATTCTCTCCTCCAGTTTTGCGTCTTTCTGCCAGCGCATACAGTATCACTGTGTCTGGTCTAGTATATGGTGTCACGGTGTCATTGTCAGTCACTCAGTCAGTTTGTGTCATTGATCTATCACTGTCTGTGTCTGTGTTTGTCTGTAGATAGAGGATATCATTGCCACAGTAAGGGATTCCAACCTGAAGCTGACGCTGGCCTTTGGGATCGGCATGCATCATGCTGGCCTGCATGAGAGAGACAGGAAGACAGTGGAGGAGCTGTTTGTCAACTGTAAGATCCAGGTAAGACCTCATCCTATACTGATTACTCAAACCCAAAACCCAAACACTGATCTGCAACTAGTACTAACCACTAGATGATACTAAATCGTACCCACTGAACCTTAAATGTTAGTTGATTTAGGAAATAATGGGGGAAAAAGTTTTTAAATGACATACTTTTAATGTTTGGGCTTGGGAAGTTATCAAGCCTTTTCACTTTTCTAAGTGAAGTCACGAGTCTTTGGTTTGAAAGTCCAAGAAGAGTTGCAAGTTTTTTTTTGATTTTGTCAAGTTGAGTCTAAAGTCATCAAATTTATGACTGGAGTCTAAATCAAGTCCAAGTCATGTGACTTGAGTCCACATCTGTGGTGTTCATACGAGAAGCAAGAGTTAAACGAGTGAAATCCTCGGGATCCAGGGAACACCAATCATTTTTATGAAATCATGTTATGGTCAAATTTTACTTTACTTCTTTCTGGACAGGGGAGCTACACAGTCAATAAAATAAAAGCTTTTTTATTACCCTGTGTATTTCTTTAACCACCTTGTCCTTGACCCAGATCATATCGTTAAAACTGAGAGAAAAACACGACAGCTCTGTTGTATCTGCTTGAAAAACTTGCATGATGAGGCCTTATGCAGACAGTAACATACACACTGCAAAGTACAGCGGAATGTAGATTAAACCATTATAGATGTGATATATGCACTGCATGAAAATTGCTATTTCACTTATGTTCCCTGGTTTTCCTCAGCATTTACATTCCTGATATTATTGATATTATCCTGTTATTTTTCACTTATTTTCATTCTGTATATAATTTCTTGTATAGTTTAAGTTTGCTCCTATGTTGTATAATTCCAGTGAGTTCCTCTCTCTCAGGTATTGATTGCCACCAGTACTCTGGCCTGGGGGGTGAACTTCCCCGCTCACCTGGTGGTCGTCAAGGGAACGGAATACTATGATGGCAAGTCCAGGCGCTACGTGGACTACCCCATTACAGGTACACAGTCCTGTCCATCAGGTGTATTCTCATTGCACATTGACAGTCCATTTTGTTTTAATCATCCACAACAGAATACAAGTTTACATTATGTTTGTAAGCAATGAAATCTGATTATTTAATGAATTATCCCTTATGAAACTTTGAGGGATGATTCCTATTTCTTCTATAATGACAGCTGATCCTTCCCAAGACCCTTCTTGGTCTGTGCTTCAATAACAGTTGAGCAAGTCTTGGTCACAACCTCAGTCAAACTTTCCTGTACTTAAACATGTTAGTCCATGCTAAACCTGGAAAAGCCCTGGAATAGACCAAGTGACACAAAGAGTCACTTTTCATTGTAGCATATTCAAAAAACAGTGGAATACAGGGTGGAAAAGCAGTCTTTTTTAATGTACAGTGTGCCCTGTGTGTGTGTAGATGTTCTGCAGATGATGGGGCGAGCAGGTCGCCCTCAATTCGACGACCAGGGCAAAGCAGTTATCCTTGTCCACGACATCAAGAAGGATTTCTACAAGAAGTTCCTCTACGAGCCTTTCCCTGTTGAATCCAGGTAACAGTCACATGTCTGTTGGCATAGTTATTAAGATTCCTCCCATCATTAGGCCACTTATATTTTCACTTCATTTTCTCTAAAGAGAAAACATAAGAGAAGTCAGCTCCAGATGCACCAAACGTTCTTAATGTAGAGATCAGTGTGTAAGCCATTCAGAAGCTTAACGCATGCAAGATCAAGTTGCAAGTGTTTGTATTGGTTCAATAGGGATCAATGGGCTCAATTCTTTAGCCCACAAATGTAATAATCCCATCACTATAATTACCCTAAAACACATAATCTAATCTGATTATATAATATTCATGTTTTTTTTTTTTTTATGTTCCTCAAATTTAAAACATTTGTTTCTTTGCATTGGACAAACAATGTGTGGACTGTGGAAACTAGGTGAATTTCTTTCTAATCTTTGTAAGAGTGCCCTCTACCACTGGTAAAATGTTTTCTGTTTTAAGAGCAAAAAGTAGAAAACATTGGGGATTCCTAGAAATTAGTGGGTACTAACAAAATAAAACAAAATCGTGGATCCGATAGAAAATTGAGGAAATCTGTTTGTGTATAGCATTGTGCATGACGCCTGTTTGGGATGGCAAAGACCAGGGGCTTCCTTTACCAGACTGTCCACTGAACAAGTCTAAAGCTGTGCATATATACTTCTTGAGTATGAGCAAGATATTATTCATCAAACATGTGTACGTCCACCTGTGGAGATCTCAAAAAGCCCCCTCAAATTGCTGTACAACAACATCCATTAACAAGACCTCGTAACCGAAATCCACTATAAAAGTGGGAAATATATGTATATGACCCTAACCCACTCACACACACCATTAAATGACCTGTGTGTCTCACATATTCCTGAACAGACATAGCATAGGCACAGCAGGCAGTTGACATTTGTAGGGAATACTGTTATCCATAATAAGAGCTGTGGCATGTTGAAGAAAAAATGGCTTGTCTTTAAAGTGACAGGAAAAACATAGTTGTTGCACACAATAGAGCCATCAGTACCACAGGAGGGGGACAAAGTCCCAGTTCAGCATCATTCATAGATGACCAAATTGCAGCTGGTTACTGGGGAGATGTCCCTGAAAGGCATCATCCGGCATAGTGAAACCGAGAGGAGACTGGACCACAACAAACTGGGAAGCAAGTAGTGTAGCTGTTGCAGCATGACAAATGAATGACCTGTCAGATTAATGAGAGAGACTGGTACAGGAACACAACAGGTAACTGTTAATGCAGAATGGTTCAAACTAATTGTCTCTAACAGGATTTGTCAGGCCCTGCACCACGAGATGTGCTGGCTCAGAGATCTGTGGTGTGTTTAGGTGTTTAGTGATGCAGTACTAGAGAAACAGAATAGAACAGAAATTTAGAATGTATAAGTATAATGATAACATAATAATAATGTAATAAAATTGAATGAAGAACTAAATCCCCACTTCAGAGAACATATTTCCTTTTTCACAACTTTTTTGTAACCTTGTAACAGATTTTATTTCAGAAGAGTTGCTAGTTCTAAATGAAACTCACCTTAAAATGTTTGACTAATTTGCATTGTGAAGAGGGTCAAACATGTCTTCAGACTCCTTTGTGGGTTGTTGACAATCAGTCTATCCATTCACAGGATTCATAATAATGTTTTGTACTGTAAAAATAAATTAGTTCACCTGACTCAAAACTGATACCAAACCAGTCTTTTTTTATATCTTACTTTGAGACCAAACAAAACAAAGTAAACTTCCAAAATGTTAAGTGTTGTCTAAACATAAGCATCCGTGCAAGAACTTTTCCTAATTATGGCAGCATTTTGATTTAATTCAGGATCTATCTAGAATAGGAGAACAGGTTTAAGATTCTGACCACACATTTATGCCAGAAGTCGTAACAGTTTGGTGCTGGGGCTGCAACAATCAATTAATCTGTCAATTATTCTCTCATTTAATGGATCATTTAATCATGTTGTCGGTAAAATGTACAATGTGTAACAATGTACATCACAATCCATGGTGGTGTTTTGTTTTCTCCAACCAACAGTCCAAAACCCAATGATATTCATTTTACAGTAGAATAATTAATTGATAATCATTGCGAAGCATGTTGCAATGTTTTTAGACATTATTTTGCATAGAAATTGCTAGAGAAAATTGCAAAAATAGTTGGGATTTTTTTTTTTATTCAAAGAGAATACAATTGCTAGTAGTTTAGTGACGTATGGCTCAACTTTACACACAGAAGACTGGGCAAATAAGCGGATAAGTTGCCGTGTTTGGATAAAAAGTGCAAGGATTCAAAAGGGAATCAGACTTTATTGATCCCCAGGGGGAAATTGGTTGCGTTACAGTTGCTCAAGTTGTATAACAAGACATTATTAAAAATAGAAATATGTGCATTAAATTACAATATATAACAAGCATATATATAAAGAATATAAACTAAGAGGGTGTAAAGTATGTCCATTGTATTACAGTATATAACAATTTATAGAAAATAATACATTCAAATATGTATAGTACAGTATATTACAGAAAACTAATGAATGAATACTAATAATGAGTACTAATAATGCTACTAATTGTTACAAGATCACATCTTCCTGGTAATCTTCAATGCAATTATTCAAATTATAAATCTGTCTGTAAGTAATATTTCTGTGATTGTGTGTTGTGTCCCCAGCCTCCTCGATGTGCTGTCAGACCATCTGAATGCTGAGATTGCTGCAGGAACCATCGCATCCAAACAGGATGCAATGGACTACATCACCTGGACCTACTTCTTCAGACGGCTGGTGATGAACCCCAGGTTAGGAACCCCTGCTCACACCACATATTATTACCAACAGCCTAGTTCATGCAGATCAAAACTGAGGAAAGCACACATACACACATTCTTGGCCTACTCTCACGACCTGGTTAGAGGAGTGCCATGTTCTTCTGTCAAACATCTGCTTTGTAGACAGAGACCATTCCAGAACATTCCAGCCTGCTGGTATTTGCACGGCTGTCAGCCCACATTTACCATTCAGGCCCTTACTGAGGCTGAGCAGTAGAACTGTACCACCAACACAGCTCTGTAAAAAACAGAAATTCTTTTGGATTCAAGCTGGGATTTTGTGTCAATATTCAGTGTCTGGCAATTTTTTAGCAAAATGATGACATGGATTTAGTGCTCCTTTAGGATTGCTTTGGTGGAATAGCTCAGATGGTATTTATGGTCATATTTTGGCTGGTATGGACCATGTAAACACAACATCCTGGTTTTAAATATACACTAGGGCCTTTGATATCATTCCACTACTCTCTATAGTTTACTGTCTCTCACCATGAGTTGAAATAACAAAAAGCCTCAAAAATAGTTTTAAACTCACTAATGCTGCTGAGACCCAGGATAGAAATACTACTGCGCTCCAAGTTCTTGATTCAGGTGGTCTACGAGGTCTTTCCCAGCCCATCCAACCTGCTCACATAGGGCAAAGTGGAAACACCTGCATGCTGTGTTCCAATAAAGGGCAAAGGTCAACTACATCCTGAGCAGGTTCTCCAAAGCACTGGGCGGAGGGACTTTTATTGCTGGAGACAAGACCCGGTCCTAAGTCCCTTACCGAGGCAATCATCCGGGATCAATGACAGCCAATACACCCACACTACAGCCCGGATGGATGAGTTTGTCAGGAGGGAGAGCAGCCACAGAAAAAAACCCAAGAACTGCTCTGTTGGTTTGCTTTCCACGGCACAAAACTGGCAATGACATTTGACCTGGAGAGGCAGCTGAAAAGTCCACCCCACATCATCCAGTCCTCGTTAAGATCAGACATCATCTTGATCTCTAAAGCCACAAGACAGCTTCTCTTGCTGGAGCTAACTGCGGGAGGAGAGGATGGAGGAAGAGGACAAAGTACCAGGAGCTGGAAGAGGACAGCTGCAGGAATGACTAGCCACTACTGCAACTAGCTCGCTGTTTACTAATCACTCCATCAGCCAACGCCACACTGCATTTATCCGGCGCCAGCTGGCCCGCAACACCAGCCGACAAAGTAACCCGTAAACAGCAATACAGTCAATTATCCAGCCAGCTCAACCCTGGGAGTCCGAATGAATTAGCTGACGTTATTCACTTAAGACAGTATTTCACTACATTATCTATCTATCTATCTATCTATCTATCTATCTGTCTAGCAGTTTGTCCGTGTTAGCAACGCTAACAGTTAACATTAGCCAGCTAAAACCACAATATGACAATGTATTCCACAAGCTTTGCAGTAATGTTAGCTTTGAGATTGGACTTTGTGTTGCGTTGGACTCTGTGTTGTAGTGGGTGCTAGTCGTTTGTTTATGTTGTTTTATTCCATTTATAAGCTAACATTAGCTAGTGTTGCATACTGTAGGGAAGCGTTGAGAGAAGACACTCTGTAAGCGTCTCATCCTTTGGATTTCCCTGGAAAATCTGATCCAAAACCTTACATAGCAATCAGTCCACAAGCTGTCATAAGCAACAGAGAAAGTCGGGGAAGGTCTCATTTTGGAGGGAATTTGATACTGGATCCAGATTCCGTAAAATTCTATTGATCTTCTACCCAGAGTGACTGTATCAATACATAGTGTTTTTGACAGATTCTGTAGATTCTTTAAGAGTTGATATTAAAATTAAATACACATGTCAAAGAAGAAAAAAGTACTACACTGCATATGGGTGTAGCAACATTCTGTTAATGTGCAGAAGATACTGCAATGATGGGGTTCTTTGTATTACCTATTTTGTGTCCTTTTTTTGTGCTAATTTAATGGTCTACCTTCGGAGAATGAGAGCCGCTCAGGGACAGACGTTCCGCGGCGCAGTGCACACAGCATTGTTCGACTGACAGTAGCCAGTTGGAAAAACAAAAACATATTGCCGAACCCTAACATGAAGTTGCATTTAACACTAAGTTCGACCCACAGGCATTCCAGTAAATCAAAACAGAATTTGGTTTTAATGTGACAAACATATTTTGCCTTTATTGCATGCTCTTTAATCGACAGTTGTATATCTGCACCTTTAAATTCAGATTCATGCTACATGAGATTGCATTTCATGTCTTTGAAATTTTGTCTCTGAATGTTCAGATACTCCGATGCCGTTATTGCTACGCAGCTGTGTTTTATATCTGAACAGCTAATCTATCACCACTGATTTCATGCTTTGACTCTCACAACACACACACACACAGATACACACCAACAGAGAGTCCCATGGGTATCGTAAACGTCCGCAGGCCGACTCCCTGTGCCATCAGGCACCTAATGGTGATGATGCTAATGGCCATGACTTAATCAGACAGGCCCCACCACCGGTAAAGACCTGTGAAATGTGTGCGGTAATAAACACATTCAGCGCTCAGAACTGCGTGCTGTTAACATGTGGAGCGATGGGAATGAAAGAAATACTTAACATTAAACACACATTAAATATGGCCATCACCCGTCTCAACTGCTGCTTCCAGCCCACAGTTGAGGCTGTGATTTCTCCTCCCGGCTCCCAGCTGCACAATAAATGATTTTGTATAACGATCATGAAGATATCATTTGTTTTAATGTAATATGAGAAGTGGGCGATTTGTCAGAGTTGGCCCTGGTTTGTATGCATTATGCAGACAACTGCAAAATTACCTTAATCTAATATTCCTCCTCCACCTGTTAACTGACGTATTGGTATTCATCCTTGCTATGATTCCTTTTTTCATTTTTTTATACAACTTTAAGCTCCTCTTTGGTAGTTTATTTTATTTGTTTCCAACATTTCTGTCTATGTTATTGGCAAAGTCCATTTTCATTTTCACATTCAAAACAGAAAAGAAAATATTTTACTCCCATATAGTATTATTATATTATATTAGCCACAAAGCAAAAGAAGAGGGACCCAATGAAAAAACCCTGAGAAAAAAAGAAGACACGGAGACAGGGAGCACAGTTTAACAAAACGTAATATTCTTAGTAAAGTAACTAAACTCAGTTTATTACAATAAAGACTATGGGAGGTCACCAAAATACATGCTAAGGCTGGGCAATTCTGAAACTCATGGATGGTTGGCACCGGAGTGTGAATCACTTTGGATAAACCTCCAATTCTGAGGCTGTTAGAAAATAGTGGATTGCTGTCCCAAGTAAAGTCTTGTTCATAAGGTAGGTTGCAGCACAAGATCAACTGTGAGGTGGGTGCGGCCTAGCACAGGCATAGTGCCAGACTAATGTTTTGAGTCTGAAGGCAAAGCTCTCAGTTTACTGGTATATTTACAATCCAACCCTCTCCTATGGTCATGAGGTTTGGAAAATAATGCGGTCGTAGATACAAACGGTTGAAATTAGTTTCCTCCCCAAAGTGGCTAGGCTCAACCTTAGAGAGAGGCTATGGTCATCCGAGTGGAGCTCTGAGTAAAACCGTTGCTCCTTCACATTGAAAGGAGTCAGTAATGTTGTTTGTAGAACCCTGCGCAGGACTGTTTTCTTTATACTGCTCCCGGCAATGAATGTGTTCCAGACCACCTCCTCCTGTGGGACCCAGCAACGGCAATGAACTTGCTGAGTCAGTCTAGTTCACAATCATGTAAGAGGACTTCTTTATTCTCCGATCTGTTCACGTGGTGGTTATTCTTAACAAACCAGCAGTTATTTCAAGACAGTGTGATTGACTCACACATTAAGGAACTCATGTCTACAATTGTAATCCCGCAAAAACCCTGCAGTCTATTTTTTGACTGCCTGCTCCCACCCACAGCCAAGTTCAAACTGCCTGCTCCCACAAGATTTGTGTTGGGACTTCTGGCACACTGCAGGACATATATTAGTGTAATACTTCGTAGAGTAAATTGTAATTGTTAATTATCTTATATTGCGTTTTTTGTCATTTATCTGATGTAGAGATATCTTTGGTGTGTTATACAAAATTTTGCACCAACTCTGGTTATCAGGTAAACACAATATTTATTTTGGTCTCATCATTTATGGCCAGTAGGTCATACACAGTACGAATTTTATGATTACATGTATGTCACTTTAATAGTAATCAAACAATAGATCAATAAATAGATAGATTGATAGATGGCTAGGTAGATAGTAATACAAGTGTGTTTAAGGAATATGCCACCCTTCCTTTAATTGTTGAAAGGTTTTAATGCATCAACTACATACACACAATATTTCGACTTTTAGCAATGCCAGCAGCCATTCCTCCAACCCCACATCTGTGTGTGTTTTCAGAGTCAGAATTATTGGCAACAGGGCCTAAAAAGGAATACTGGCCACTAAGTATTCATGGATACAGTATAAAGACTTGCATAATTTTCTAAAAGCTGATTTGTATTTCATGTAAGCTTGCAACATTCTAAAACAAACAAAAGGAAGGTTTCATGTAAAGACTTTTTTGCAATGTACACTTGATACAATTTACAAATGATTACTTATCATCCTTAACACATTTTCTGTGAGTCTCCATTGGGAAGCCCAGTTATACTTCTTAACTTCTTGTATTCATGAAAGCATGAAATATAGTCATTAATTGACACTACAGAACAACCAGATGGCACTTATAGCACAAATAACCACCAGTAATGAACAACTCTCCACCTTAACCAAGACATATTTTACATTACTTACATTACAAATGTAAACAGGTTTTTTCCACCCTTGCAAACATACCTTTAGGGTTTTTAGCATCTGTTTCTACCAGCTTTAATGAAACCATGCCTGGTTTCTCCACACTTTTATTTGACTTGCACACACCATGCACAAATATTGGCATTATGAGCTAATGAAGATTGTCTTTGATTACACTACTGCTGAGCCTCATGTGGTAGCTCTTACTTAGCAGAGCTGAGCATGGAACCCATTTTGGCCACTGGTTGTCTTATTTCAGCTAATAGCCGTCTAACCTGGGAATCATTTGCTGGCAAGGGCTGGCCATTTTTCTTTCAACTGGGGCTTTTCTTCACAAAACAACAGTGTGTACACGACTTTAACCAGAAAAAGTGTGTAGATACAATAGTGGCAAGCCATTTTACCACTGTTATCTTGGTATTCCATTAGGCCTTAATGAGGTTTCATCATCTGTAAGGTTCCATCATGGCTATTACATAATTGAGGAGACAAAACCTAAGTCAAGGATACTCCAGTCAAGTCTGGCATCCCGGTTCTGAGACTTATCCTGGTTTTTTATCATATGATGTTTACATGGAACATAGAGAAAGCTGGTTGTGCTCCTTGTGTACCTGTTGGTAACATTATCCAGATAGTTTGCAGTGGTGTATGCATGCCTTCGACTGCTTCACATCAGCCAATCTGTAATATCAGTACAGACTGAGTTACTTCAACAGTTGAGGACAAACCCAGTTTTGGTTTATCCTTAAAGCAGTAGTTAGATTAGTTCAGTTCACTGTGTAAATCATAATAAAACTATATCATGACAGTATTACTGAATACCATACACAACGTGAATCGATACACATCTGGTTAACTCAACACGTTAATTGGGATTAATTTAAAAAAATGTGTCAAAAACTTGAACTTAACACATTACATACTTACATTACACACATACTTTAATGATCTGTCATGGCCACAAGTTCAATGAAAAAAAGACATGTATTTGGAGAAATGTCTGAACATTTGGAAATAAAACAGTTTATTGATTTCTAATACCACCTTTAGATATTTCTATTCAGTGTTTTACTAATGTGCCACAATAATGTTTTGGAGCTCAAATATCTCCAAGCAAATGTTGATATATGTGATTATCTGTGGTTGAATCAGCATATATGTCTCTGTGCCACCCCATGAGTATTTCTCCAGATTTTCCACTGCTCCAGTTGTTCATTCCCTCAAAGGTCAGCAATGTCAAGACAATACTGCAAACTCAAAATTCACCACAATCACAAATCTCTCACGCCTTGCAAAAGATTTGCCCAGATTTGCCCTAGATTGAGCTGCTTAAATGCCCTGAATAAGAGCAACTATGAAGCGAGTAAAACAATACAAGTTCTCAGTTTAAAAGAACAAATACACAGAATGGTAAATAGGCTTCCTTTTGCATTTTTACATAAGGTCACTGATGTTTCTTTTTTGTATGTCTTGTGTTGTTTAGTTATTACAGCCTAGAGGACATCAGCCACGAGTCCATTAACAAATACCTGTCCAACCTGGTGGAGAGAAGCCTGCGGGACCTGGAGTGCTCTTACTGTATAGAGATAAAAGAGGTGCGTGTATCATTTTTAAAGTAGGTTTGTAGTCTGAATGATGAAAGGAGCCAAATTTGTTTAATATGAGATCAAGTTTGTGAAATGTTTGTTTCCATTAATTCTCCAGGATGATCTGACCATTGAGCCAATGACTTACGGTCGTATCGCCTCCTATTACTACCTGAAGCATCAGACCGTCCGCATGTTTAAAGAACGACTAAAGCCTGAGCTGCCCATCCACGAGCTGCTCTCCATTCTGTCGGTGAGTTTCTATTTTCATCTTATCAGTGCCACCACTTTTATGTATATATCTGTCCTTTTACACTAAAACCTACCAAAAAGATACATGTGTGCGCTCGTGTGTCCAGGACAGAACCTGATTCTGTTGGAAGATTTGAGCCTACCTTAATTTCCAGAGGTATGGATTTGGATTGGAGTCAGACTTGAGTCACAAATTTGATTTTACACTTGATTTAACAAAATCAAAAAGGATTTGCAACTCGACTTGGAATTTAAGGCATGGGAACCTATTCTAATAGACCCCCATATCAAAGTATGAAACTGAAGCATAAGAGCATAATATGGCCTCTATAATATATTACTCTGATAATATTTTCAATGAATGCGTTATGACTTGTTTATGACATGAAACTCAAAGTTTAGGACTTGAGTGCAAAGACTCGAGACTTATTTGTGACTTGCAAAATAATGACTCAGTCCTACCTCTATTAATTTCTATGAAATACATTGAGTTAGGGCAGGACTCTCCATACTGTACCTCTGTATGCACAGTCGGGGCTGGAAACATTTGTGTTCATGGTGTGAGAAGTCATTAAACATTAAACTGTGCTAAGAGAGAGTCAAGCAATTAAATAGATGTTTCTCACAAACTATTTTCCAATTAAATGTAAGAAAAACATGAGTTGCAAGTGCAAATGAAAAAAACATGACTGCACTTATTTTTAGTACAATACTCTAAATATTGAATTCGTTGGATATAAACAAGATTTCAGTGTTAATTGTGCCATTACACACTTTGGCAATGCTTCCGTTTGGTTTAGTCTTCCTTTTTTTGCTGCACGCCAGTCATATCCGTGTAGCATTGCAGCTCTGCCTTTGGCAGCGTGTACCTAAAAAGACGTGACAGCAGCACATTTGTAACTTTTTAGAAACTCCACACTCCACTGAATCTGTGATCAGTGACAGAAGACATACCTTGTTATATTCGTATCTTTTTGGTTTTTGCCAATACAGGATACATCAGAGAATGTTCATGCCCACACACACACATGCTTTACTCCCTCCCATCAAATTAGCACCTTTGTCTGAGCTTCATTAACGTTCCTCATTCCGGGGCTTTGGGGGCAAGGTCATCCACACTCTGGCTTCTGATTGGTGGGGTCAACACAAGACATGGTGGTTTCACACCTTCACTGAGGAGGGTTGATGACATACTCCTTTATGCCACTGCTTCTAACGGGCTCATATATCTATTTGTAATTATTCATAGTGGATTTCACTGTAAAACATTTTTTTTATCATATTTTAAGGCTACCATTGAGTTTGAATCAACAAGTAAGAAAAAAACTTGTTTGAAATATTCTCAAGAGTCTTTTTTTTTGGTAAAAATGCAGTGATCTGCCCGTTTTGTCTTGTTTCCACATACTGACACTAATTACTTCTGAAGATGCATGTGTCCTCTATAGGCAAGATATCTAATAAAATAAAAAATATTTGAATAAATTAGTGTAAAATTAGGCCATATACCAAGAAATAAGTGTTATTTTTCTATGTTGTTGATCCAGCAATTTAATTGATGCAGTGGGCCACCCAAAAAATAAGCCACACAAGGTTGACTAATTTGTCAAGACACAACTCCTTTTTGGTGGCCAAATACCTTTAATTTGACGCTAGAGACTTATTGATTACTTGTGTCTTCTCAGATCTTAATTAGCTTTTATTCTTGCATTATACTTTTACCATACGGCCAAGTAGTAAAGTCCATTCAGTGGGTTCAGTGTTTGAACCTGACTTCAATAATGATGCTAACATATGGAGGGGAGGCTACTCTGAGACAGTTAACATCACTCCCCTTTGCACACATGTAGTGAGAAGTGGACCAAAGCATGCCATGCCTGGCTGCCTCCCTCCCCGACAAGCTGCAATACAATAGGCCAGTCACCCCGCCGCCCCGTCCACTCCCCCTCTGTTAGCTACAAAACACTGGCATGCTCCTCCAGTTCCCCCTAATTGCTGCAGCGTGTCCACTAATGAGCAACACCCACACTTCGCCACCACCCCACCCCCTCCTCACACACTCTCTTGAGCGCTACCACTCTCCCTGTCTTTGTCTCTGTTTCCTCTCCCGCTGTATTTGTCCTCTGCTTCCTAAGATGGCAGTGTTCTCACAGTGAAGTCAAACATCCAATATAAACTTTGACAAACATGAAGACAGTCAATCGTGTTGACATATACAAATATGCATACCAGATCAATGAGGGAAACCTGACATAATGTTGACATAGAAAATCAACAACTGCTGTGGTCAAAGAGCTAAGAGGCATCTCCGACAATCCAATCATTCCTATCAGTAATGCTGTAATAAGGTTGTACCCACCAAGTTAAACGCAGAGATCTTGGTTAACAGCGGCAGCACTACATTGAAGATGATCAGACAGGTTGGACCCCACTAGTTAAAAAAATCCATTACAAACCCCCCTCCTGATCCAACACTGACCTCCTCTACTTGCCATAACCATGCACACACACATACAATTTGCCTGTGGTCAGTGCCTGAATTAGATCAAAAAAGGTGCCAGTAACCTAATTCAGCACAACCTTAACCCTAATTCTTTTGCCGTTTTTTTTTTAAATCCTTTTTAAAAAGTACATACTCTGTGCTGTTTTTTAGTGTTAAACTAGCAACATGTTAACACTGAGACGCAGTTACGCAGTGGTTTATTAGCTTTCCCCAGCATTGCTTACGCAGGGTTTTAAAAATACAGAGGTCTAACAACTGAACTTGTTAGTGGGGTTTGGGTCCTGCATCAAAGCATCAGAGCAAGTTATTTTTAGACTTTTTTCATGACTTTTATTGTAAACCCCTTGGAAAAAATATTTGTGACTTAATAGTGAGTATAACCATCCTCACCAGAGCTGGCGGTACTTGTGAGTACTGGCTTATCTCAGGCACTGCCTATGGCCTGATAATCAGACTGAATTGCCATTTCATTTAACTTCATGTTTGCCACATGAATTGAAGAAATATGGTAAATGTTAAATGGACTGTACTTATATAGCGCCTTTCTAGTCTTTCAACCACTCAATGCGCTGTACACTACATGCCACACTCACCCCATTCACACACATTTATACACTGATGGCAGTGGCTGCTATGCAAGGTGCCCACTGCTCACCAGAACAGAAACTAATCATTCATAAACACTTAGACATGCAGCGAGAGGAGCCGAGGATCGAACCGCCAACCATCCGATTAGTAAATGACCCGCTCTACCGCTGAGCCCCAAATATGAAAAATATGGCAAATTAGGTCCAGTGTGTAACATTGAGGAGGATCTATTGTCAGAAATGGAATATAATATTCATAGGTATGTTTTCATTAGCGTATAATCAGCTGAAAATAGGAATCATGTTTTCATTACCTATGAGATATTTTTAATCTACAGAAGGAGCAGGTGTCCTTCCATTAAGTCTGCTATGTTGAACCGCCATGTTTCTACAGTAGCCCAGAACGGACAAACTAAACACTGGCTTTAAATAGGGCCTTCAGCAAGTTTCACTCCCACAGTAGTTTCTATACACGCTTGGAAGGCGGAGCTGTATTCAAATGGTTGCAATATGCAACCGCTAGTTGCCACTAAATGAAGAAGCTTTTCTAAAATACAACACAAAAAATGATGTGATATCATGGACAAGTAGCAGCTGGCATTTCAAGAAATCCACTACTCTGAACAGCAATTCAGTTCATGAAGCCTGTATTCCCTTTCTTTTTTCATAAGCATATAATATAAAACTTGTAAAAGTATATTTTTGTAGCAGGGTCTCAGCTCTATACCTCCCTCCCTTTTTGTTTGCCTAGCTCATCTCTTTCTGTTTTCTCTTTATAGTAACTGCTTCAGAGAGTGTTACTATCAGAGAGTGTGAGGTGGTATGGAGTTGCTGGTTATGATGTCTGCTTAAAGATCTATGGTTCTTCTCTCCAGCACATCCATATGCAGACACAACGGCACTGAGAGATAAATCATTCAGAGATGGTTGCTATTCCTATCCCTCATCCCAACCCCCTACCCCGTGCAGGTCCTTTTTCAGGTCCTAGCTTTTGAAACACTGGCTTCGGTCAATGATGGATGGAGCCTTAACAGTCCAGGCTGGGGGTAGGGTGTGACAAATGCCTCCAGCACAGCCTGTTGATGGGACTACATTAGCCAAAGTTGAACTGGAGTGAATTAGAGGAGAGGAGCCATGCGTGTCTGCGCATCTCTCTGTATAACCACGACAAACAAGGTCCAACACACAGCCTCACCACAAAGAGGAGATTGATGGACCATCATCATCAGTTTATGTACCCAGTGACTCACTACATTTCACGTGACTTTGTCATTAAGTGTGTCATTAACTGTCTCAGAAATTTACTTCAAAGAATCTGAAGAGTTAAAATCACAACCGTTGATAGATTTTAATATGTAGTTGTGCAGGATTCTTGGTTTATCATGTCTGGTGAAAAGATTTCCCTATAGTCTTTGTGGGGAAGGGGGAACAGCCGGTTTTCCAAGCAGGGAAAAACCAGGATGGGGAGGTAAATGCAGCTGTTAGAGTACAGATGCTCGGATTTAAAAAGGTCTGACCGCAGCATGCTTTAGACTTCCTGTTTCACTTTTGATCTTTGTCTCTCAGGAAGCAGAGGAGTATGCAGAGCTACCCGTCAGACACAACGAGGACCAGCTGAACAGCCAGCTGGCTCAGCAGCTCCCCCTGCAGGTCAACCCCCACTCCTACGACAGTGCCCACACCAAGACTCACCTGCTGCTGCAGGCCCACTTCAGCCACGCCCAGCTGCCATGCAGCGACTACAACACCGATACCAAGACAGTGCTGGACAACACCATCCGAATCTGTCAGGTACGATTCACTGGGTAGCTGCTACCAATTACTAATGTCATTCATGAATCTTAGTTACCACTTTATCAAAACAAGAAAACAATCGATCATGATTCAGGCTTTAAGAACATTTGTACAAGAGCGGTGGATAAAGAAAGGTAGTTTCAGGCAGTAGGTGTACCATTTTCCACTGTCACGCTTTAACCACACCATGGAGTGCCATGAGCATTTGTCCTGCGCCTTGGCAGGAGGGAATAACTGTGTTGATGATGCTTTGATTTTGCCTGTGAGCAAGTGCATGTGAGAGAATGCAACTGTTGTGTTAAGATATTCAGAGATCCCTGCAAATTAAAAAAGTGAAAAATTAGAATCAGTATGCCAATATGAAAATGTTTTAGTGATTTCTGTGTTCTGCAATCCAAGTTGGTAAAATACCTGCATATGCTGCAATGTACAAAACATTCACTGAACGGCACTATCGCCAGTTAAAATAGCAATCTTCACTGGGAGCTGTAACTAAATTATATCAGCTCTAACTAATTAACGTTAATTCCAGTTAAGTTAACGCCATTGTATAAAGTTAATTTTTTTGTCTCTTTTAAATGTGTTTTTGAAAAATTTGTATTGATCATGCAGTATAACTAACAAATGAAACCGAAATGGAACCAATACTGATTTTCCTTCATATCCTTCATACTTTCGATGTAAAATGGGTCTTAAATTGCATTCATATTGATCTTAAAATGGTCTTAGAATGTCTTAAATTGTTGCCATTGAAATCATAGACCGTGACATCATACATAGGTTTCTGAAGAGCTGTTGTGAAGCTCAGTGTGGTCGGTTCTGGCTCCCCAGCTAATCCAAAATAGGGCAAAGAGGTGGAGCTGAGGCGGGCTGAATGAAGTCTCACAGCAATAATTTGCTGCTGTGGCTCAGAGGAAGAGCGGGTCGTCCACTAATCGGAAGGTTGTTGGTTCAATCCCCGGCTCCTCCCTGCCGCATGTTGAGCAAGATACTGAACCCCAAATTGCTCCTGATGCTGCATCATCACTGAGTGAATATGTGTGAAAGGGTGAATGTGGCACGTATTGTACAGTGCTTTGAGTAGTTGGAGGATTAGAAAGGCGCTATACAAGTACAGGTCCATTTACCATTCACCATTTACCATTATTTAAGCTTATGAACTTGATAGTTTTGAGTCTGTACTTTGAGTATTTAAAGTAACTAAGCAAGCTATATTGTTATTTTAGTGTGTCAGATCAATATTTAAGGATTTTGATTAGACTGTTTACATTAGTTTTGATTCTTAATAATGGTAATAATGGTATTATGTAATAATGGCAGTTGATTAATGTACTGCACATGAAAAGAGAGCACACCTTGGGACGTGGTGCTGTAGATGCAGCAGAGAACAAGGGGAATGTTAAACATTAGTTGGTGATTTGTAGTTGAACTTACCGATCTATCTCATAAATAACATGATGCTCCGAGGTTAGATCTAACACCCGGGCTTCTTCTCATTGTCTGGCAGCCACAATGAGTCTGCTACTCAGTGTTCATATGGAAAGTGGCTGGAGACAGGGTTTTGAACAACAGATTACTCAGCACCAAGTTATCAGAGTCAGTATCCTTGATAACAATCCGATAACTTTATCAATCAAAGACTGATGCAGCTTGTTTTGCATTTTAGGTGTGATGTGCTGGCTGGTGCCCATTCAGTTTCTTTGTATGTACTGTTTGAAGTTAGGACCATGTCTTAACGTCTGTAAGCCATTGTCCACAGCTCAGGATGGGTGTTTTTTTGTGTGTGCATATGTACATGTGCTTGTGATTTTCCATGCTGTGTATCTGGCAGTGATATTGCATGGCTCATGGATGTGGTTACTTCTCTGGTGTCCTGCTGCTACCGTTTACTGAAATGGTTCTGGTCTTTAGTTCCTTTATGGTTGTTTTTATTGAATTAATTTATGATTTTATTGCTGTATACATAAAGTGAATGCAAAAGACTGTGAATGTCCCTGAACAACATTTTAATTGACAGGGTCCGATCCTCGTAACAGTCTTTCCTTTTTCAAATGGATACTTCCGATAAGGCAATGAGCCATGTCACAAAGTACGCTCTCGAGATGAGTCCCAGGATAAGTTTAGAGCATGAATTTGTGGCTGAAAAATCTGCATAACTGTATAATGCTATTCACTGAGTACAGACCCATTCACAAGGATGTAGAATTTCACCTCAACATATCGATAATTCATTATATAAATAAAATAACCACTTTATTTGCAGCAACCAGGGCAGCAAACTCTTTGAAACTATGGCTTGTTGCCTTACTATTGGAACCCATACAACCCAACACATAACCAAGAGAACCAGGATCATCATCTCAAAGCTGGCTGGACGACTAAATGTTGGTTAGCAATCCCGTTAGTTCGGTCTCTAACCACACAAGTCTATCTGCAAATCATACTACTTTTGTGGATCTATTGGCAGAAAATGGAGCGAAGGTTTGCGTTTCCATGCATTTTGCAGGCATGCTCAGGGCGTCCTGGTAGCTCACCCGGTAGAATGTGTGCCCGATGTACAAAGGCTCCTTAACACAGCGGCTCGGTTTGGGTTCCCACCTGCGGCACTGTCTTCAGCTGCTACGATCTAAATAAAAAGGCAAGGCCCGAATAAACAATCTTTAAAGAAACATGCTAATATTTAGGTTCTATGCTTTTAAACAAGGTTATTTTAGAGTTCTTTCCTTTTGTAGTCAAATAGCTTCCCACTTATCCTTTCAAATGTCTCATCTCTTGACATTGATTCCTTTTGATGTGAGTTAACATGTGATTTTCATCATTTCAGTCTGTTTCTCTTTTCAGCCATATTCTGTCATCAATTTGCTCAAGCAGCTACTGTGAAATGTAAATCACTCTTAATTTGTACCGCATTAGCATTTCAGTTTCCTTTGCTAGGCCTCGTCTGTGCACCCAGTCGTTTTTAGCCATAGTTACACTCTGGAAATGACTTTTGGATTAGTGAAGTTTGTCGGAGAGCAGCTGTGTTCAGCAACCTCAAGCCTCACAGGGCACGCAAGAAATGAAGCTGAGGGCTGGCTAGAAAATGTCATGCTCTGTATTTTAGTGTGCCCTCTGCTTCTTTGTGTCACCTTTCTTATTCTCTTTTCTTGTTTCATTAAATGGTATATCAGACCCCTGCAGGCAAAAGTTTAAAGTTGTAACTCTCAAGTGTTACTGATACAATAAAAACTAAACCAATTGGCCTGCCAATCAATCAGTCACTTTTTGGTTTGTGATCTGATCCACTTAGTTTCCTACTTTCTCTCTTGAAAACTGCATCATATGCCCATTGTCACCTTTTTTTAAATTAACTGTAGTTAACGTCTGTATGCAAAGTTGTTCACAGGTCAATTAACATAGGTTGTTTGTTTTTATAAAAAGAATCATTCCAATTATGATTTAGATTTCAATACCCATTGATTCTGTTCCGCCCTACTTCGAGTGAAGACTCTTAAATGATTGTTTCTGCCTTAGGGAGTTAGGAGACTTCAGGTCTACCCTTAACTTTAGGCTCTTAGGTCCAGTCCACACTTCTTGCATCTGCAGTGCGTGGAAGAATGTCTTGCTTTTTATTTTTTGTTGCCTGGAGACTAGAAGGTGACTAGAAGGAGACTAGAAGTACAACTAAAAAGATAGGGCTGGCAGCAGCAGCTCGGCAGCAGAGTCACTCTCTGTGTGGTCACCTGGTCTTTGAACTGTACACCTGTATTTTTGTCGCTGGTGCAACACAAAAAGTGGCAATTAAAAGCTCTTCTCAGTTGAAACCCTGCTTGGTGACTAAGGCTGAGATGGCATAAAAATAATAATTAGTCCATTTTTAATTTCATACTTTCTTCTGTTTCTTTTCCTCAGGCAATGCTGGATGTAGCTGCCAACGAAGGCTGGCTCGTTACAGCCATCAGCATCTGCAATCTGGTGCAGATGATCATCCAGGGCCGCTGGCTGCACGACTCCTCATTACAGACGCTGCCGCACGTAGAACAGCAAGACCTCTATCTGTTCAGGTAAACAACAACAACACTTCACCACAGGTACAGCTAGAACGCCTGCATGGTCATTTGGAGATAGCTAGCTTGGCTAATATGCCCCCTTGTTCTCCCAGCTGTGGTAGAATCATATCTCATCATGTTCTAGTAATGTCTGAAGAGCTACTCTAAAGCACTCAAGGTGTTAAGGGTTTCAGATTTAAGCTCTGGCTGCTGCAACGACAAACAGGACTCAGTATTGTATTCATCATTAGCACCTGGTGTGTTCCTCTAATTAACAGTTTCTAACCATTCCCTTCCTTAAATATCCTACACAGGCACAAACACACATGCACTCACACACAGAGGACCTAGTGAGTTAAAGCTGCTGTAGGAAGTTGAACAAAAACAACCAATCAGAGCTGAGAAAGATATGAAGACGCTTTGGAGGAGCCAGAGGAACCTGATTGTTTCACTGATTATCTGTCTCATGTTCTACTGTCAGGATATAGGGAAAGTTTTAGTGAATATGACAAAATAATATTTTTATTAAATTTACCTACTGTAGCTTTAATGTTCAACTGGAATGATATTTCAGGCACACACCATATGGATTTCCAGACCTACATCCTACAATGTCAAATAATTTTGTGAAAACTCAATAAAAACAGTAAGAGAGGGATGAGAAAGGAAGACCTGCAGTCCCCCACGGTGAAAGACAGCAAGAGCCGTGATTTGTTGTAATGCTGCCTCATGACCAAGAATCTCTCCCCCTTCCCTCTCTTTTACACTCCATAGGAAATGGGCAAACAGGAAGGGGAGGAGCGATGCGGGAGGCTTCAACGGGCCAATCGAAGGACTCCCTGAGCTGATTGCTGCCTGCAACGGAAAGGAAAATGTCTTTGCCTCTATTGTCGGCCAAGAGTTTAACTCAAGTCAGGTTGCCCAGGTGAGATTACACATATTACACTAAGAGCACACTGGGAATATGACTGTCCATCGAAATCAGTAAAGTATGCTTTGGAGAATGCTGTAGACTGCAGAAATAACAGGGAAAAAATTGATTGCAAGCACTTGAATACTGTACGTTTTACAACAACGATCTTGAGAATGGGCCTATACCCACATTTAGTGCATGGAGATCACACACTACCTCACGCACACACACACCATTATTGTCATGAGCAGTGTTGCCACTGTGGTCCCAGATACCTCCAGGATCCCCAATTACAGTGCCATTGATAGGGTTTACAGCTCCAATTTAAGTGCTAATTGCAGCAGTAATGAGAGTGTCCGGGCACGACGGCAGACCCTGTGGCTTCACCCAATCAGTGTCCCCACTTTCCTCCTTCCCCACCTTTACTCCCCCGCTGCCACCAACCCCCCACAGTGTGGTGGCCTCTCTAATTAAATAATTAGATGTGCAGCAGCGTTCCTGTCTGACTTGCTCAGGGAGAGTAATCCTCACATAAATAGCTTTTGCCGGGTGAATCAGAGAGGCTTTTCTCCTCCTAGCCCTCAGTACACACACACACACACACATCCTCCTCCACGAGTCTTTTTTTTTCTCTCACTCCCTCTGTGCCTTTATCTTTTTTATGTCTTCCTCATAGCAGGGCTTTTGGCTTGAACCAACTGTGAAATTCTCTATAAAAACACTTAAGAGGCAACTAAGACTTGCCGTACAGTAGCAGAGAGATCTGTCCCTCTCTTAAAACTCTCATTTTAATTTTTTTCTCAGAATCCTGTTCTTCCTTTCTGAGCACCACACAAATTTGAAGGGTGACGTCTCATTTCTACAGTTTATAGCTATTCATGTGCGGAGTGGAAATTAACTTGTTTTATACATATCATGTCACATAATAATAAGACAGTGTATTCATCTCAGGGTACCTCACACCCCTTTGTGATTCTAACAGATTTTAATAATAATAATTCCATGTTATAAGCCCATAACAGACATAAAAAGATTAAGTACAATCTTTGCTGAACTCTGTATTCTGTGTTTATTTCCATTGTTTCTGCTTCTTTTACGTGGATCACATTAATCAATTACTCTTATTGGTTTTTGTTCGCAGGGCTTTAGTTGAACTTGCAGTGCTGTGTTGAGTGAGCAGATCCGGTCATTAAAGCTCTATATAGCTGATATGATCAGTGAGATCTGATATGGATCGTTGAGGTCAGATCTGGACATGTGTGATGTCACCTGCTGTCAGTCACCTGAGTTAGATTTTCCCATGTGGGTCACTGATGATCAAAGTGTCACCTACCAGTCAGTATGACATTATGTTTACACCTCCTGGTTAACATGAGGCAGTGTGAACACAAAATGGACCAGAATGATAATGATAATGATTAATACACACTGCTGACAGGGAGGAATCACAGCTGTTATACATGTCCATCTTTGGTCTTGAATCTGGACTTGCAAACATTTATTTTACGTCACATTAAAGTGGTCTTCACAGGTTCTCTGGAACCAACCCAGGAAGGGAGCTGGTCAGGGTGCAAATTATATTCAGTCCAGTTGAATTAGGTAGGGTCCTGTCCTATTGCCACAGGTCTGGTGTCAGTATGTCTAATACACGTGTGGATCCAAGCAGTCTCTCCTCTCTTAGTAAAATCAGCCTCATTTCCTCCTAACCGGTCCTCACTCTCTCGTCACTGTCTCTTTGTCAGGCGTGGTCCTTCCTGAGTCACCTCCCAGTGCTGGAGGTTGAGATGAGCGTGAAGGGCTGGTGGGAGGGGAGCCAGGAGCAGACAGAGCGTCGCCTGCCTGCAGCAGGAGCTAACCTGAGGGAGGAGAAGCGCTGGCTTGATGTCCACTCTGACCAGGAGTATGTCCTGCAGGTGTCACTGAGACGCATCAACCTGGGCCACCAGAGGGTCAGTACTCAACTCTCTATGCAGTCACTATAATGTATCATTAGAAACTCTTTTGTAAGATAGTAAGATCTTAGAATTAGAACAGCTTAACACCTGTGTTTGGTCAGAGACTGAACACAGTGGAACATTTAGCACCTAAAGAGCCAGATAATCTCAGGAGTTGGAGGAGATCAAAGCAGAGCAAACAGAGTGAATGCTGGACATTCATCAGGTGGACACAATCGCAACTCAAATTAATACTAATGTTATGCTTTGATTATTTGGTGCTGTGTAGGACTAAGAACTCACCTATTCAGAACTGCATACCCCACTTAACTATCTACATTGTCTTTTCTTATCTGTTTCTTATTTCTTACTGTTTTTATTTTTATGTGTTGTATGGTGTCCTCGAGTGCCCAGAGAGGCGCCTTTAAATAAAATGTATTATTATTATTATTAGGAGGAGTAATGCTCTATGTAATGCTCTTGCACTCTACCTACTTGTGTGACAGACGACATTGCAAACCTGAAAAGAGCTGTAAACCAAAGACAGCTGCTGTTCTTATATTAACTCAGTGGGACGAAAATAACTAGAGAAGAAGAATTGTGAAGCGTGAACACTGGCTGTTGACGCTAAACAGATTTTTTTGTTGTTGCCATTTTTATATCAATTCCCATGCTATTATTAGTTTTTATTAATACAGGCAACAATAGTTGTATCACACAAGATGAAACAAATAAATTAAAGGACAATTGGACAGAGGGGCATAAAAAAGATAAATAAAACACTAAACTAAATTTCTGGCTTTGAAATTGAAAGAAAGATGTGGAATATTTGAAGATTTCTTGGCAAGCTTATGGTAAACTGAATTGCTAGCTGTAAAAATTAAAATTGATGAATAATCTGTAAAAGGTGGAAGATTTTAACGTTTGTTGGAAAGCTGCCGTTCCCCTGTTGGCTTCAACTTGTCTTTTAATTAGTTTGAATGTGGCTTGCCTTGTTCAGGTTGGCTGCAGATGCAGTTCTGTCTCAGAGAGATACTGATCTTCAGATGGTGTCCAGTGATTAAGTATTGCGTGTCCATGAAGTCGGGAGACTAGTTTGCCAAAGTCTCTCTCCAGCCTGCTTTGAACTACCCCAGAGGAACTTAAATGTAGCTGCACTTTGGTGCTGGGACACAGCACACACAATACAGTTGGGATGCAAAGTGACTCTTCTTAGAACAACTTTTCTTTTTTGTAGTGTAAAGGTTAAATCTTTTATTCATCACATCTGAAGAAAATGCTGTATATTAAAGACATTTAAGTACCTTATAAATACTTCAGACTCTCATATGCAGAGTAATTAAAATAGTTTTAAAGTACTTCTTGATGTTATTTAACTAAATTAAAAAAAAATTGTCATTTATTTTTTATTGACATTCGGAGTCAGGCATTCGTATTCATCACATACATCTTCTAACCATGTATCTTACATCTGTTGTCTGCCCCAAGTGCCAAAGTAGGGAGTGATCCTTTCCATACAACACAATCACTGGTCTGTGAAAATAAAATCAGGTCTATGGGGCGTGACATATATGACCCAGTTTTCCCAGTATGAAGCAAATTTCTCCATTTTATGATTACCAAATGCTGTTATCTTCTCCGTTTTGTAAATGTCCATTGTAATGTCCATCCATATATTTAAAGTTGGGCTCTCCTGTGATAACCATTTCCTGGTAATACTCTTTTTACAGGCCACCAACAAGATATTTCTTAAATGTTTATCTCTTTTCAGCCATTCCCCAGGTATGTGTCCAAAGAACATAGTTTTACTCTCAAAGGGTATTTCACGCTTGAAGATATCTTGTAGAGCCTTGTGTATCTCTCTCCAATAGTCCTTCATGACAGGACAGTCCCAAAAAACATGGTAATGGTTTGCACTTTGATTTCCACAGTTCCTCCAACAGATAGGGGGGTTATTGTCATAGTGGGACTTCTGACAGGGCGTAATAAAAAACCTAATCAAGTTTTTCCAACCAAATTCCCTCCATTTCTGTGAGCTGGTACACATCCATTGATACCTCCATATTGTTGTCCATTCTTCCTCGGATATAGTTATCCCTCCTTCCATCTCCCATTTTATTTTGATATATAAAGTTGAATGTGGTTTCATGTTTAATATTCCCTTATACAAGCATGAAATAATTCTATCCACAGTTTCTGAGTTATAGGCTTTTGTAAACAATTCGGTCAAACATGTATTTGTCTTTATTACATTTTTCATCTTCGTATCAACATAGTGCCGTAACTGCAGATATCCATAGAAGTCTTGTTTTTCTAATAGATATGTCCTTTTAAGCGTTTCAAAACTGAGCAATTTTCCATCTTTCATTACACTGCATACGGCTGTTATACCCTTAGCTATCCAGTCCTTAAATCTAGAGTCCAATTTATTAGATGTAAACTCTGAGTCATAAGCACACCATTTAAGAGCTATAATATTGTTCTCGAGTTCATTTTCCTTTATGATAGCTTTCCATGTTTTAAGGGTCCATTTCACCCATGGGTTATCAATGTTATTTATGTGGGTTTGTATGTTATTATCGGCTAGGATTGCCTGTACGGGGATGGAGGGCGTTTTTTCCTCAATGTTTTTCCATTGGGCAGTATATGACGGGTTGCACCAGCATATCACCGCTCTCATCTGCGCTGCCAGATCATAATATCTAAAACAGGGCAGGCCCCATCCTCCCTTTTGTTTAGCTAGCTGTAAAGTTTTGAGACGGACCCTTGGTCTTTTACCTTGCCATATATACCTACATAACAATTTGTCCCACTCGTTAAATTGGTTTTGGTTAATCTCTATTGGCAGGCTTTGAAATAAATATAGAAATCTCGGCAGTATATTCATTCTAATAGAGTCAATTCTTGAACTAAAGCTGAAGAAAGGGATGAAGTTCCATCTCGCTATATCATCCTTTATTTTTTTATGTATAGGTAGATAGTTGTATTCTGATAGTTTTGTAAGATCTTTTGGTAGGTTGATGCCTAAGTATTTAAGAGACTCTGTTTGCCATGCTAGGGGATAACTACTTCTGATTTCTCCTGGCGGGCTATAGTTATATGAGAGTACCTGGGTTTTACTTATATTGACCTTGTATCCTGATAGTTGACGTACTGCTCAAATGATTGCATCAGTTTAGGTAGGGAGTATGTTGGGTGCCCAAGGTAAATCAAAATATCATCCGCATAGCAGGCCAATTTATATTCCGTCCCTTTAATAGTGATTCCCTTGATGTCTTCATTTTGTCTAATGTACTGAGCTAATGGTTCTAAATATAATGCGAAGAGTAATGGTGACCATGCGCAGCCCTGTCTGGTGCCCCCTTTCCAGGGTAAAGACTAACTCACTTTTTACAATAAATACAACTACCTTATCAGTGTTTGTTAAATTTCCCTGTCAGGTATTAATAAAGTTGATCTCATCTTAAAACTGTATTGTCCATAGATCACGTAGATTTCATAATCAGATACAGTGTGTAAGAGCCTCTAGCACAGTGGTACTGTACAGTGTGTCTGTTATTTCAGAGGAAGCAGGACAGTAAGGCCCAGGCTCCCAGGTTCCCCAAGACGAAGGATGAAGGCTGGTTCCTGGTCATGGGGGAGGTGGATCGCAGGGAGCTGCTGGCTGTCAAGAGGGTTGGATACGTGCGCAACCACACAGCTGTGTCTGTGGCCTTCTACACACCAGAGAAGACTGGAAAGTAAGCAACAGTGCAAAAATGGATTTTCATTGAGAAAAGCTTTCCCCATACACTCCATTTACAGTACAGTGACTGAAAGGAAACACCTCAGTAATCAGTTTCAGGTCAGAAAAAGCTGAATGCGTCATTAGCCTGACAGAACGTAGCTGGCACAAATGTATCGACTGTAAGTCATAACATGGTCCCTCCTGGTCAAAGAAATATTATGGGCCTTTGAGGTATTTTATATATATATATATCCTCTGATTCATTCTCAGAGGAAAGAAAAGACTGTGAATGACATTATAAATATATAAATCAGTCAATTTACCAGAATTCAGAAGATTGTTTCTTCCAGTAAGTTTTAGATGCCCTGCCTAGTTACAATGGCAAGTATTTTTGACATATTGACTAGAGAGGAAGAGACCAAAACCCTATGAAAAGACTAAAACGATGTGTTTGTCTGTTTTTCTTTTCTGACTTCTGTACTGTCTCTGTGGCTGCTAGTTCCAAGCCCATTTAAATGAACAGGGTTCCCACACTTCCTGGAAAACTTGGAAATTTAGACACTAGTTTTCCAGTCATTGAAACACCTGCAATTTGATTACAATTACCAAAAACCCTGGAAATAATCTATGTTGTCATTGAAATTTCCAGTTGTATTTTAGCTCCACTCAGATCTGTAAAACAAGAGACAGAATGAATGTTACAGTGAGTGTAAAACTGTAGTAAAGTAGTTCATTCACCAGAGATCACAGCAAACAAATCGTCTGTGCTAAGAACAGCTTAGCACACCACAAAATTGTCCTGTATTGTTAGTAAAGACTGGAAATGGATTTCTTAAAATGAGTAGGAACCCTGATCAGGGACACACCATTTATATCAGGTCCTATAAATTATTGCTCCATAATTATAATAATTTATTTCAAATTCTTATGCAAAACATTTGATAGGCTTTATGTTCTGTGACAGTCAAAGTATGTTTGTTTGTGAAGAGTCAGAGCTGTTTGTTTGTCAGATTTGGTTAGAACAGAGCTATGGAGTATGAAATGATCCCTCTGTGCTCACTACATCTCAGCCTTTGTTACACTACAGGTTGTGAACTTTAAAATACAAAAATGTGTGCATCCCTAAATGTTTAAAATGACTCACAACTGTATACAACAAGTATATTTTCTCTCCCTGTGTGTCCGTGCTTATGTTCTAACTGCTGATCCAACCACCCTCTGGTTTCAGGTGTATCTACACACTGTACCTGATGAGTGATAGCTACCTGGGTCTGGACCAGCAGTACGACATCCACCTGAATGTAACATCTGCCAGCATCGCCGCTCAGGTCAACACAGAGGTGTCTGACTCTGTGACTGAGCTGTCCCTCAACTGAGGAGCAGTGGCAGAAAGCACACACACAGCAGCAGCGACAGCAGCAGGGGAGCTCCAGGAACGTCCGCAGTGATCAGCAGGAATTTCTGCCGTCCCCAACTGAACAGTGCATTCCAGTGATCATTGGAATTTACTATTTTCCTCTGCCCACATTATATCAGCTTCCCTCTTCTGTGGTCATTGGCAGTGACCGTCACCTCTTACTTTAAACTTGTGACTGCATTGTCTATTGGGGCTACTGTTAGAGCAGAAAAGGGTACATTAGTAACTCGTCTATGGATTTCTCTGATGGGGGTGTGTGGTAAATGGGGGGTTCTGGAAGAGTCTCATGTTTTAGTTCAGTTAAATATATATTATGTTTTTGTTTTATTGACTGACCCTCATTTAACACTGAATTACAGCACATTCTGACCCCACCTCAATCAGTGATGTCACAGCAGAGAATTTGACCTTTGACTAGTGACACGAAATACCTTCCGTAGCATCACTGGTGGACAATAGTGTCCCATTTCTGAAGGTGCCTCCTTCAGAGTCTGTTTTTCTGGATAAATACATTATGACAAGCCATGAAATAAACCAGTCCTCAATTAATGAAAAACCTGGGAAAGGTGAGACCTCAGTATGCACATCCAAAGGCAAAATGAACTCTTCCTAAGTCCCACCCCTTTTTGCTCTGTGCTCCAATAACAGTTGAGCAAGCATCGGACATCGGATCAGACAACTTTTTCCTTTCCTGTCCTTAGATATGCTACGTGCTAGGCTAATCTATGTTGAAAAGAGTATAAATTAGCTAATGTTAGCCAAATTCTAGCAAACAGTAGAAAGTTCTAGTGATTGCTGTAGATTAGCTAGCTAGTTAGCTAGTGTTTTGCCAACATTATCTTTCAGATGTAACGAGCTAGTAGTAGTTTGTTTATAGCCTAACGTTAGCGATGGCATTTATGCTTCAAAAATCATAAAAGTAGAGTTCATTTGGAAAGATTTTCTTCCTGAACAAAATGTTAAAGCATCAGAAACTGGGTTTGCCACAGAGCTTATTTTCTGTAATAATCCAAAATCCAATGAAAAACCCCACTGGCTTTTTGTCAAAGGAACCAGGGCGATGCTCATTTACAGCTTGGCCTACAAAAATACGTCATCCCTGCAGAGCGCTGTAATAAGCCACATCCACTGAAGGACGCAGCACTGAAATGGGACAGAACTTCATTTCACTTTCATTTTGTATGCACTGTAGTTTGTCTGCACAAAGTGAGCTCCACAACATTTATGTAACAGAGGATGTCAACAAGTCACCAGTTATCCTTTCATAGACCGAGGAGGAGAAGAAGGTCTGCTGAGCATCCCACAAAATGTGTCTCTTGCCAATTTAACTGAGAAACAATATTCACAGAGTTTCCCTGTGCATTCAGATGATAAAGCTCTCTTCATTAGACACTAGCCAACCTATGCTTCCACTCTGGTCTCACCAGCACTTTCAGAATAACCTAGACTATAATATTGCTGGACTTTGTGTCATGAAATGTGGTCAGAATGCAACATGCTTTAGATTCAGCTGGACAGAGAATAATACAGCAGTGCCCATCTTCCCTGTGTCACTCTCCATCTGTTGTTTACTGGACCAGCAATGTAGGAAAGAGGTGAACTTAAGTTTTAGGGATTTTCTTTAAAAAGATGGGAACATGTAAACTGAACCAATTCATAACAACCACCGTGGCCTTATGGGAAATAGCAAGTGGTAGTTGTAGATGAGACGGTGAGTCTTCAGTGTGCCGAACAGGAACATGCTGACAGTATTTACTGACTCTGCTGGAGTGGATTTCAGTGCAGGTGTGTGAAACATGCTTCTTTCCACTACAGGGCTTCGCTCAGGATCACCAAACTGTCACATCTGTTTTGTCAAATAAATCTCCTCCTCCTCTTCCTCCTCCTCCTCCTCCCTAGAAGTCTTCCTCAGTTACTCAGAAGTGTCCCCAGCTGAAAACTTGTAATAACACACTGAGGTAGTGGAGAAATATCACATAATACAGACAAGAGAGCAAAACCCACCAGACTACACCTTAACCTGAAACGACTTCAGAAGAATTCCGTTTTGGATTAGTGGTTATGAGAACAGAAATGTACAGTGGTTGACATTTTGAAATAAATGTGTAGATCAGCTTTAAAATAAAACTTATCATTTCACTCAAAGACCAGGTCCTGATCCTTCTTACAGCTGCACACCTCAGTTGTTTTTGTCGACTCTCCAAACCTCTACCTGTCTGATTTGAACTCTTTCTTTAACACTTTGACTCTCTGGATACTGCGTTAGCCCAAAGAGCTAATAAAACAAAACTATAACCTCAAGTACGACTTGAGTCTCAAATTCAGCACTACAACTTAATATCAGCTGGGTCAGGTCTCAAAGACACGGGTACCAACCAGCCAGGAACTCCAGGTTCTCTCTAGACCAGTGGTTCCCAACCCTTTTCCTTAAGGGAGACTTTTCTCCCATTGAGTAAACCAACAACCCCTGACTTAGTGACATATTTATGGACATTTAATAATATAATTAAAACTGTACAATGAACCCAAACAGTGAACTCAGTAACTGCAAAACCCCTGTTTGGGGTCTGTATTATGGTTTTGACTTTCTAGGCTTCTGTTCAGCGTTTTGTTGTTGTCGTATTAGACAATTTACCTTGTTTACTTTTCTAATCAGAAGTCAACTAAATGCTGAGATATAGTCCTACTGTGTATAATTTTTAGGTTTTCTAGCATTAAAATCAAGAAGGCCTCCATACCTCTATGAAGCTTTGGTAGAAAAGTTTTTTGACTGACTAGCCAAATGTGTATGTGGTTATGTTCTTATTAAATATGTATTATACATTATCTAAGTAATTTCTATGGTTTAAAAATCATGAACAATTATTTGACCTATGACCCCAAAAATGCAGATACTGCACTCTGTCTTTGTATTACCATAAACAGATATGTGGGTAGTGCAAAGCAAGAGTGCAATAGTCTGAGTGAGCCTGACAAAATCAGAATCTGATTTGATGTTTTACTATATTAAATCTGTATTTCTTATTGTTTCATATGTAACGAGTTGAAATGGATGAGTCATTAAGTAGTAGTAGTATTTTGTGAAGTTTAATTAGCAGCTGTCTAGCTTTAGTTCTGTCTAGCCAGCTAAACTAAACTTAACTATTATTACTATCTACTGCAATCGGCTCAGCTAATAATCCACAGATGAAGTCAGTAAGAGTTCCCAGAGGAGAACATGAAGATTCAAATTGTAGTCATAACTACAATTTGGACCAAAAGTGTAGTTACTGTGGTTTTACTTTGTAGGGCAGTACTGTGGGGTTTTAGAGCTTTTTTGCTGAAAACAGCTGCCTGTTGCTGCCGTGAACGACACTGTGAGTGATGAGAGTGAACTAACAGAACATTTGTGGCCAAACAACAAAAGCCGAGGGAAGCTGCAGAATCAGCTGATAATTCTCTGTTGGTTTAAACATTGTTAATATTGGCACTTTAACACTGGAGCAGATCATGTTTGTCCATTCATGCAACCCTGCTGTCAAACACAAGGTTGATGTTACACAATACTATAATCATTTGGAATATGTAAAAAAATCTGGGGGTGTGGAGTTAGAAAGAGGTGATCTTACAGTCTATCTATCTTTACATTTAAACCACATGTAAATTACAGGACATGATGTTTGCTCTACAGAGCTGTTTATCAAGGACTGTGTCACATTTGTTTGGCCTGTTTACATCTACTTATAGAAAGTGGGCTATGATCCAGTACCCACAATAACCAGTGAGCTCACTGTACATGAATGAAGTGCAGATTAAAGCTGAATCGCTGTCTCCACTGGGCTCAAACAGCAACACTGATAACTGAGTTGGAGCTGACATTCAGTGATTCATATTAGACGTGTTTCTGAGACAGATTCTGGAATTTTCTTTGGGCCAAATGGGTTAAAATGTGTGTGTTTTAAGCCAAAATCTGACATTATGCTAAGGGATTTAGTATATGTTTTACCACAGTCCCATCTGTGACAGTGTGGAGATGGGTTACTATAATATTAGGAGGAAGGTGCCTAAAAATATTCACGGTAACGATATCTATTGACAGATTTGAAAAACAAATGTAATCAGATACATCTTTAACTTTTGGTAACTATTGTGTGTTTTGTCTCTTTTCTATCAAATGAATCAGCGCCACTTACTCTGTTGGAGTGTGAACCACAAAGCAGGAACAGAAAAAAATGGAAATCATTTCAGAGACACTGGATTATTTACACGGTATTATCATATGTGTGTTATTAACACGTGGTCAGATTCCTAGTTACGTTTAAGATAACATTTACAGAAAACATGAGTGACATTCTTTTTTCTTCTTTTTTCACTTTGTTTTTGTTTTTGTTTTTAACTTCCACTCTTTGGGAGTTTGGGAGTCAAAAATCTGAGTTCCATGAGAACTCGACCTTATGACCTCAGTATTTCTAAAATCCTCTCTATCAGACGTTTCTTTAATCACATTTGTTTCCACGTGTGAATGTGACCCAAACACATCTGAAAATACCAGATTCAGATACCCTGCTTAGGTGTTGTTAAACAGACTTTATCTGACCTCTGCCACTTGATGACAAACTATTGTCATTTTTACCAGAGTTAGCCCTACAGTTCTTCCCATTCTCTCTTCAGTCAGTGTGCAGTTATTCCATTGTAAATAATGTCAGTGTTCTTGTTCTTTCCACAATACTGCTGTAAAATCAATGAAAATACTTTTTTAAAACTAGCACCTGTTAACACACGTGAAGACTTACTGTAGCTTTAAGGACTTCTTGAATCCGAGGCCAAAACAGCCATCTGCTCTAAACAAATGTATTAATTACAAATTTTGTTGGAAACGTTCTCCACTAAAACACAATAAAAAAAATGATATGGTATATGCCCTGAGGCCAGTCAAGCTATTACTCATTTTTACCAAATATTGAGACCCAGTTTTGTCAAACTTTAATTTTTGAGATCTTTAATATTATTTTATTTTAGATTAGGCTGACACGCTGCATATTCTCAAACAAACCTGTATGTAACCTGACAAGACTGGGGCTGAAATTAATGTTTATTTTCGTTTTGGATCAATCTGCTGATTGTTTTAGCAGTTAATATCAGTCTGTAAAATTTCATAAAACTGTAAAAAATAAATAATAATAATAATAATGTCATTAAATGTCTTTTGTCCAATTAAAAACCCAACATTTTTTAATTTACTTGAATGTAAAACTAAGCGTAGACATTTGAGAAGCTGGAACAATCATATTTAGCATTTATGCTTGAAATAAATTACTGATGATTATATGATTGATTTTCAGAATATTTGCACAAAAAAAATTGCACCAATTGATTAATTGACAAATCATTGCAGCTCTACTTTAATCAAATTATCACAAACTAACTGCCATATTCCAGTGCAAGAATACTGCTTGGTTTTATTTTTGTCTCCCGGGGACCCCTCGCATGTTGCTGCAGCCCTGCTGGTAAATGGTCCTGTACTTGTGTAGCACCTTTCTAGTCTTCCGAGCTCTCAGAGCACTTTTACTCTACGTCCCTTTCACACACATTCACTCAGCAATGGCAAAGTCCATCGTACAGAAACTAACGCATTCATACACATTCACACACCGATGCACAGCAAGTCTTGCTCATGGATATTTCGACACATTGCTGTACGAGCCGGGGATCGATCCAACAACCTTCTGATTAGTGGACGACCCGCTTTTCCTCTGAGCCACAGCCGCCCACTGCTGGGGTCTGAGAGCAGTTGCCTTTTTTTGCCTGGTTGGTATGATCCACCTTGAATATACATATATACCTAGTGGTCTAATAATAGTATATAAAAATAGTAATGTATAACAATAATATTAATTTATGTTATTGTTTCTTTATGAATCTCCAAGTATAATGTCAGATTGTAACTGTAACAAAACTTTCTGGGTGTTAAGTATTTGAATTAAAAAGACTTTAGGGTTTTTTACATGTCAAATACATATTAACGTATAGTTTGAATTGAACTTTTGTAATAATATGTGTATATGTTCTGTAAAATATTTGTATTGAAATTATTTTTTATGGTATAAAAAACTGGCAGCGTTTATGCCAGAACTTAATAAATACTAATAAATACAGTAGAACTTTTTCTACTATTACGGTAAAAGGATATTAGTACTGTTGAGTTTGAATTCATATTTTACCGTATAAATACAATTTTTTACCATCAAAAGAAACAGTCTTAAGTCCTAAGAAAACACCATATGAATGCTATGACGGTGGTTTTCTGTGTAATTTACAGTCTGTAATATAATATAAAAAAAACATTTTATTCTGTATAAATTCCTTTAAAATTCCGTACAAATAAAGGTTTTGCCATGAGATAACACTTTAACCCATTTAGAGTTTACAGTCTTTTGCTGTCATGGTTTGACAGTTTTTCATCATAAAATCTATCTATTCTATTTTTTTACAGTGTTTCTATAAATTGATAATATGAGTGAAGTCTTGATCTTTTAGCAATGTAATCAGCTTGTTGCAATGGCCCAGTATCTGGGTGAGTCCATCCTGATGCAGACTTAATCATATGGAGTATTTCTGATGGTCATATTTTCCACACAGGAAGTCTAATTACCAGTACAGTGGGAGCTGAAGAAGGTTAAACCAGCGTCAACCATTTCGTGCGCCTACAGCATCCCGGATGATTTTCTCACCGCAGGCTGGATCCCATTACAGAGCGGCCGCACTGGCTCCAACACAGCCAGAGAGAGAGAGAGAGAGAGAGAGAGAGAGAGAGAGAGAGAGAGAGAGAGGTGATGGTAGCGTGTGCCCACTCTGCTATCATCATCATCATCATCATCATCATCATCATCATCCTGTCCTGTGTGGGTTGGAACAAAAAATTAAGGCAGCAGCACTTAAACTATTTAATACTTCCAATAATGTGGTGATTTATGAAGACACTGGGAATTACAATGCATGCATAATTCCTTGTAATCACATTTCTAATGTAAAGTTACTGTAGAAAGCACTCTAAAATAAAAAGACACTGCTGCTGTGTTAAATCCAGGGGCGGATCTAGAGAAATATTCATTGGGTGTGAAGACACACATATATATATATATATATATATATATATATATTTGCTGAGAAAAGCCCCCAAATGAAGATATTTTAACTCAAAAACAATATTGTGGCTCAGGTGGAAGGTGGAATCTATACATTGTTTTATTATTTTTCAGTCTTTTTCACTGAATTTAAGCCGATCACTGAGTCTAAAGCAGGGTCCACAGACTTTTTTCCCTTGGAGGGCCAAAACTGCAATGTAATGGTGGGCTGGGGGCCAAAAGCAAACACCTGTTGTACTGTATTGTTTAGATGAAAATTGGTGCTCCCAAGGTAACTTTGTTGTTGACTTCCTGTGCACTCTGTCCACTCATATTGTGAAAAATTTGAAAATTTAAAGAACATTTTTACCTAAGTAGATAAATCATCTATTGTATATTATAATTTTATTTTTATTTTTTTTATTTGCTATTAACATTTGGTGGGCCAAATCTAACCTTATAGTGGGCCAAATTTGGTCCGTGGGCTCTACTTTGGGCAACCCTGAATGGAAATGTGGCCACAACAGATCAGTACATTTTATTTGTTCCATTTTTTAACACGTTATTTTGATCTCTATTAATGTGTTAAAAAGTTGACACCAAACTGGGGTGGGCAAGCATTTTTGAGGGGTGGCCACCCCTCTAGAGTCGCCCCTGGTTAAATCAAGCATAAAGTGATGAGGCGAGGTTATAAACAGATAATAAGACAATACGACCTCTCCTCTGGAGGGGCCCAATGGAACTTCCACTAATATCCAATAACTGCTGCCCGGTGTAGTATTGTGCTGATATGAGTAATGAATCATTAGTAAGAATTAGTCCTGTATGTGTTTCCATTCGGGGTACACACAGTGATGGGTATTGTATCAGCAGGCCTGTATATCTGTTTTAGAAGCCAAGAAATAGAAAATTGAACTTTATTTCAGAGTGCAGAACATCGGGAAAAATTCTTTCATGCATTGAGCTTCAGTCTGGCATTTTTATTTTCCAGACCGATGAGATGAATAACTTCTTAGAATAGGGCTAAACATTTGACGTTTTTCCCAACAAGTTGAAAAAGGCAATTTCAGCTTTGATTGTAGACATAAGGACGTATAGTGTGTGTCACATTAAATATTTCTATTATTATTAATATTTTATTATTTAAAACCTTAAATAAATAAAACATCAACACCGACTGCACTGCTGAACAACGCATGTTGGAATATGTTCCGGATCTCTGCACAGGTTAGAAAGACCTGCGGGAATAAAACCATTCAGGCATTATTGTATGCCAAACTCCATTCAAAAATCAGGCAGTTCTTCACTGCGAAAATCAACATATTATAGCTCAAGCCTTAAACTTTCTTAAAGAAAATTGTTACAATTTGCTTGTAAAATCTAAAAAACACTACTCCCCATCGATAACTAGTTGAAGCTCATATTTTTTTTGCATTAAATAATAATTTTACAAATCATGAAAATTGAGAGTAGACATTAAATCATGCTACAATATGCATGCCAAATGAAAGAGAAGCCGTCACATATTACATTTCCTTAATGGAATCTTTACTACATTTTTTTGTTGATAAAATATAAATCTGTTAAATTGACATATTTTTTAAAGGAGTTCTGCGTACCGTTTTCTCCCAGAAAAACGAGCGCTCGGGTTCTGTGGGGATCCACTGTGGGCCAGAGGTGAACATTTTGTATCCCGTTCCTCGTGGAGCGCGTCATTCCGGAAAGTAGCCAATAGACATGTGAACTGGCTATCCAATTGTCCAATAGAAGCAGAGCTGTCTGTGGTGGGCGGGCCTTCGAGCCTGCAGCACATTGGAGGCTGTGGACGAGCTGCGATCCATAAAATCACACAGGATCGAAGATATGCGAATGCTGAGGCTTTTTGGACATTCTGCCCGGACACTTTGAAGCCCAGCGGGAGTCCGTTGAACAGACTGTCGGTTGGAACTGCGCGGAGGTAAGCTAACAAGCAATTTAAAAATACAGCCACTAAATTTGTGTAGAAAGATTCAAACAAGTGTCTTTATTAGTTTCCCGTTAGCTAGCTGTCCAATATGCAGTTTATAGACAGATACAAGTGATGGCTCGCTCACGTAAGGGTGCAAATAAAGTGATGAACGTTTCACCCCGCAGGGCCTAATGTCTCCAGCGGTTCCACTTCAACAGCACCTGTGATGGATATCAGCGAGCGGTGAGCCCTCCAATGGGCTGACCAAAAACGCCACAATAACCCGCAGAGATCCAGGAATTAGCCGCGTCCCACTCGCCGCCAACCGCCGGAACACCTGGAAATAAGTATGGGTCCACGCGCCGGCAGCTGTGGATTTTAGGCCGAGCGGAGGACGGACAGGTCGGGTACAATGCTCTGAGAGAGCCGGCAGTGACAGAGCGCTGTGACACTGACAACACAACATGAAGGAGAAGTCTAAAAACGCTGCCCGGACCCGGCGGGAGAAGGAAAACAGTGAGTTTTATGAACTGGCCAAACTGTTGCCGCTGCCCTCCGCCATCACCTCCCAGCTGGATAAAGCCTCCATCATCCGGCTCACCACCAGCTACCTGAAAATGAGGATAGTGTTCCCGGAAGGTACGAGCGGCATTCAAACAGTAAAAAGCAATCATTATATTGAAATACAATTAATATGTATCAAATGAATATAACATTATAATCAACAAAATATCAATTATAACCATTACACTATTATATTGTAGCCTATATATAGGCCTAATTATAGAAAGTTATATGAGCTATAATATTCATTTTCTCAGCACTGTTATTATCATCATGTCATTATTGGTAGTAGTATTATTTATATATTCATATTATTACCTCCTTTTAGTAGCTGTAAGCTTGTTTTTTGTAGGCTATGCCTTATTTCATATGGGCTTTAGTCATTTTTATTTTTTAAGTTAAGTTTTTCATTTTTAAAAAATAATTTTAAATCTTGTTTTTCTTATAGCCTCATTTTCTCTCTTTCTTTCCTGATATATAATTCTGATTTCCTAGGTCATTTATGGATCATTTTTTATAAGAAAGAAAAACATTGTGACGCCGCGTTTCAGATGTGACCGACCGATTTATCACAAAATACAAACTGTACAAATGACTATAAAACGGGATTTTTAGATTTAGTTCCCACCGTCTATTAATGTCTTTATTTATTGTTTGAGCGTTACATTCAAGAACATATCAATATGGAGTGAGAATGGAGGAACGTTGTAATGGATGTATTTATCAGCACATTCTCTCTAATGTGTATTACATCTGTCTAATCACGTGCTATTCGTTTAAAAGCTGTGTGTGTGTGTGTGTGTGTGTGTGTGTGTGTGTGTGTGTGTGTGTGTGTGTGTCAGATCTGTCTCACCGCGGTGGCAGTATTCTGATATGATCGGCGAAAATGACATTTATCCGGATTTAACATCCTCCGTAGTGGATGAGTGTGTCCCCTGTGTCCCTCGGTCCGTCCGTCTGTCCGTGTCCCCCAGCCTGCAGTGATGTCGGTTTCTCTCCGGGGGCCCCTGGCGGCCCCTGCCAGCAGATTAGCTGTGATGAGGCTCCATCCTGCGTGACTGCTGCAGAGCCGCGGATATTAGTATGATGTGCACGTCTGATCCCTCAACATATGGAGCTCCTTGTAACAGTGGAGCGGGCTGCGGTGCGGGGAAGGTGCGGGGACAAAGAAAACACAAAGGGAACATGGACACTAGTGAGGATCTGTCATTTTACACTCTTGTAGCACCACTCACATGAGCGGACTGACACAGATGAGATATATCACAGGGAGTGGGTTAATACTGCGTGTTATAATGTGATACAACCCATCGTCATCACACCATAGGGTACATTGCAGTGTATTGATCATTTATATGCTAATACCACAAAATAATGTCAAATAGTTATGGAAGTGTAATCTCTGCCCATTGCAGCTCTTCTTTTAATAATGAAGTAGAAATCAGCTGAGAGGTAAGAAACATGCTTGAACTCAGTATAAACGTTGTTACATGTGCATGTGGGATTATTCAGGAGGAACTAGAGATGCAAAGATTAGTGGGCTATATTAATCAATTAATTGTCAGCTATTAACCAATTATTTAATCAATGAAAAATAAATTCTGATTTCAGCTCATCAAATGTGAACACGTTCTTGTGTCTTTAGTCCTCTGTGACAGTAAACTGAATGTCTTTGCGTTGTGGACCAAACAAGACATTTGAGGACGTCAGCTTGGGCTTTAGGAAACATTTCTCACATTTTATGGATCAAACAACTAATCAATAAATAAAGAAAATTATTGACATATATATCGATAATGAAAATAATGAAGAAATACAAGAAAGACAGGGAGATATCTGAATTACGCCTGAAAGTGAAATTAGAGACAAATAGCACAGATTCTTACTGCATAAAGTTAAATGTAGGGTTGGTTGTAAAAAAAAAAGTCTTATTATTGAACCAAAGGATTCCCCTACAACTAAACTGAAAACATGCAGTATATCAGGATGAATTGGGGATTCCTTCAGTATAGTGAAGTCACATTTAATATGAACTTTTGCATCTTTTTCCAACTGGGCAACAGAAGATCTCTGAATAATTGAAAGGACAATCATGCAGGCGTTTACTCCTCCGTCTTACAGGCCGTGTTCAGTGTTCTCGCATTAAACCACCTCTCTGCTGTTTTAAGGCAGGACCTCTTCACTCCAAGGACCACTTGCAGAAGTGGGGGAAGAGAACGCCAAAAGTGCTGTTATGTTTAGGGGATGTAGCAAATGATTTTTTTTTCTGTGACTGGGGGGGTTAGGGTTATTTATGGCTCTCAGAGTGGCCAGTAGTATGACCTTTGACTTTTAGCCATGTTGTCCATCCTGACTGGGTTGAATTACATGACACCCCACACCACAAATATCTTGCAGAATTGTCTCCACCTATAAACCCTGGGAGAGATTCAAACAGAGAGGAGGCTAAAATCACCTTTTATTATATTTACTATATTTGCTCAATTCATTTTACAATTTATTATTATGTATTGTTTACTGTGATTCATATATACATCTTATCAGAGCTTATTTATAGGCAACAGTAGAAGTCATATGGGCTCAAGATAATAATGTGGAATGTTGTTGGATCTCACGTCTTCTTCAAGCTGTGATGGTTTCTTTCTTGAAATACACACCGTGTGTGTGTACAATGATTCTGAATGACGTACTGAAATGCTCACTCTTTTTTCTACTCTTATTCCACGTGAAGCTTTTGGGCTCAGTTCTGACTTTAAAGCGTCAGCGTGTCTTTTTGATACGTATGAATCATTATTATTTGGGTAAAAATAATTTATATTTTGATAATTACAAATGTATTATCAGCATTATTGTTGGCGTTCTTTAACTATGTGTCTTAATGTGTTCACGGAACGCAGCGACGTTATGTGAGGGGTTTTGCGCAGAGAACGTAAACGCATCTTTCCCACTGTGTAAGCATTGTACAGTTTATTTATTTATTGATATTTTTATTTATTAAAACATGACATATTTGATATTGATATATATTTAAGAAAAAAAACCTTCACCCTTATATATATATAGATATATATATTTATATATATAAACATGAGGTAAAAGGATATTAGTCCCAAGCTTTGCCTAAGACATAATGGAATGATATTAGTGAATAAGAAGTTAAATAATAAAACATTAAGTTGGATAGAAGCACAGCGCAGTGAGCTCTATAATAAGGACCGTCTATGCTCAGATTGCTGTATTTCCTGATGGAACTGCGGTATTTGGGCCGCTTCCTGTACCAAACTTCATTTGATTTTTGTTCATTTTTAGGATGATCTCCGCCAAACGAAAACTCCGTTATTAAAGCGATTGTTACTCTTTATAATGTTCTATTATTTTCTGTTGATCATAATTAACTGCCTCTCACTAATGAGCTTAAATCAATGAAATGTATTCACCGGATTTTTTCCCGTTAAGCACAACAGTCCTACAGTTATTAATAAAAAAATAAATTATTATTATTATTATTTGAACGTTGATTATTATTATTATTATTATTATTATTATTATTATTATTATTATTATTATTATTATTTATTATTATTATTATTATTATTATAGCGGGCCTACAGGAGTTCTAGTCTATTACTATAGAGCCTAATAATAAAGTGTGTTCTGTCAGAGAGCAGCGGACACTGTGTTCTCATAGAGTATTTATTTATCATTGTTATGAAGTGGAATTTGTTTTGCACTCGTGGCTTTGTTGCTCGGTAATTTGATTGTGTCTTTTCATGCAAACGCGAAGTCCATATTAGCTCCATATGAAGCGTGCAGGCGGCGGGTCGCTGTGATCCCCGCATGCTGCCTGTTTACTCTGCAGAGCGGGATTTACATCTGAATGCGAGCTGCTGCACACACACACACACACACACACACACACACACACACACACTGCTGTTTGCACCGTCTCACATGTTATTTATTTTGACTGCTGCTGTGAAGGGTTTATGAAAAGATTTCACGCCACCACATTCGCAGTGATCCGGATTCGATAAAGGTCCGCTCCCAGTCCAACTTGCGGTTCAGTGTATTTTTAGAGCTGCAGACCAGTAAGATTAACACATTGTAGCAGTTTGTACTGGGTTGATTTTGGATTTGTGATGGTCATCGGTGCAGTTTAACGAGCCTGCAGACCCTGCTAGTGCCAGCTTATTATTAATATTATATTGTTATTGTTACATCATCATAATTAGATAAAGACTCATTTTATTTTCTCTTGGTATTGTCTTTGCACTATTTATTGTTCTATACACAATACAATGTACAATCGCTGTTAGTCTGTAAAACCAGCACATGGGACACAGACATTACTGTTGCTATTTGTTCTTAAATTTGTTGTAAATGAAGCCTCTTTGTACTGACAATGTGGGTACAATAAAATGATGTTTTTACATTCAGATTATGAATTTCTAATGAACTTCTTCATTGCTTACATTAGAATATACTGGCTAAACTATAGAATTACACCATCTTTCTGTTCACAAGGTTTTCAAAGATATTGTTTACGCTCTGCTTTCATTGTAAAATATGCAATTATATTTTTGTAATTATATTATTTCCCTCCGTTTGTGTGATTGGTTTGCCAGGCCTCGGGGAGTCCTGGGGTCACGTGAGCCGCAGCAGTTCTCTGGATGGAGTCTGCCAGGAACTAGGCTCCCATCTCTTACAGGTACTCACGGCTGTGGTTCAGAGTATGCACAGGTTAAAGGCAGCTGAAACAAATAGTGGGCTTTGCAGTTTGCAAGTAACTGAGATTCCCTAAAAATGGTCATTAGAGTACAGATTTTGAATAATTCTACAGCTTAGCTGTCACCCTCAAATGCACCCTCTTCAAGAAGAAATTATTATTACTATGATTATTATTATTCATGTTATTATTATTATTATTATTATTATTATTCAGCCAAAGCTAGTGTGTGTGTGGTTTAGTGGTTGCTGCCTTTGCCTCCTGCTGCCTTCATTCATGTGCTTTAAGAGTGAAATGAGCTGAGCACATTCCTGGTCACGCACAGAGCTTCAGTCTGTCCTGCAGCCCCTCTCCCATCAGCAGCAACACAATGGAGTAGGGCTGCGGGGTTGCAGGGCTACAGGCTGGCTACAGACAACCACAGGTCAGCTAGTACCAGTCAGACAGACATAACAGAGCTTCATGTAAGCCGAGCAGGGCTACAGGATTGTCAGAGTAGCAAAAGAGGACCAGAGGGCTTCAAGCTTTCAAACAGGTCTACAGAATAGTCAAATAGGGCAACAGGCCGGCCTAAAATGGTTCCATAATGAAAGTGTACTGGTTTGAGGACCACAGAGAAAGGACAAGTGTCTACAAGCTAGCAGCACTGGAAATAAGCTGCTCATTAAATAAGCACTTAATTCCAGCTGAGGTTAAGATTGTTATTATCAGTAATGTTCCTTATTATCATTAGTTAGTTAATGTGACATATACTAATAATAGTATAATCTAACACTCAGTTGCTAGTTTATTAGGTAGGTTAACCAAATGCAGTCTAAGACAATAGCCAGTAATATATCCTTCATTAAGTTTATAAAATAATAAAGATGAGTGGGACAAAATATTAGAAACACCTGTCGATATAATGAGTTACACTCCAACAGCAGCTCACACTACAACTCCCAAAATGACCATAAAGTTGAATCAACAGCTCTCCAAATAAAAAAGAAAGTGGCTGTTGTATTAGACTGTATTAGTTAGAGCAGGATGGACCTTATGAACTGAGCGTGTAATTCAGCTGTTCCTTTGATGGTACACGTCGTTGTTGTTTGTGTTTGTTATTTCATTCCTCTCTTCAAATCTTGATTTTGTCATGATGTTGTTACAACGATCAATCGGTCTGCAGGTAGCAGCTCTGTAGTTATCTCCAGTTTAATGATATGGTCATAATAATGAGACACTGTAGTGTATACACATTGTCAATGGAAACAGACTCAAGACAATAACACTGATTTTATTAAAAGGCTAATTAATTTGGACCTTTTGTTGGTATCTAATACAATAACACTTTGTGTTGTTTCTTTCAGACATTAGATGGATTCATTTTTGTGGTCGCTCCAGACGGGAAAATAATGTACATATCAGAAACAGCATCAGTCCACTTGGGCCTGTCGCAGGTTGGTTTGACAAACTTAAAGCAACCTCCTCTAACATGTTTGTCCTGATGTTTCACAGTTCTGACGTGAATGTTCCTTTCAACAGGTAGAGTTGACAGGAAACAGCATCTACGAGTACATCCATCCAGCAGACCACGATGAAATGACAGCCGTCCTCACAGCACACCAGCCTTACCATTCACACTTCGTTCATGGTAAACAACAACCCAGGCAGGTCGTTCTGTATATGACATGGACTCATTATCATGTAGCATCAAAAACTTTTTTGCATGTTTTTTAATTCTCTGCAGAATACGAGATGGAACGCTCCTTCTTTCTGAGGATGAAATGTGTCCTGGCTAAAAGAAACGCCGGTCTTACCTGTGGAGGCTACAAGGTAGAGGGGCGAAATGCAATGAAAGTAATTTACAAATGTACAGAAATATGTAAAGAAAAAGTAATAATAACATTATAGATATATGAATGAATATACTGTAACAGAGTTAAAGTAAACAGTATCAACAGAGTAGATATATACGGCAATAAGTTAAGATATTTACAATATGGGATTGAGACAGTTCAGTGGGAGTTCAGGGGGTGGGGGGTCTCCTCGACCAAGAGTTTAGCAGGCTGACTGCTGATGGGAAAAAGCTGTTCCTGAGCATACTAGTTCGGGAACGGAGGGACCTGCAACGCCTCCCAGAGGGGAGGGGGGCAAACAGTTTGTGACCTGGGTGAGAGGTGTCCCTAGCAATGCTGCGTGCCTTCCGCGGACATCGCTTGCTCTGGACAGCCTCAATGGTGGGGAGAGGTGAACCGGTGATTCGCTAGGCAGTTTTCACCACCCTCTGCAGAATTTTCCGGTCCGAGGCCGAGCAGTTTCCATACCAGACTATGATGCAGTTGGTAAGGATGCTTTCGATGGTGCAGCAGTAGAAGTTCACAAGGATCTGAGGAGACAGATGGGCCTTCTTGAGTTTCCTCTAGAAGAAGAGACACTGGTGAGCCTTCTTGATCAGGGTTGAGGTGTTCAGGGTCCAAGAAAAGTCCTCAGAGATGTGGACACCCAGAAACTTGAAGTTGGAGACGTGCTCAACCTCATTTCCGTTAATACAGATGGGGGTGTGTGTGCCGCCATTCCTTTTTCTGGAGTCCACAATGATCTCTTTGGTCTTTTTGGAGTTGATGGCCAGGTTGTTGTTGGCGCACCAGGTCACCAGGTGCCGGACCTCCTCCCTATAGTCTGACTCATCGTTGTCAGTGATGAGGCCAATCACTGTTGTGTCGTCCGCAAACTTGATGATGGTGTTGGAACCATGTACAGGTGTGCAGTCGTGGGTGAAGAGGGAGTAGAGGAGGGGGCTCAGCACACAGCCCTGTGGGACACCAGTGTTCAGGGTTAGGGTTGAGGAGGTGTGAAGTCCAGTATCCAGTTGCAGAGGGAGGTGTTGATGCCAAGGTTGCTGAGTTTGGTGATCAGACTAGAGGGGATGATGGTGTTGAATGCTGAACAGAAGTCAATGAACAGCATTCTCACATAGGTGTTACTGTTATCCAGGTGGGAGAGAACGGAGTGTAGCGCTGTAGAGATGGCGTCTTCTGTACTCCTGTTCTGGCAGTAGGAGAATTGGAGGGGGTCCAGTGTGGGTGGGCTGGCTTTGAGGTGAGCCAGGACCAGCCTCTCAAAGCACTTCATGATGGTAGGGGTAAGTGCAACTGGGCGGAAGTCATTGAGGCCTGCTGCAGTTGAGTGTTTGGGCACCGGCACGATGGATGTGGTTTTGAGGGACAACTGCTTGGGCCAGTGACAGGTTGAAGATGTCAGTCAGGACCTCAGTCAGCTGTCCATCAGGACCAGCAGCCTTACGTGCATTAGTCTTGCTCAGAGCAGCGCACACGGCGATGGTGGAAAGTGTGAGGGGTTGGTGGTCTGCAGGGAGCGCAGCCTTAATCGCCGCCTCCTGGTTCTCCCTGTCAAAGCGAGCATAGAAGTTATTGAGCTCATCTGACAAGGAGGCGTCGCCAGTTGGTATGGTTGTGTTGGTCGGCTTAAATTGACCTGGGGCCGGTGCTGGTATTGTCATCTCATAGGAGGGCCACTTCAGTGTTTAAGTACTACAAAAAATGCAATATTACTAATATCATACTTAACAAAAAAAATGCAAATAGCAGTTTGTATACATTTACAACTAGGAAAAATAATTTAATTAAACAATAGTTGTGCTGGTCGAATTATATTTTTGACTTCATTGCAATTTCCTTATTCAATCACATGCTACTTTGTGTGAAAAGTTTACATTTTCAATGTTATCTGGCTAACTTTGCTGGGATGGACGAGGTTGACGAGGACTACCTTGCTTACTTACTTGTTCCGGAGCCTTTGACTGTATCACACGATCTTGAGCAGCAGATGGAGTGCTCAGTGGTCATGGAACTACAGATGTTCAGATTTTCCATTTATTTGAGCCCTTTTAGGAATTTTGAAGAGTGGCCATTGTGATAAGTTAATATCATAGGGAAGCACAAAACAAGATGCAGGTTATTATCTGGGTACAAAGCTCATGTACTGTGTGTTTGGTTCAGATGTGACCTCTGCCTTTATTTGCAGAAGGAAGCCTTTAACTCCTACTAGACTAAGCCCGAGGTTGAGAATTTCTTTATAAAAGGAAGAGCAGAAGGAAACAACAGAAATACACTTTATTTGGTTATTATTCCATTGTGTTCATTTATTAAATATGAATAGCAGCAGATCAGACTCTTGGCAGGTGTTCAGACTGAAAACAGCACTGTGTTAAAACAATGCAAGGGGCTCCATTAGTGTGTGTTGCTTCAGGTACCAGTGAGGTGATGAAATACTATCCAGGCCAGGTGACAGGGACTCCTGTGCTGTGTTTTTTCATGGAATGCTCTGCATCTGCACCCCCGCTGCTTCATCAGACAGGCCTCATAAAAATGAACAAGGAGGAAAGTTTTTTTGGAACGCGGCATTGATAGTTTCAAATGATTCTAATGCTCAGGTCGAATACTGGTGACATGCTGAGACGTTGTTGTCCAAAGTAGGGCTGTCACTATATCAAATGTTCACTACACGACTATCGTGGCCAGAAGAATTATAATTTTTAGAATAAGAAATATCTATAGAAAATTTGAAAGAAAAACTCGAACTTTTATTGTGTGTTTTGCCTCTTTTTTGGTAAATTAATTACACTTAAAATACAGGTGTTGGGAGGTGGGGAGAGAGTGTGTAACCATAACTGTACAAGATAAGAACAGTAACACTGAGTGTGAACCACAAAGTGAGAACGGATGGAAATTATTTATGCTGGATTATTTATACAAATAATTTATAAAATGTATACAGCATGTGTATTAATAATGTGACATCAATATTAAATTTTTTTAATATCATGGGTATCATCAATACCAGTATATCGCAGCCCTAGTCCAGAGTGACAAGAAAAAGTCCTCCACGCTGTCCAAAACTCACAACTAGAGCCCTTGGGCCTGGGGTCACAAATATCGAGCATGTTTAATAAAGACAGGGCTCCTCTGGATGTGGTTCCTGCTCTGCTCTTGACCTTACTGGACTGGAACATGTATGGATTGATACACTATTTATACTTTGTGTATCCCTCTGTGAACTTTTGGTGCAGGTGATCCACTGTAGTGGCTACTTGAAGATCCGCCAGTACAGCCTGGACATGTCTCCGTTCGATGGCTGCTATCAGAACGTGGGGCTGGTGGCGGTCGGCCACTCGTTGCCGCCCAGCGCCGTCACCGAGATCAAACTGCACAGCAACATGTTCATGTTCAGAGCCAGCCTCGACATGAAGCTCATCTTCCTCGACTCACGGTACGTTCTGTGTGACAGTCTGTATGTATGTGTGTGGGTGTGAATTCTTCCGCATATTTTCCTGTTACATATTGTGTGTGTGTGTGTGGGTGTGAGTTCTTCCGCATTTTTTCCTGTTACATATTGTGTGTGTGGGTGTGTGTTGCTCAGGGTTGCAGAGCTGACAGGCTACGAGCCTCAGGATCTGATAGAGAAGACTCTCTATCATCATGTCCACAGCTGTGACTCCTTTCACCTGCGCTGTGCTCATCACTTGTGTGAGTTAGGTTTGTTTTACTTTCCTATAAATTCTCTCTGCACACACACACACACTGGTACAGTAAAGACTCACTACATCAGGCTATACAGTGTTATATCATTTCTTTCTCATGTTATGCTGCTATATTATGTTATATTATGTTGTCTTGTTATATTATGTTGTGTTTTCTGCTGTGGTGGTGTGTTGTGCTGTATTGCTATGTAATAATATGTTATGTCAGATCATATTGTGTGCTTATGTTAAAATACTCTTTTATTTCTTTTTCAGTTTTGAAAAGAATTAAGCAATATAAATTCCATACAGTAGTAGTTAATTTTTCAATGTTTGTTTATATAAAACAGCTCATTTATACCTATTCACAAATACCATAAGATACAATCAAATACATTCAGTGCAGTTTTACAGTGTCACATTTTAATCTTATGTCACCTTTTGCTGTAATTTGCTGCTATATTTCGATGTGTGAATGTAATTTAATAGTAGATTACTTCCCCACAGTAATCATAATTTCTTTCCAATCTCTCACTCTTAAAGTGCTTGTCAAAGGTCAGGTCACAACGAAGTACTACCGTTTTTTGGCCAAGCATGGCGGCTGGGTCTGGGTCCAGAGTTACGCAACCATTGTACACAACAGCCGATCATCCCGGCCTCACTGCATCGTCAGCGTTAACTACGTTCTCACGTGAGTATCCGTCTGTATTCCTAAATGCTGCTAGATTGACCTTAATGATATCAACATGCTGATAACCCTGACAGCCAAACAGAGGTCCAGAAGGTTCTTACTTGAGACAAATAGTGTTATTATGTTTAGGTGTTGGTGGGGATTGCTGTGGTGGTAGTGCACTTCATTTCCAGGAGACCACATTTTACATCAAGCAGTGTGTCCAGGTATTTGGATGATGAGGCGTTATCTCTGGTTACAAGAGGTGAAGTCGGTCTGTCCCTACCTGCTTGGTAGCTAACACTAGTCTCACAGAAACAGGAGGAGATAAGTTGGTGTGTTTCTCTGCTGAAACTGATCATTAAGGTGGATGTCTGTTCTCTACTTAGGCCTGTCCCAATGCTTATATTCATGATATATCAACTTATCATACAATATATGGACATGACCTCAACTGTGCTGTTATACTATCATGGCATAAAATGGTCTTGATGACAATGACAATAATATTGTTAAATATATCATCTAATAAAAGTAGTTATCGTGACATAATATATCTTTTATCTTTCATCCCTGCTGCTGTCAGACTCTACAACACCTGATCAATGTTGTAGTTTCTGTTTTTTTTTCTTTCAAATTACCACCATACCATAGTTTCTGGTTTTTGTTTTTTTTCAAATTTCAAATTACCACCATAACATAGTTTAGTTTTTATCATAGTTTTTTATATCTGTATTTATTTATTTCAAGTAATTGCTGCTGTGACAAGGAAATTTCCCCGTTGTGGGATTAATAATTAATTATTAATAATTAATAAAGTAATACAATTTAACAATTTAATTTGGTGGTAAATTATAAAACAAGAAGTCTCACATTACTAAAGAACATTGTTTGAAGACACTAAACTTATCCTAAGGCCATTTTGCTCACTTTATATGTATATATTTTTTTACCTTGATTTATCCCATTCTGCTTATTATACAACATTAGCTCCACACTAGATACAAATTCATTTAGTCTACACATTACACAGTATGACTGCATACAGCACCTTGACTCATGCCCCAGGAATGTTCTATGGATGTAGCTTTACGTTTCGTATTCTAGCCTAGTGTGTATTTAAACCAGTATGAACACTAATTGAGCGAAGCCTGCAAGCTAGTTCAGGCAGTCAACTCGAGCTGCATTGATTACACACATGACACGCCTTATTCCATAATCACTAATCAAGCGCACCCTTTTAATCTGGCTGTCTATTTAAGCTGCAAAATTTCCTAGCTCTCCCTCTGCTCTGTCAATGCCGCTGTTGCCCTGCATCCGTATTGCTGCCTGCAGGTTTGTAAGCCCCACCACCACCCCAGAATCCACCTGTAGGCTCCGACTGGGGGTTTAAGGTATTTGCTCATCCCTCCCAAATATCTCTGTGTAAACAGATCTGGGGGGACTGATGAGGTCAGAGCCTAGATGCCAAAATCTAAATATGCTATACTGCTGTAATAAACATTTCAAACGTGCGTTGGCTGACTGAACTGTGTTTATTTAGTTGTTTTGTTTTTATGTTTTTACTTTTAAACAGGGGTCCAGTATGCAATTTGCACAGTATGATGTAGAAACCTGAAGCCACCAGTGCACATCCACTGAGAATGGACTTGAACAACATTTGCATATTCAAAAATTCTGGAGGTTTTTAATAAGGTAGAAGGAGGAGAGGACCTTTTAAGGATTTTAATGTGGAAATTCTACTGTTTTGCAAACACATATTATTGTTCCAAGCAGACTATTTGTATGTATTTCCTAATACTTGTCTAGAGGGGATCTCTAAAGGATAAGTCTCCTATTGTGTCATATGTATCATATAAAAAAGCCCCCTTACATTAACTTAATTAAGTATTGTGTGTGTATCCAAAACCTGATATAGCATATTCATCTGTGCCATTCAGCTCCAGATGTGTATTAATCCACCACTGTGCACAAAAACTATACTATGTCTTCCCGTTGATCTAACATTGGCGAAAAATTATAGTACCCAGCTGTTCTATTACTGACAGGGTTCCCACGCATCCTGGAAAAACTGGAAAACTAGGAAATTTAGAGACACTTCTTCCAGTCATGGAAACACATGGAAAATGATTTGAATGACCAAATATCCTGGAAATATTTTATATTGTCCCGAATTTTTTTTTTATTGTATTTTACCCCCTCACTCAGATTGGCTATATAAACCTGATAACTGATTCTGATTTTGTTTGAAACTCGACTTTTGGTGGGATAAGCTTTGTGAAAACTAAAGTTAGATGTGTCAATATTAGGACTACTGGTAAATTATATGATTGTTTTTGAGCAAGTGCTGAAAAACAATCCTGGAAAATGTCCTGCAAAGGTCCTGGAAAACAAGTAGGAACCCTACACTGAACCTTTTAAAAAGTCCTTTTTAGAAATGTACGTCTTTACTAGAACCAGTGGGCTTGGGGTTGGGTGTCACAGACAGAGCTGGCTTTGGTCTTTTTATGGGATTTTATGACAATAAGAAAAATAACACCAGTGTTAACATTTTAACAGCACATTAGCAGCAGCTATTCCATGAGATGGAAAAACATACCTGAAACAGTGTAAACAGGGTGTGACCCTATATTTCAAAATAAATTAAAGCTGACTGATGAAGCCTGCAGGGAACTGATGGATGGATAGAAGATTGCTGATGGAATACCTACTACTGATCATCCAGGCTGGCCCTACAGCAACTTATAGAAACTTGCAGTCATGTAAAGCTCGAGTGTTTTTCTTTTAGATCCAACCTGGAAATAAATGTCAAACGCTGTGACGTGAACTCACTATAGGTTGAATCACTATTGTTTATGAATTATTGAACAGGTGGTTAACCATTAGGAAAGCGTTGTGGATTTCTACTTTATAGATGCGTGGTGGTATTTATGGATTGGTTTGGTGTGAAAGTGTCTGGCAGCTCCAGGGCAGAGAGGAGTGGCTCAGATCTCTGTTATTGTCATTCTCTGCTTTGATAAGATAATGAGTGTTGGTACTAGAGATTTACGCAAACAGTTGCTGTGAAGCAATTAACTGGAGGTTAATTGGAAATATGACACGTGTTTGTTGAGGCCTGGTTTGCAGGATCCGAGAATGAATAAAGTTTGTCAAGTCACATTCTGTTTTTGTTTTTAGTCTTTATTGTTATAGAGTTCGAAACAAAGGAAATGTGATTATGATTTCTTTTAGGAACACCAGAACTTTCCTGCTCTCTCTGCCTTGGATGGTAGTAGACATTCCTGTTCTGTCTATCTCCTCTCTTGTATGCCAGTTATGTCAGAATGTCTGAGCCCTTTGTTACCAAAGGTAAGTGTGCTCATGTGTTGGCTGTTACCTGTGGCGGCCTCTCTGTGGCGGCGTCAGTCACCTGGTATAGTTTATCTAAGACTGGCAGCTCTGCCTGCAGAGTATATAAACAGAGTCGGGTGCTGAAGCATATCTGACTGGACCAGGATTGCTTTTGCAGGCCTTTATCCTGCACAAACCGTCCAATAGTACTGTGTTGCCACCAAAATCCTCATCACAAGCTGCTACTTCACCTCCTTACAATAAAATCCAACTGTAATCACAGCAGAGACTCTACCTGCGTGAGCCGCATTATTATTGAGAGAGGGACAGCATTTCATTGCCTGTTATCCTATTATTTTATTACCCCTGATGTGCATATTTCACAGATGTACAAGAGAGCGCGTGAATGAATGAGGCCTATAAAGCCCTCCATTAAGCAGCTCGGCCGGGTGCATTCGGAGGCAGAGAACAGCTTGACACACATTTCTTCTACCTCCTACATCAAACCCATAACAGCTTTGTGTTTACGGCCTTTTAATTGATAGGCTGTAAACTTGATGAGCGTTTATGGGCTCCAGCTTACTGTGAGGGGAATGAAGCCTCAGTTCCCTCTTTGCTCTGCGTTTGTAAATCTTTTTGAGATACTATATGGATTGACCCACAGTGACAGTGGAAGGAGGCAGTAGGCTTCTTTTGTGCGCTGTTATCAGGAGCAGAGTTGGTTTGCCCGGTAGCTGTAGTGTATGCAGCCACGGATAACACAGCCGATAAGGCCACTTCACCTGCATGTGAACTCCCACTGTGTGTTTAGCTCAGATAACCTCTACACCTGCCTCTGCTACCACAACCTGACAGTGATTTAGTAATCCTTTGAATAAAGGCATGTCTGCAGCAAAAGCACATAACCACATGTTTTTACTCACAACAGTTTCGCAGTCTGTTTAATCAGTTGTGTTGCGTTCCATTCTGGTTTAGAGGAAAGTCGTCACTCTGCCGCACTCCGGAAAACGTCAGTGTCCAGTATAAACACTTTCATTGATACATCCACATTTGTCACATTTAGTGAGTTTAATAATCCTCGTATACTCGAGTAAAACCAAAAAAAGGTTCTACCTGTTGTCTTTAGAGCGCTGGTTTCCAACCTTTGTGTTGGGATACTCCGAGGGGTCACAAATTAAATGTAAGTAATCATGAATTAAGAAGAAAAGAACAAAGTTTTGGCACAAAATTATATCTTTTGACTATTCTCATACCCTTGCTTTTTTCTTCTAACAGACGTAATAATCTCACATTCTCTAAAAATGTGTTCAAATATAAGAATCCTAACTGCATTAGACTCATTGACGTGCAACTTGTGACTTGGGATGGGATGATATATGATATTAGGGGTGTAAGAAAATATCAGATCACTTGATTATTACAATGTTTTGTTTTGTAATATTGTATTGATTCTCAAAAGCACTGTATGGATTGTTGTGTTTAAACCTCCAAATGCTAGATAGCAGTGTTGTAGATATTAACTGAGGACTGTGATGTTGGATGCTACAGAGACTGTGATACATACAAATGCAGATCCATCTCTTCTGGTTGCATAAAAAGTTAACTATTTTGTTAACTTTGGGGATGTGTTTTTTTTATCCTCTATCAGTAAAATGATCCTAAAATGATAATCTCAATAGATCACCTTGCTTACAGCAATCCAATATTTTGCAATGTATTGAGTCATATATTGTGTCGTTTCACCAGACACAGGCCTATACGAAATGATCACATATATCGTTGAAAACACTATTGTTGTGGTAAATTTTCATTATTGGGATTATCAGGAATCGGGGTAATTGTGAATATTGTCACATGGCTTGACTTGAAAAAGCCGCCTGTCTTGTTAACGTACGTCCCATCTTTTTCTGTTTTATTTTGAATTGCCTAAACGGTTAGCGCGCATCTTTCCAGTCATTCCAAAATCCTAAACCTGTCACCATGGCAGTGTCAAGGGGTTGCAAGTACATACTGCTTCATTTTAATTAATGGTTTGGGAACCAGTGTTTTAGAGTGCTTCCATTTCTTTTTTTTTTTAAATCAACAGCAACAATCTACTTACATACAGATGTTCTGGGTTCTGTTTCCATTAGTCTGTTAACCAGGTGTCTGAAATCAATGTCACATATATGTATCTCAATTTAACTGTCTTGTAATACATCTTTACATTCCTATCATCAAACCATTTAGGGAGTGCTTTATAACCTGTAGGAAAGAATTCTAATTTGTCAGTTATTCCACCAGGCTGCTAGCATTATAATTATAGCAGCAGTTCCTTATGAATGTGATATTTTAGGACGCTCTCCAAAAGTAACTGATGCAAATACTATGAAATGTGCCTGCATGTATGTATGAATTTGTGTTTGTGTGGGGAGAAATTGAAACAGAGGGGAGGTATGTGTAGATGATGGATCACTATTTGTCTCAAGTAAACCCTGTCCAGGTTTTCTGTTGTCTCAAACTTGATTTATCATCCATGGCGAGATCTGTAGAACACTTTAGCGAGAAATCAATTCCCTTTTCCCAGCAGTGAGACGTCCAAGCTTCTCCTATGGGCCTGATTTAGCCAGACATAGCCTTTAATCTCCCAGTGTATTTGATTGGACAGCCTTCCCCCTGTAGAGTGTTTGTTGAAGGCCTTGCTGCAATCCTTCTGGTAAAACAAGCATCCCAACAACCATCCCAGCCCTCTACCCCGCCCCTCCCAGCATTCTCACACACACACACACAGACCTCTCTGCAAGCTGGCCCTCTCTGCACCATGATGAGGCTCTAATTGCTAAACAGATGTTAATGGGTTTTTGCACCTAGAGAAAAACCAAACACACAGGTACACATGGGCTGTTTGTGTTCTTTAATAAACAGCCTTTCCAGGGGACTGGGCTCTCTCCTTGTGTAATTATGGACCATAATTAATCTATGCCATGCAAATTCAAAACGTCAACGAAATTACTTTGACTGCAACACGTGGAATTTACGCTTGTTTCTGTAGGGAGACAGAGTATAAAGGCCTCCAGCTCTCTCTGGACCAGGCCACGTCCAAGGCCTCTTTCCCCTACGGCAGCAGCACCGCCAGCCTCACGGAAAACTGCAGAACTCCCAAGAGCAAAGCATCCCGGCCCAAGACCAAAGCAAGACTCTCGCCATACACACAGGTGAGCGTGTCTTACTGGAAAACTTCACATTGTAGCGCTTGCTCATTCAGGTATGACACATCGTTTTGGCTGACTTTGAAGGGAGCGGTTCTTTAGGTGAGGTACCATCATTTATTATTTAAAGGACAATTCTGGTTTCTTACAACTTGGGTGTTGTTTTTGTAGTTTTGGTCCTATCAGTTATGAAAATTGCTGAGATCTGGGAATATGCATGACAGGTGACGCTGCTACAACAAAGTCCAACAAAGCATCAGACAGGTTGTAAAAACCACAACAGTTTAGCAGGATTATCTTTATTTACTTTATTTAATGATTGGTATACAGACACATGCAGACAAAATGATTTTCCTTCAGAAGGAGTCTGTAATCTAACCATGCAACAAAATCCTGTGAGAACCCAATCAGCATCCTTTGAGGAAGTAACAGCAGCTGTGATGGTGGGCGCTAGGTGCCAGATAACACAGCTCCCAAAGAGGTTAGCGTAGATGCTGCTAGCATGTAATAGACGTAGAAAAGATGGTTTCACTCTTCTCCAGACTGACTTCAGTGAGAGTTTGTTGGTAAGTTAATATGTTATATGGTTGGTTGATTTGATTGGTTCAGGTTCACCCGTGACAGACTGTGATAGATAGATGGTTCATCCAATCACCTGCTGAGTATTTTTTGAAAACGCTTTCCTTTTTCTAATAGTTTTCAATGACTACTTCCTGTGCAACAAACCATCTGGCTCAGTCAGGTAGGCTGGGGGGAAATCCAAAAGGAGCTTAGAGTAGAACTGTTGCCTCATGCTAATACGATACCCAAACCACATCAACTTACCCCTATCAATGCCAATGTCTCCTTGAGGGAAGAAGAAGGACTTCTAGGCTACCTCACTGAGCTTGCTGCCACAGCAACCCCAAATCTGTTAAACCACAGAAAATTGATAAGTTTACTTTATTACTTTTATTTTTAGGTAAAACAGAAAGTGAGTACAACATGTTGGTAATAATCCCTCATTTTACAGGAAGACTATGTGCAACTACTGCAAGTACGGTACATCAAAGTAGACCCAGGAAGTAATCTGTAAACTGCGATGGATGTTTGGGTAATAATTTGCAGTGGTTTTCTCTTCCAAATTAGTTTGGCTAACCCTGGGGTTTGTTTCCAACCTGTCTGATGGTCTGACTGCTCATGTTTCTTGTCCCATCAGATGTGTTCATGAAGATGTTGCTGTAACCTCAGTTCTTTGCCAGCAATGGTTAACTGTAGCCGCAGTGTTTATAGTTCTTTTCCCGGCCGGGGATCTTTGTTGCATGTTGAACATGTCTCACCTTGTTTCCTGTCCCTCTCTACAATCAGTCAACTAAAGACAAAAAGGTCTTAGAGAAAACAACCAACAGTGGCCAAACCTACAAAATCAAGTTCCAAAAGTTAATACTCCAGAATTATCCTTTTAGAGAAGTGGATTCTTTCTTCCATGATAATGCTCCGTGCGTTCCAACTGAAATGTTCACTGGGCCATTACAAGGAAAATGTCTTCAGGCTTTTGCATTTTGGGGAGCAGCACATGCTGATTAGAGGCCTTCACTGGCCGAGGCGACCCCTGCTGCACACATGGGTAGAATGAATCTGATTTACTGATAGGCCTCTTTTTGACTTGACCTTTTAAAGTGTTTGTGATACATTCTTCACTGTTGTACAGTTGTTTCTTTTGTAGTAATGTATGGGGAAAAGTCTTTCTTGGTAACATGGTATCCACCAGTATACTGTGCTGATTTTGGTAGTCAGCTGTTCATAGTCTCAAATGTGGCTCCAGCCGGCTGTGTTCATTCGAAGGCTTTCTATAATCTCTTTTGTTGTCTCACTACCCACATTTCTCACCGCAGTACCCTAGTTTCCAGACAGAGCGGTCAGAGTCTGACCAGGACAGTCCATGGGGCAGCAGCCCCCTCACCGACTCCGCCTCCCCTCAGCTGCTGGAGCACAGCGAAGGCCTTGACGCCTCCTGTGTGTACAGGCAGTTCACTGATCCTCGCACGCTCTGCCACAGTCTGTCTGAAGAGCAGCATCACACAGCCAGTGACGGCTACACACACCTCCACACGCACGCTCAAGGTCAAAGTTGTGAGCGTGGCCGATGTGAGGCGGGGCGATATTTTCTAGGAGCGCCTCCGTCTGGCAGGGACGCGTGGTGGGGCACGGCTCGCTCCATCCTACCGCTGAGCAAGAGCTCTTTGGAGAACCACGAGGGATATGACAGCAGCATGCCGCACATCACCGCCATCCACAGCTACCACGGTGAGGACTAAGACCTGGACTGTGTCCACTGTAGAGACAGAGCTATACGGGCAGTTGATAGTTTTACAGTGTATTCACACCAAATGTGTGTTAATCTGTCTTACTATGGTGGTATGAACCAAAAATACAGATTCTGCTGTTATTTAATTGCAATGAATGGATCAAAAGGATGCCAAATCATGATAGCGATTTTTAAAAAGTCTGAATTCATACTTTGGATCTTTTAAAATGCAAAAAAAGTAAAGTAAAACAGATTACTAGACTCAAGTAACAGACATTTTCAGCTTTTACCAAGTTTTCCAACTTCTTTTTTGTCCACTCTCTGTATTAATGTGAAGCAGTATCATAGAGCTCTGGGTGCACACAGACAGATACAAGTCGGTGTGGCACCTCTGTGGCTCACAGCAGACAGGTTGATCAATCCACTGTTTAATCCCAAAAGATAAAAAATAATCTCCAAGCTTTGATCAGAGCAGAATCTGGTGTGACAGTGGATGTTTATTCGTCCAGAAGCTCTCGCTCTGCCCCCGGCTCTCCTCTGCAGAGCTCCCCGGACTCAATCCGCTGTCTGTGGGCCAGCTCTGTCTCTCTGCTCCTCCCCACAGAACACTGCAAACACACTGTGTGCACAAATGTTTTTGATAAGTTGATTATTTTCTACTGGCACAAATATAGAGTTGGCCCATTCACATCACCTGGCATGAATTTGCATCTGTCCCTCTCTTTGCATTTAGTCTGTATGTAATCTCATCACTTGAAAGATTTGCTTCGCTTTCTGTACACAACATTACAGTGAACCTGTCAACAGTCAGCATTATGTGCTGCTGTTGTGCCACATAACTAGCATCAGGCTAGTTTCCATTTGTTCTTGCTAGAAGATCCCACAGAGTTAGAGGGAATCTGTGGAAGCCAAGGGCTGCCATGGTTGCTGAGAATGACATGTTTCCTCTGCACTGACTGTTCTCACTGTGTCCTCCTGCAGGCCGGGGACACTGGGACGAGGACAGCGTGGTCAGCTCTCCAGATGGAGGCTCGGCCAGCGACTCAGGGGATCGGTACCAAGCTGAGCACTACCGCTGCAGCCCGCAGGAACCCAGCAAGATCGAAACGCTGATCCGAGCCACGCAGCAGATGATCAAGGAAGAAGAAAGTCGACTTCAGCTACGCAAGGGCCCTCCGGATGCTCCAGTGGGGCCGGCCAATGGACTGCCCAAGGGCCCTGGTCCATGCTTCACTCCGGAGTATACTCAAGGTCCCCTGCCGCTACAGACCGTGGTGTGTCGAGGTTTGAGTCAGGGGATCAGCCCTGCGTCCAGCCCCGCCCCACTGTCTAGGCTCAGCAGTCCAGGGTCTGAGCGCCTCCACAAGCCCAAAGACTACCTCCAGACAGATCTGTCCCCGCTGTCTTTGCCATTACACCACCCATTTGGTCGGCCGGGTCCGTGCTCGGCCTCCCCCACCCCCGCCCCAGCCCTCTACCCCTCCCACACACACCCGCGGCCCTACTTGGACAAGCATACAGCCTACTCCCTGACAGGCTACACTCTGGAGCACCTCTATGACACAGAGAGCCTCCGGGGCTACTGCACCTCTGCCAGCACGGGCCCCACCCATTACGATATGACCCCTCACCTCCGCATCCCGGCAGAGCAGACCCCCGGACACAAAGGCACCTCTGTCATTATAACCAATGGCAGCTAACACTCACCTAACACACACAGCGGGACTGCAGTCACAGCCTGACTGTTAGCTCGGGTACAGCATTAAGCCATGGTCATTCTGGATCCTGTTAGCTTGTTTCTCCATCATACTGATCCAAATCTCATCTGTTGCTTCATTACAGAACTTCAGTTTCTAAAGGCTACAGAGAACATGTCAGTGTGTGGCTCTCTGAATGGGTGCTAGGTGAATATAAGAGGGAACAACATTATAGTGCCTGTGATTCTGGTAAATAATGCAATTCTATTGCAGCTTTTCATCTAAGATTGACTTTATTTGACTTGATGAATTTATCTGCTTCCTCTGGCCTAAAATCAGGTACAACATTTTAGACCTATAATAAGATAACCGCAAGGACCTCTACTATGTAGCCTTTATTTCTGCTGCCCTTTGAATTCTTCATGGTTTGGTCCTCATGGTGTCCATTATCATTAAAAAGCCCTCACTGTGTTACACTGTGGAGGAGAATGGGGGGAGAGTATCTTCTCAACTAAGGCTGATATCTCAAAACGTCAGTGAGACGGTAAAGAACAAAGATGGTGGTCAGCGGTAACAACGCGCATACATTGCTGCGAATAAAAGACAAACAAGAAGCATGTCCTGCAATGTCATCAAAGATCTGTTTCCTTTACATTTTTGCGTCTTCTCGTCTTTGAGTCACACTAGAAAGTGTGCCAGCTCTGATGTTTTTAGTGTGCAAACTCAAACTGTGCTCCAAATGAAACAAAATATGTTGGTTACAGCTCACTCTGGTTGAGGTTCAGTTCAGGGAAACATCGGGGTTTGGCTTAAAATTACGATTTCATTAAGGTCGGGGGTCCCAAGTCGTCATGGTAATAGCAAACACTATCATTAAACATGTCATTATAGATGTGATGAATAGATGAATGTTAATAGATTTTATTTTGAATGGAGCAAAGTAACATAGTGCAAGTTCAAAACGTACAGTATTTTGGTCAGAATGGATCGGTGTGATGGAGAAAATGGGAATAAAATAGCTGAAGTTGTGCTTTAACATCCGTGCCCGTGTGTAACCTTTTGCACTATAACAGATGGAGTATTTGTGAAGAGATCTCCTTGTTTTTCAATGCATCTGGATGAGGAAGTGACAGGGTTGGGTGTGGTGCACTTTGCAGTGATGCAGAATAATTAAACTTCACAGACTAATATGCAAAGCCATTCTCTTGATGTTTCTGTTCTCTCACTTTTGGTATCTTGCAGCAAAGTAAAGACAGACCCTTATGCGTACATGATAAATATTGAAGAGAACCATGGCTACTGAGCAGTTTTAATAGTTGACACAGGACGTCTGCTGCTTCAGTACATGGTAAATAATCCTGGTGGAGGGAAAATTTTTGATTTGAGAATGACCTGTTAGCAGAAACTGAAGTATCATCCAAGTACATGACAGAAAATATGGGAAATATTGTATGTTTTCCATCCTGATATCTGTGTCTGTATCATTTCTGAGGTGACTGTAGGAAGACTGACACTTGAGATCATATGCAATTTGACCCGTTGGAATGCCAGGTAAGGCAGCTTAATTGCATTCATTACGGCGGATCCCTGTTAATTATTGTTATGTGGGCATGTTTGTACAGCAGGATTCAAGGTTTCTCTTCTTTATGTCCTCTTCAGTCCTTAGATGAACCTATATTTATACAAGTTTGGATTTTTTTTTTCTTTCGTCAAAGCCTGAAATGTGCTCCAATCTCTTAAAAGTTATTTATGGTGTACTGTAAATATGCTCAGTAAAGAAAATCCCACCACATTTAAGCACATGGGCAAAAACTGTATTTATTGAGTAAATGTTTCTTTATGATTTTGAAATATAGCTGCAATCAAATCCAGTCTAACTGCTTGTACATTGAGTGTGTTTTTGACTGAAGCAAATTGTAAAAGAGGACAAAATAAAATCATTTTGCAGAGATGTCATGGGTTTTTTATGTTTAATGTTTTTAATAAAACATTCAAACATGGCCGTTTATACACAACAGAATCTTGTTTTTAGTGAACAATTCCACCAAGAACATGTAAATTCATATGTAGAAAACAGGAATGAACAAAATCACAGTTCCCTGGTTCACATACAGCATGCACATTAGCTTTATCACGTGTGAGAAAGCATTTAAATGTGATGAATTCACATTTAAAGGAGACATGATTTTTGGATATTTCACATTTCATTAAAACTCACGTGTGGGTGCCCGGTTAGGTTCAGTCCGTAGACCTGGCGACCCATCTACCGAGGCTGAGTCCTTGCTGCAGCGGCCCAGGGTTCAAATCCGACCTGCAGCCCTTTGCTGCGTGTCATCCCCCCTCTCTGTCCCCCTTCCCTGTCTGTCTTCTTCTGTCCCTATCAAATAAAGGCAATAAAAAGGCCAAAAAATAAATAAATAATAACTCGTGTGGGCCTATGTGGTTTTATTTTTTTCAAAAAGAAGTCAAAAATATTTTTCATATTCTTAGTAACACATGGGTTCACAAGGTAGGCACATGCAAGTTTCAGATGTTTAACAAATGATTAGAAAAACATTTTCATTCATGTAATTCATATATGTGGTTTATTTTGTAAAGTGTCTTAAGAGTATTTAGAAAAGCGCTTATAAATAAAATGTATTATTCCTCCTGTCCAATCAGTGGCCCTTCCTCCACCTCACACTCTCTCTATCAGCAGACCACTGTTTGTTCTGTATTTCCTTTTTATTTACTTAATAAATCTAAAATCCGGTGAATCAACTTTGTTTTCTTCCTTCATGTAGCTTCCCTTGAGCCAGGGTTTTAACACAATATGTTAAATACAAATCCATGTGGTTTTTGGGGCATTTCACATGCAAGACATCACACCATTCTCAGGTGAAAACAGCAATTACAGACACTACAGGCCAAAAGTTTGGAAGCAAGATCAAATATGTACAAAAAAAGATCATAGTTTCATTTGTATACTTTGCAACAAAATAAACATGATTATTATATAAAGAGTCACTTATCAGAATATATTTTTACTATAATTATCAGGTATTTGGGTTTTTCTTGCTTAGACTTTGTTTTCTTCAAAGTAACCTCTGGCTTTAACAGCAGCATGGCATATACGAGGCAAGTTTTTTAGCGCACTTTTCTGACTGATTGATGCAATTCGTCCCACACAAGCTCAATTTTAAAAAAGGTCTAGAGACTGTCGGGGCCAAACCATTATCTTGCTGCAAAACAAACTTTCAACCCACAAGTCTCAGTCCAGATGGAACTGCATGATGCTGGAGGATGGAGTGGTACTGTTCCTTCTTCATGATACCCTTTACTTCAAACAAATCTCCTACTCTATCACCTGCAAAACATCCCCATACCATGGCACTACCATCTCCATGCTTTATTGTGGGTGTTACGCATGGTGCTTTAAGACGTTCACCAGTTTGTCTGCGGACATAGACTCTTCGATTTGAACCTAATAGTTCAAACCTGCTTTCGTCGGTCCAGAGAACTTGTTTCTAGTCATCATAGGTCCAATTTTTGTGTGCTTTTGTTCACTCATATCCCTTTTTCTTGTTCTTTGGACGAAGTAGTGGTTTTCTTGCAGATACACAACCTTTCAGACCAGCCTTTCTCAAACGTCTTTTCACAGTTGTCAGAGATATGGGTTTTGACCTTGTCATGTTGATTTCCTCCCTTATTTGTGGTGCTGTTTTTCAACGATCTCTCTTACTTGTGACAATGATATGTTTATCCTCTCTCAACCCTAAAACTAAGCCCTTCTTTTCTTTTGTTAACATTTATTCAGCAATGGTCTGGTAACATTAATGTATACCTAAAGGTAAATTGAGGAAATGGTGCATGTCAATGAAAGCAAAGTCTGATCATGCAGTGAATACATCCCAAAATCCAAAGAATTCATACTGGTTTTTAGAAAGGCATTGTGAACTGAAACTTGAAGTTGCTTCCAAACTTTTGGCCTGCAGTGTATATTTACACAGGATATTAGAATGTTTTATGTGATATAAACTCCCATGATATAGGCACATACATTCCAAATATTATAAATGTGAACACATAAAATTCACACATATTTTTTGCACAGGATAGCTGTATGCGTTTCTGTCACAGCCGTCTGGTTATGATTCAATTGGATGAATTTTAGATATGTTCTCGGCACTCTAAAATTTGCACAGGTTATGTGTGGCTGCACTGGCAAATAAAGAGCTCTGATGGAGAGCAGTGCAGCAGAATCTCCAATTAAGCCCGTAGATTTGTGGGTGTGTGGAGGTCAGAGATGAGGGCCAGTCGTCTCTTCAGCACTGATGGACGTTGACTGTTTGCTTTAGTCATCTCAGTCCGCTCTGCTGCTGGACTCTCCCGGGCCTCCGCCTCGCCTATTACCTCCATATTAAAAGCCTTTCATCCTGCTAGTTATTCCTCACTTCTGTTCTCTCTGGCAGGTTTCTCGCTCACTGTCAACAAGGCTGATATAACTCTGCCCATTAGGTACAAACACGTTGCTAAGAAACCAGCAAGGAAACAAGAAGTGGCGTCAACAGCAAGGCAGGCTGGGAAGGGCTCCGGGGCTAGGCAAGTAAGATGTGGTGCAGATATCAGTGTTTTATTGTGAAAAGAATCTGCCTCTCTCATTCACATCTAAAATTTAGTATCTTCTGGTTCTGTGAGCGCCTTCCACTCCACACTCTTTCAAAGGCGGTAGCAGACTCAGTGAAGCTATCATATGGAACTACATAATCTTTTAACACATCCATTGGTTCCAACCATGCCATGGTAGCATTTTGGTAAGGCAGTAAAGTAACGATCCAAAGTAAAAAAGCTAAAGCTAAATTTTGGCGATGGAAACTGGCATGGCCATTTTCAAAGGGATCCCTTGACCTCTGACCTCAAGATATCTGAATGACAATGCGTTCTATGGGTACCCACGAGTCTCCCTTTTCCAGACCCATTATGCTTATCTCTCACAGTTTTGGGGCAAAAACCATGCAGTTTGTTGCATGTTTTATACATTCTTCCTAGTGTATATATCTGTATACTGGGGTCCATAAACAGTACTGGAATTACATGAATTGGGAATGACTGGAAAGCTGAGACACACACTTCATGCCAACCATAAGTCACTGCCCCTCTTGTGCCCCCCCAGTCCAAAAAGGCTGGAAACCTGCACACTAAGCCACTCTGGAAGCCATAACAGTATATTACAAGGATAAGCCTTTTTGTGGATGGGAAGAGAATGTACGGTTACAGCTGATATCAGACTTCGGGCAGGTCTGACCGTTAGCCACTAACACAACAAGACTGAGTCCAGCAGCCATGGGTTCTAGTCCCACCTGTGGCCCTTTAATGTGTCTCTCTCTCTCTCTCTCTCTCTCTCTCTCTCTCTCTCTCTCTCTCTCTCTCAACCTTCAGCTGTCCTGTCTAATAAAAAGGCAAAAAGCCCAAAACATACAGTCTATATATATAGAAAATGTATTAAAGCCAGTAATACTAGTAACGGTAAATGCTTGCTGTTAGCAGCATAACTGTCTCTCTCCAGAAACAGTGTTCCTGTCACTGTGGATAATCCACAGACTTCGCTGTTCAGCTCTGTCGATTATCCAGGGACACAGTTTCATTCATGACATTGCGGTCTGTTAGTTGGTCTACCTCTTTTATTATTTTTTTAATATATCTTTTAAGCTCCCAAACTGGGACCCTTAAAGTGAATCACATGTGAACACATTCACACATGTACATGCTTCTGCCATTGACGCATTAAAAGATGGATGTCACATCTGCACTTCTTTCCACTGTACAAAAATGAAGCCAAAATATCCTGATAAGGTCACTGCCATCTAACACCAGAGTCTGCACAGTAGCGATCAAAGTCCCGCCCATACACTCAGCAGACTCAGTCGTGAGCAGGACTGCCAGCAATCGAGTGAAACCCCCCTTTTTATAACGTCAAGTAACTAATTGAAACCAAACTGAAAGTCGGCTATAATATTGATGTATAGGACAATTTGGTAGTGAATGTTCGGGACACCAAGCCTGAAACTGGGACAATCCTAGACAAACTGGGACGTCTAGTCACCGTATCTTTTGTGAAACAGATATCTTAAACCTTGACAAGGAAAAGCTATTTGCAAGGCTTACCCTTTAATACAGGCCTTTATGTCTTGTAAGGCCTTCCGTATCACAAGTGAACAAGTGATCTCTGACTCTGTGAAGAACAGGTTCACTTGAGCCTGAGGGCTGTGTCGACTTTTACTCTGCATTTGCAGCTCTCTGTAACGATTGGTTGTTCTAATTGGATTAAGTTATCTGAGTGTTTCCTGAAAGTGATAGAAGTTCAAGCTTTCTACTCCCTCTTTTCCTCCACTCCCCGCCACCTCCCCCGCCCCTGCAGCCTCTCCGCAGTTAGAGGTAGCAGTGCATGTCTAATGGAGGCTCCATGAGGTTAACTTCTGCACTCATTTGTTTTGCAAGCCTCTCTCCGTGGCTCCCCATTCACATCCTAACATTCAGGACGTCTCACTGACAAATCATTTACAGATGCTTTTCAGCTCAGCGCATTCGCTTAACAAGCATGTAACAGCAGCGCGGGCTCAGGAAACCTTGTGAGATGAGCATGATGTCTTAAAATGCAAACACTCTGTGGAATAGGTTTCCCCCAGCAGGACTGGATTAGACGGAGCCAGGCAGCAGTTTGACTTCCAAACAGTACGGTGGAAAGTAAAAGTGTGGATGTGTCGAGGGGGTGATGGACAGATACTTCGATCTTAACTGCCTTGAAATTAGTGACCTCAGTTCAACCCCCAACTCAAACTTTGAGTAATCATTTTCAGCAAATATTTTTCACATTTAACCATGACCCACACTAATTCCACTAGATTTTGAACCTAACCGCAAACATAAGTAATTTACACATCAAAAAAGTTCTAATTCAGTGTTAATTGTTCA